AATTAATATTTAAATTAGGTTAAGTTGCGACGGCGGTTTTCATTGGCTGCTAAAAGGATACATGGTGCTCTCAAACTCCCATCATCCAATGCTGCATCCTACAGCGTCCATCTTCCGACACATTTCTTACCACTGCGATAAAGAAAAAGCTATATTTTGTCGACATTTTGATAATATATCTGAATAGATATTGAGAGTCTGTGTATATATATATTTCCTCTTTTATACGGCATCGTATTTTTGAGACAAACTAGCAAGAAAACTACGACGATAGCGTATTTTTCTGTCTAAATCTTTTGGTACCAAAACCAAAATTATTTCTGAAAATATATTTGTATATATTTGTAAATAATTGTTGTACATAAAACGAGACATAAAGTAGCCAGCTAAGTTTTTTATTGACACAGAATATAGTCCTTTTGATTGTTACGTCTTAGTGTTTTGTATTTGCCTGCAGTTGAAGGAATTTTGTAGTATTTAAATTTTTTAACATATAATTTTGATCGATATTGTTTCATACTTATATTATAGAAATGTTCAACACTAACCTTAATAAAGTTTTGAGAAGCGTTTTAATTGCAGGGGATTCCAACCTGAAGCAGCTTGTACCAATGTTTGAATACCCAGTTAGAACACTGTGCATACCTGGTGCCAAAGTACAGAATGACCGGAAAGAATTCTATTCCCAACTGATGAGTGCCATGAAGACAGAAAACCCGGACCAGATTGTTCTGCATCTAGGTTCGAATGATGTATTTGGTGATGTTGAATCAACTTTGAGGTAAGGAGGTTTAAAAAAAACAAATACAAAAATTTATACCGGTAGTCAACTTTCGATTTGTGCACTTCCCTTAAAATCCCATTTAGTATGTAACAATACACCTAATCGCTATTTGTCCGCCATTACTGGACATCACAAAGGTTCCTGTGAAATTTTGACGCCACAATGGAAAAGTGATTGTTGTATGACATCAAAAGTTAAAGCGGCGCAGATTCTCAGGCCCACTGGCGCAGATTTCCAAATATCGATAAGGTGTATGATTATGTTATTACGTCACAGTAAAAACGGATTGTTCAATGACATCATTTATGCTGATTGACCCCGTGTCAACCAGCGTTGCTCATTCATTAAAAAACAACTCGAGATTGGTGTATTGTAAACCTGTTTGCTGATACTATATAAAAATAAAAGAGATGAGGTATAATTTCCCATTAGATGACTATCCACCAAAGTTCAAATGTAGTGTATGTAAGCAATCATGAGGTTCGTAATAGGGGACCTTCATGATGAACAATGTTAAAAATTCTTGCCAAATGATGTTTTTGGTGCATTACCATGATTACGATAAAATTTACATGTTTTTTATGACGATAAAAAAAAATGAATGAATTTGGCCGAACACATTAAATTCTTTCCCAAAATAATGGTAACCGATAATTATTTGAGATCTTTGACAAATCATGTAATTTGATTGGCTGATTATTATTGATTTCAAAGAAACATTTGTTATATATAATATAAAATTACCTAGTTTCTAATGGTAATGAATTTGGCAGATATAGCTTACCTTTTAATTATAAACAATAGGTTGAATAATCTTATTTACTATAAAGAATATGATGAATATTATTTGCCTCATGTACAAGTTTCTTATTTTGTCTTTAGATCTTATAGATTCCTGATAGAGAATTTGCTGCTGAAATTTAAATCGTTGCAAATAGGTATTTGTGGCATACTTCCCCGTGCAGTAAACCACTATGAGAGTAGTTATTGGAACATGTCAGCATTGCCAAGACTGCAGAGAGATGTCGAGAAATTGAACGCTGGTATACAGTCTTTAACTTGTGGTTACAGTAGATGTTTTTTTATTGATTATGCACAGCTCTTTAAACCTGCTGTTCATCTTGGAAGGGACGGACTTCATGTAAATAGAAATGGAGCTTTTATTTTGAAGATGACTATAGAGAACTATTTAGCAGAGAGACAAAAGTGTGTTACATCCGTGACTGCAACTTTATCTCACGTACATGTACCTGATGTAGAATCTTTGTCACCCAAGATGACCTATGCAGAAGTGGTGAGACTACCAGTACCTTCTTCTGATACAGGAAAGAGACCTTTTGACACGGTATTTAATAGATTGTGTATAAGAATAGATGAAAGCATATTTGTATTTGTCTATCACTATCTTGCATGTCTGACAAATAACTTGTTAGAAATTAACATTTGATTTTCTATGATATTTTTTAAATGGTCTCCCTGGCATTTTAATTCAGGTTTTTAAATGCAGGCTCTGCCTTTGAAAAAAATAAAAGTACATTTGTTCATTGTACATGTTGATGAACTAGATAAGAAATGGAATTATAAACAAATCATAACATGATAATGACATAAGTATTACAAAATAATGGATTTACTCTGAATATTATCTTTTTGTGAAGTGTTTATTATAGTTAACACAATTGAAACAGTTTCCTTACTGTTTATGCAGGAACATATATATTGACGGGACTTGACACTACCTAATTGTAGCCAATTTTATCGTCATGTCATAGGTAATAAAGATACGATACGGAAACGGACATGTTTCAAAAACGTACTCGCTATTATCCTAATAATTTCTGATAATATCAATAAAATGTCATTCAAACTAGTTTTACAGTTGTATCAAACTTGTATTCTGTCACTTCAAGTTTGTTATAATTGCATTCATTTTATCACAGAATGGTACAGAATGCAAACGGTATTAAAAAAATGGCGCCGATTGTATTCCCAAATTCAAAAACATTATAAAACACTTCATATAAAAAAAATCACACTTATTTTGGTCATTTTATATGACAAAATATATCTACTTTATGATAAAACTTGTATTTATTTACGATTAGAATTATGTGATTACTTTATTGAGCAGTTCCGATAAATTTTCAGTCAGACGCCACCAAAATCCATAAATCTTGCGAAGTCTCGAGGAGTCCGAGATTTTATCAATTTTATACTGGAAAGCCTATCCGATTCATTTCCCGTTAGACATACTGTTCCCAGGTTTATGTAACTGCTGATTTTATATGATATGTACATGTATTAACATTTGTCTTTGATTGATGTTGAGAATTACATTTGAATGTTTATTACAGGATGCTGAACATCAGAATTCCTCTAGAACCCCTTCTAAGAGGAAGAGATTGTCTTCAGCTGGGGCAAGAAGATCAAATAATAAAAGAGTAAGTGAAAAATTAAAATTTGTACTATAGATTAAAATTTCTATTAAAATAGAAAATATCATTTTATAATACAAAACAAAGATAATATCATAAAATCATAGATTCTCTATAAGTTCATAAGCAGCTATGATAGACCCTAATTTAAAGTTATAGGATAAATTGCTAATAGATAAAAAAAAAATATAGGGCTGCTAACATACATTTTATTGACATTTCATGGGAAAATATACCTGTCATAATTTATATGTATATATGTATTTTGAATTAATAAAGATGGGATGTTAACAAAGTTCGGTGCTATATTTTTTAAAAGACTTATAAATTTATAGTATATAAATAAGTTAAAAAAACATAACTGATTAAAGGTTTGTGTCCTTGTTTTTAAGATGTAAGCCATTTAAAATTTGGTGGGAATTTATTCTCTCTAGATTTTCCATACATTTAACATTAGCACCTTTTTCTTTTAAAAACTATGTAAAATAAAAATAAAAGGCTTTTTAAACTATATGTTATAAATTCGGAAAAGAATAGACGGAGTTAGCATTCTAACTTTTTGATGGAACTACATGTGAATAAAACCAGAGGATTACCAATATCTGTCAAAAACAAAGACTAGCAAACATCCTTAAATGATTTGAACAAAAATTATATAACTTTATTTGTTTTCATTACCTTCTTAATTTAGTCTCACAGAAAACCAAGAGGAACTTATAAAACAGGGTTTGTCATCATTGCATTATTGTGTTACCTTTTAATGTGTTTTTGTTATTGTAATTACTTGAATGAAGAAGTTTTTTGATTTACAACTCCATTGATGTCTTACTAACATGAATGCATGATGTTGAACAAAACTTTGAAAGTTAATCGTTATAAGTTGAAGTATTCTAATTAATTTTAAATGACCACTAAATACCATGGCATGCCTATAAAAAGTTGATATTTTTTTCACTTGTAATTACTTGAATGAAGTATTTTTGTGGTTTAAAACTTCATTGATATCTTACTAGCATGAATGCATGATGTTGAAGAAAACTTTGGAAATTTATCGTTATAAGTTTAATTATTCTAATTTTATTTTAAATGCACACTAAATACCATGGCATGCTTTTTAAAAGTTAATATTCAAGTGTTTTAAATGCTTGCATGTTAAAAAAAATTGCAACAAAACTTCATGAGGCAACAACAATTTTAGTGTTTCTAATTTTAAATACTATCAAGGAGCTTTTACTTTAAAGGAGAGGTTATATAGAAGTCTGAAAACAAGTACACATATGATGTATATATAAATACTATAGCACATTTGAATTTATATTGTATTGCAGAAGATTCATTTGTACATGCTTAAAAAAAGGTTGAAAACAATGAAATATGAATAACAAAATCCTTTAATCCAAGATTGTACCACAACTTAAATCTCTTCATAGTTTTAAACTGTTATACTTTTCTAATTCTACTTCCACTTCTTATAGATACAGTTTAAAGAGGAATGAAATAGTCCTAGATGTTACTGAGGATCTGGCTGTTATCTTGTCATCATGACGGACGGAGTGCAAACCTAAAGTCCCCTTCGACTTCGTCGATAGGGGACTAATAAACAGGTTGAATTTTATACTTGCTTTATAATGATTTAACATATAGAACTGTTTAGCAAAAAGGATTTCCAGTAGGGAACCTCATTAGGTTGGATTTAGAGCAAAAACAATTCTATATTCTATCTGTAATAGAATGGTATAAAATGATGAAAAAACAAATAAATGAATATATTGTATTCTTACATATTTTGAAAATGGTACTATATCGTCCACCATTTTCAGCACTGAAGCCAGCTTCAGTACCACAGCCATATCTTCATTTCCATAGAGGATAATGGACACTGCATTATAAATGCAATTTCCATTTGCTGTGGACTGGTAAGCTGTACGTTCCCCTATGGAAAGTGGTATAAAGTCTTTATACCTGAAAAAAAAGGACATCTCTAATATTATCTGATTTTCAAAGAATATTAACTATAAACAAAGCAAGATAAACAAGGATTTATTTCTAATCTTGATGTAGGATTTAATTAAGGCTATATTGAAAAATCATTTTAAAACCAGCACTTACATGTAGGTTATCAACTCAAATTCTATGCCCACTAGATGAAACTAGATTAATAACTTACTTTTTGTTGGTATCTATTAAGGTGTTGGGCCTCCAAGTATTTGACAGGGTGTCTGGAAAAACAGGAATGTAATCCCAAATAACTTCTGCCAAACCCCACAAATCAAACCACAATGTAATCAAACACCTCACTTTTAAACATTTTTCTTCTAATGTAATCTAAATAAATATAAATGAAAACAATTGTTAAATGAAGGAAACAAATCTAAAAAAAAAACAACTGTTTGTTACTATATATGTGATCAATAAGTTTTAGCAATTAAAAACATTTCAGACATTTCAAAATTAAAACCAAGGAATTTTATAAGCGCAGCAAGAAACAAGGAAATGTTTTACAGTTATACACAAATGACTTTTTCAAATAGGTGAAGTACTTGTAAGATCTCAGAATATACATGATACCATTTTTCAAGTGTGTCTCTTATAAACATGCATCATTTATTATATTTGTCATTTATTTTGTCATCCTGAACATGCATGAAATATTCAACACTGGATGTTTAACAACCAATTTTCAATCAATCAATCATTTTTTTGTGTTAATGGTATATACCCAACATTTATGTTTCAACTGACCAATTTACAGCTTTCTTTGTACATTGTATTTAGTTAAAGTATAAGGCCATAACAGTGGCCTCTATGTGTAATGGTTTAAAATAAACTTCAATTTGTGCATTATAAAAAATTTAAGTTATATTTTACCTCTTCCATGAAAATTGAGTGTATTCTTTCTCTTTTCACCTATAAAATACACTTCAATATTTAAATGTTTTCAGTGCATATACTTTTATATAAAAAAAACCCCACACATTTTGTAATATAAACAGAAACATAATAAAAAAAAAAGAAAAATTTTCCTGCTTCTTAATATCTCCTGTTGCTGAAAAGTTAAAGACTTCCTTAAAAATAATGTGACTGTTCATATTGATTTTCCTACTTTACCTTGTTGTTTACCGAGCCTGGAAAATTTAGGTATGCTCTGGGTGAAGTTATCAATCGTTAAATAAACTTATTCTAAAAGGATAACAATTTAACACTGTAATTAGATCTTTAAATATTGTTTATATTGGAATAAATATTGACTATTCCATCAGTAAATTAAAATCACACTAAATATATACGCACATCTTTTGATGCCTGGATCGAGTTATTTCACAAGGTCATGTTTTTCTCTAAATGTTAATGACTGTTAATGATGTATTTACACTAAATCCAGTGTAATTCATTGGTTCTCGTTTGTTATCATAATTGTATATTGTTTTGTACACGAATCAGGCTGTTAGTTTTCAAATTTAATTTGTTTAACATTTGTTATTTCAGGGCCTTTTATGGCTTGATAAGCGGCATGGGTTTTGCTCATTGTTGAAGGCTGAACAGTAAACTATAGTTGTTAACTTCTATGGCATTTGGTCTCTCGAAAGTTGTCTCATTGGCAATCATACAACATATTTAATTTTTTTTTAATATATACAATGAATGACTTTAATTATATATGAAAAATTAAAAGTTCCTAAACATAAACAGACATAAAAAACACCTGTATCGAATGATCTTCATAACTTACGTGTGTTTCCCCCTCCGGCTCTTGCCCTTTCTCCTGTCCTGTCTCTTGAACTATTACTCCCCCTTGTTCTTCATCGGTCTCCTGCACTACCTTGTCCCCTTCCCCTGTTTCCTGAGGCTCTATTTGATCATGGTGGCCAGTTTCTATACATTCTTCTTCTGTACCATTCATATACTAAAAGATATTCAAAAGCAAGTTGCATTACAACTGATTGAGGAGACTACAAAAGTTGATGGATGGTGTAAAAGATAAGTAAAATAATGATTGTTAATTTTAACACTGTTCCATCAAAAGATTATGCCCATGGAATACACCAATTTTAAAATAGTTAAGTGTGTTGCTGAAAGAACAATTAAACCCAAAGAGCCTGTATCTTAAAAGAAATATGTAAATAACATAAATATAAGCAAAAGGCATTACAAAGAATTAACTGCCCAAGGGAAAAGAAATGGGTCAACATGCTGATGTTTTCTAAGCCAAAGGCTTTCAATATTACAATACACAAGACCAATAATCACTGTACATTAATAACAAAACAATGTTATACAAAATGGCATATAATACAATAATTCAACACTGTAGGGATATATATATTCAGTAATCTGATGACAAGTCCATCAAAGTTTTGATGTATGACATGTCATTTACTCTTGCGTCATAGCCCCCTTTATCAAGGTTAAATAGAAACTTACTATATCCTATCAGTAAGTTATAATGGTAAACCATTAAGAATGTGCTATTATAAATGTTTTCAACTTACAAGGATATAACAATGGAAACCATACGTTATTAATATTAAAGAAAGGAAAATACATAAAAATATATTGTGTCATACTAGATAGAGAAGTCAGTGGTCCAGCTGATTGGGATATCAGCGATCTCATGATGCCAACATCCAAATCATAGACCTGAGTTTCCAGCACAGAAGAGGATGGTATTGAAACAATATTATTATCATCTGGAGCCTGATCTGGAGTGTTGTCTGCCTCTGAAAAACAAACACTTTATCAGTATCATAAAATTATGGTTTAACAGCTTTAAGTTACAATATGCCCCTTTTCCCTCCCACTAAAAAGATTTATAAATACAGGTAAATATTTATATGTGTGATTATAAATACAGATATAACATAAGAGTTTTACTACAATAATTTCAGTAATTTTACACATTACTAATTGAGGTAAAAATACTTATCGTCCATGCAGAAAATCTAAATAAAACAATTGTATACTTAAATCTTCCATATTAAAACATTACATTATGAAACATAAGAAATATATATAAATAAAGAAAAATAACTTCCTTTTGTCAATAGTAGACTGGTTCTATGCTGGACAAAGTAGCTTTTGACCACTCAGCATAAGTTGAAAGTGATATATCAGCGTTTTAACAAATTTTTATTGAAAAATAACTTCAGTTATCAAAAGTATTTAGCTTAAAAAAATTATTAAATGATTTGAAATACTTAGAGGTTACACACATAACGCATAGATACATTTGCTCTTTCCACTAGATCTCCATTGTCATTAAAAATTAATGTCCCTCCTAAGGGAGACAACCAAAAAAGTTCTCTAATTACAGGAATTGGCAAACAGACTAGTGGTCCATGGTCTTCTGTTTCATTGTGGTATAAGAGTCTATGATGTGTTACTTACAGATATATAGGTCCATGGTCTCATGTGTAATATGCATATAAGACCATGGCATGTTTATGAGTCTAATTGGTCCATGGTCTTATGTTTCATTGTGGTATAAGAGTCCATGATGTGTTAATAACTTATGTATAGGTCAATGGTCTCATGCTTAATATGTATTAAAGAGACCATGGCATGTTACTTACAGTCTAGTTGGTCCAGGGTCTTCTGTTTCATTGTGATCCAGGAAGTGTTAATAGATATATAAATTATAAGTCCATGGTCTCATGTGTAAAATGCATAAAAAGAGACCATGGAATGTAACTGACAGTCTTATTGGCCCACACTCTACTGTTTCTTTGTGGTATAAGATTCCATGATATGCTTATAACAGATATATAGGTCCATGGTCTCATGTGTAATGAGTATAAAATAGACCATGGCTTGTTAATGACTGTCTAATTGGTCCATTGTGTTCTGTTCCATTGTGGTATAAGAGTCCATAATGTGTTACTAACAAATATATAGGTCCATGGTCTCATGTGTGATATGTATAAAAGAGAAAATGATATGCTTATAACAGATATACAGGTCCATGGTCTCATGCGAAATATGTATAAAAGAGGCCACAGCATGTTGTTCTAATTGGTCCATGGTCTTATGTTTCATTGTGGTATAAGAGTCCATGATGTGTTAATAACATTTGTATAGGTCCATGGTCTAATGTGTAATATGTATAAAAGAGACCATGGTAAGTTACTGACAGTCTAATTGGTTCATTGTCTTCTGTTTTATTGTGGTTTAAGAGTCCATGATGTGTTGATAACAGATATATAGGTCAATGGTCTCATGTGTAATATGTATAAAAGAGACCAGGGTATGTTACTGACAGTCTTATTGGTCTTTGGTCTTCTGTTTCATTGTGGTATAAGAGTCCATGTGTTAATAACATATGTATAGGTCCATGGTCTCATGTGTAGTGTGTATAAAAGAGACCATGGCATGTTACGGTCTAATTGGTCCATGGTCTTATGTTTCTTTGTGTGTTGAAAACAGATACATAGGTCGATGGTCTCATTTGTAATGTGTATAAAAGAGATCTTGGCATGATACAATCTAATTGGTCCATGGTTTTATGTGTTATTGTGGTATAAATGTCCATGATGTGTTAATAACATATGTATAGGTCCATGGTCTCATGCGTAATATGCGTAAATGAGACCATGACATGTTACTGACAAGTCTAATTGGTCCATGGTCTTCTGTTGCATAGCTTTATAAGAGTCCATGATGTGTTAATAACAGATATATATGTCCATGGTCCATGGTCTCATGTGTAATATGCATAAATGAGACCATGACATGTTACTGACAGTCTATGGTCCATGTTTTTATGTTTCTTTGTGGTTTAAAAGTACATGATGTGTTATTAACGTATATATATGTCCATGGTCTCATGTGTAATATGTATAAAAGAGACCATGGCATGCTACAAACAGTTTAATAGTTCTATGGTCCTATGTTTCGTTGTGGTAAAAAAGTCCTTCATGTGTTTCTAACAGAAATATAGATCCATGGTCTCATGTGTAATTTGCATAATAGCGGAAATGGCAGAGTCAACAATATCTAGTCTGATTAACCATTTGACAGTCTTAATAAAAAAAAAGTGCAAGTAAGGGGGGGCGTACGCCCTCTACGCCCCCCTCTGGATCCGCCACTGACCAGTGCTGATTATTCCCTCTCAAGGTTATAAACTGTTTTTTAAAATTTGAAAATGTTATCATCATGATTATTCACAATCCTAACCACAGCCCAGTAAAATTTTCCTCAAAAAAGCCATCATTAATTTATAGCAGACAAATTTTCTGTGTTTATTCATTCTGGATCTTACAAACACTTTTAGTTGTTGTAATTAATCATCTCAGAGTTCTCGAAATCTTTTTTTTCCTGGTGGTCATTGGGACCACCAAGACTAAAAATCTGGTGGTCCTGTAATTTTACTTGAATTTATCAAACACCTATTAGTTAAATGAAAGTCATTGCTCAATATATATAAACTCCATCCTAGTTTCTATGTTATATATTTGGTGGTTTTCAATGAAATTTTGAACTTTGCATTGTTCACTAATTTTTATACTTTGTCAGTTTGATAACATGTTTGATTTCATTTTTGTGTTAGTCTCATGCATAGTACTACCTGTAGAATACCTGTAGAGTCGTTTAAGGGCTCAAGTGTAAAGAATTTCAATAAAAATTTGTAATAAAAATAATTTATCACTAGAACTGGTACATAACATCTTCCCAATGATGATCAAGTTGTAATTTAAAGTTATCAACGGTCTTTGCAGACACAACATTTTGGGTAAACTGTTCTAATTGTTTATAATTCGTTAGGAAAAATGTCTTTTACGAAATGATGAATTACATCGAGGCTTAATAAGTTTAACAGGTTGGGTGGACTCAAGTAAGGAAAAGTGGGGTATTCCCTGTTTTCATGTTACACCCCAGTTTTCTGGTGTTAAAAAAAAACCAGTATATAGGGACTTCTTTTTTCCTATTTTATGGTATGAAATCTACAAAAGTGCACCTTTTACATCTGATAACAATGTTTTATGTTAGCAGGTGTTTTTATAAGTTCAAAAATCAAACTAATTTCAAGTCTATTTGGTACTCAACTCACAACAAAACAACTCCTTTGTTCACCAATTCATACCTTGATCATCAATAATTCAATTATGAGATGACAAAAAGATAGGTTAATCAATTGGGCATTTAAATTCAATGAATAGAAACTTTCAATAGAAGTGAACATAATTCAGTAATGGTCAGTTACACCTGGAGCATGCATCTTGGTCAGTTGATTCCTAAACAAAAGATTTGTATGTTTTTGAGTTCTAGAAAAAGAAAGGCCTCACTTATTCATGCTTTGTTGTTCATGAAATACTCTAAGTATTTACAAATACTACTGATTCATGCCATAAATTGAAATAGAAATTGGAAGTCCCTGTAAACTGGGATGTCCCTGAAAACAGTGAATACCCCACTTTTCCTGACTTGTTCCCAACCTGTGTCCACTACAATCATTTACAGTGAAAAGTGCATTAAAATTAAGAAATAAAAGAAGTCTGATGTTTATTCCTCAGCTGCAATTTTTGTAATATAGAAAAAAATGTTCAGTCTCTGTCTGTTCAAATACAAAGTCCTCTGGTTTAGCACCCCCTTTGAACGAAATGAGCCATGTGGATGCCATGATGACTTTTATGTCTGGTTATTTTTCAAAAGTATTACCGTAATTTTAAGCTAGAGGCTACAAAAGTTAAATTACAGTAGTAACCAGTTCAAAAACTATCTGAATACCAAAGAAACCGACGACTGGTTCTTTTTCAAAAGTAGTACCGTAATTTTGACCTATACAGTTAAAAGTTTGTTTACATTAGCAACCAGTTCAAAAGCTATCTGAATACCGAAAAGATGTGAAAACAAAAGTGAACAACCACCAAAATATTGTCGGTCATCAGGACTGCCACTACACATGCAATTTTCGGTCCTGGCTGATTTTTGGCGGTCAGGACCGACGATTTTCGAGAACACTGTCATCTTACAAGTTACATAGAAGATATATATAACTGCCCTCCATTAGTTAAGCTTACTTAACTCAGTTTGTATAGCAGTGGCTTACTATGCCAGGTGTTTTAGGTTCAAATCAAGGCTGAATCAGTAATTTACTTTATCAGACAAATCATGCTTTCCGGTTACAATCGGTGTCTAACTAAAAAACCAAGGGTGTTTAAAAGTAAAACCTACAGCCAGAGTAAGTGTTGTTGATATTGCCCGTATGTCATTAGGTATGTTGACGCGGGGGAGTGTAGCCGTGCTTCCCCTTCGGTACCTCGAATGACCAAATAACACTTGAAATTTTAATATTAGCACATATTGATGACTTTTAAACATTGATTATTAAATGATATTATATTTATAAGTGTATTTTATAACTTAAAAATGATTTACAGAAAGCAGGTAATTTCATAAAGATCATTATAAATATAGTGTGTACATCCAACATGGCGACCAAGGAAATCACAAATAAAAGAATGATTGCATAGGATCCCTCAATGTGTTCATTTTAGACCACAAAAGTGGAGCCCTCACGCCACTTCATGGCATTACCCCTTCCCCTTAGTCTCACCTTGTCAATACTTAACCATGTGCTTGTAGATTACTGTTTAGCTGAGTTGGTAGTGCAGCGACTTTCTTCTGTGCAATGGGTCACAGGTTCAAATCACGATTGGTTCAGTAATTCATTTTGAAAAGCAAATAATGATCTCTGGGTTACGTATTATTACTATTAATCATAGTGAAGTTAATCATATTAAGTTAAAAGTCATGTACAGCTGTGGGAGCGGTACAGCCTCTTTAAAAGGAAAATCCTATTTATTGTCGCGCGATCTTTTTATGCCTTATCCTAGTCTTTTCTTATATTTCTTCAATTCATTTATGTCATTGTTTGGGGTATCTGTAGCCGTAGATAACTTCAGTAGGCGACGGTATAAAACTATGCAAATAACTTTTGTAAGTGCTTTTTAGAGAAATCCAATTAAAAAAAACATCACTGTAAGTTTCCTCTGCCACTAAAATACATAATTGTTCTCCTTCTTCTGACTTGGCACCGCTTAAAAACACAGGGGTTTCGATGCAGGACCGTCGCCATCTTAATTACAGCTTCACCATAATGCATAAGTATCTGCATCTCCGATTGGCTCCCTGAAAGTGACGTATTAGATATCTTTATTTGGCATTTGCAGGATATTTCCCAACTATCTAGTGTTAATAACGTAGTTTTTCTATACGTTGTATTTCTAATGTTTTTTACAAAACATTTGGCGCCAAATTGAAGGACTAACGAATTCTGTCCCCTAGTTGTTTTAAGCTTGTAATAGATTCAGATTAAGTTTGCTAATTAGATTATGTGCGCATAAAAAGTGCGCACATATCTCAGTGTGTAATTTTAAAATCTCAGTGTGTAATTTCAAATTCTCAGTGTGTGTTTTTCAGTTTATTTCATCTCAGTGTGTCTTTTTGAAATCCCAGTGTGTAATTTTCAATTCTCAGTTTGTAATTTTCAATTCTCAGTGTGTGTTTTTCATTTTTTTGTAATCTCAGTGCGTCTTTATGAAATCTAAGTGTGTAATTTTTAATGTTCAGTGTGTGTTCAACTTTAGGTTTTTTAATCTCAGTGTTTTTTTAAAATTCTCAGTGTGTAAATTTTTCGAAAAATTGTTTAAACATAGTTTTGACGAGAACGGCTTGCCATAGATAGGGTCGTGATATTTCTGAGATATAAGATGGGCGGTATCTAAATATGTTATTATACATTGCTTTAATATACTCTAAGAAGTCAGTATCGATTGATTGAAATGTGCTTGCTTTTGAGTCCAGTGGCAAATACTTAGCGCATTTTTGGACAAGAACAAATTAGCAATACATACTTATGTAGGTCTGCTAAGTTGGACTGCCACTAGAAAATGAAGGCAACTCAGTTATATCGGAGCAAAACTTTTGTCTTGCAGCAGGGCACCTAGAAGGATCCATCAGAAGGTTGTTGCAAGGGTTTGTTGATGTGTAGTGCATGTGGCACTCATCTTACACGAAGCAACGGATGTAACGTCCCAGTTCTGACCGTACGTGGCTGCGAATATATATATATATTCCGAACAGCCAAATGGACGCCACATTTTAACAAGGGTTTTACTTTCGGATGCGAGAAGTCCAGGGATTACTATATTTCTATACCAAAGTCAACCTTTAGGGTGACAGAATGAGTAGTTAAGAATACAACTTCCACATATAAATACCGATTCTATGAAATAGATTTTATTAACCAATTTTGGACTAATGGGGTGTCGGGCAAATGGGGATGTCGGACGTATGAAGCGTCGGAACAAAAGGGTGTCGGAATATTGGGCGACTACAAAAAGGTTAAGTTTCGGACAAAAAGAAAATCGGACAAAAAACAACGGAAAAAAGGCAAAAATTGCGGACGAACTCAAATTTCCAGACAAAAAGTGACGAATATAAAGCAAATGCTTCTGACAAAAATCAAAATTTTTCGGACAAAAAGCAACGTCGGACAAAAAAGCAAATTACCAACAAAAAGCACTACGTACTACCCATTAACAGTTTTGTTGATTTGGCAAGTACAATTAAAAATGCTGACCATTTGTTTGACGAACAATATGGTGTTTTTTCTAACGATGGCTATCAAAAATACCTAATAAGATCTTTTGAATTTAATACACATTGTTATGCACCAAAATACATGTCAAGTTTGATTTAAGATTGCATACTTGTCGTTGAAGTATAATTCCACGGTCACTCAGATTGAAATGTCTAAATTCATTTGACTTTCATTGACTCCACATCTCCTTTTATTTATCTACATTATGTTAAAGTTTCCTTTAAGTTGGACAATCTCTTTATCTGTAATTAACTATGAATAGGATTAATCCATAATGACCTTGTGGTTTTTTTTCAGTTAGAACAAACTTGCAACTGGATTTAACATGCCACCTTATCAAAATTCGGCCTAGACAACATTGGAATGACTATCACTTGAAATGTAACAAGTTATGTTAAAACTATTAAACCAACTGGTTTTAAGTAGTCCGTTATTCGTGCCACAGAAGTAGTTTCTGAAATGATCCCAGGCATACCATATATGACAATCGTATCCGTAAACACAAAACTCTTTAAAAGAATACTACTTCGTATATTTACTTTAGATATTTTGTTTAGTTTGCGGTAGACATATGTTGTCTGCGGAGGATGACCAAGTCTTGTTAAGTGTACAAAATGTTGAATAGATAATAAAAAAGGGGAAAATAAAAAACACAGCTGTATTCATTTTCAAGTAACTACTTAAAAAACACAGCTGTATTCATTTTCAAGTAACTACTATTTCCATAATCCAGTACTCTGTTTTACATTATAATACTGTTTGGTTCCATCTGGTTTTATTTCATTTTAGAGGTCAGGCTACTGAAAAAGGGGAGGGGGGGGGGGGGGGGGGGTTGAAAATAAGTTTGTCGAACTATTCTTATAGATCATTCGTTACTTCATTTTATCACGCAGCAGAATTTCATAACTTGGAACTTCGGAGTTCCACTGTCCGAATAACTAATACAATCAGAAAGTATTCTTATATTCGTTGAAAACTTGTTTTCGTCGCTTATTTGCTGATATGATACTGCACCCAATCAATCAATAACCATATTCAGAAGAGATCCTGTTGCATACAAGCAGTTAGATAGTACGTAGTTACTGCGTCATTATTTTTTATTTCATGAAATAATATATGTTACGTTTAGTTGACATTTCAAATAAGGTGATATGAAAAGTACATTTACTATTAATATTCATATAGGAAATGTACTTTGGTTTGAATTGTTGACAATTTTTAAGTTATGAATTATATATACGCATTAAACTTTTACCATCCCAAGGAATTAGTGTGTCTCCATTTTATCACACTGTCACTCGTGATTTAATATATGGGAGAAGAAGAAAATAATTAGGACGAAAGGAATAAGCAATATGAAGGCTAACAAATACGGATTCGAATTAGTACAGGTAAGACACTTTATACATGTGTTTTGTTGTCTCAAATTTACTTCACCTATTTATATAAAAATGACTCGGTTAATGTACCATTTATGCCTTTTCGAGTGTGACGTAAATAATGTCACATTTCCGTATTTCGGTATGAAAGTACAGAAATGCATGCAAAAAAAAATGATTGCTCTCGAGGAATAACCCGAAGTATCATCACCATAAGGAGAAATGGCTCTTATAACTATTTCATTACTGTTCAAAAAAGAAAATCTGTCGATGAAAAAGAAACAAAAGTTGTAATTCATTCACAAGTAGCAGTCATATTTTTTCTATAATCATTTTCAATGTATTTCATAAGGCTAATTTGATTATGAGAAACAGAAAAAAACCAATGCTTCTAAAAATGTTCATAAAGTTTCAAAAAATGATCTTTTTTTTTAAATTGGTAGAGGGGTTTATGACTTGTATGAAATAATAAAGCAACATAGTTTTTTTTCTGTTCAGTGACATTCTATTTTTTGTATGCTTAACCCAATTTATTTTGTCTGAAATTTACAAGGACACAATGTGTACCATTTTGTTTTAAAACTACACGATAACGTAAAAATATTCAGATACTACTGTTTACAGTAATCCAAGTTCTTTCTGTAAACAAATTAGATAAATGTTATACAATTCATGCACTTAAATCTTCCTGCATATTCAAATCCCGTTTTCTCTCTCAATATAGTTATTCGGGTTGATATCTGATTTCTTTGCTTATTCATAGACGTACAGTTTTATGGCACCAATAAACCTATCTAGCCTATCAACCATTTTTTCCATTTTAAAGGAGTAGGGCCAATTTCCACCAAATTGATTTAAAACTGGGGCCATTTCCAAAAAGTCTTTCAATCTTTACATAAATTCATAGTATCAAACATCCACGGAGCTCATGCACTGTGATCACCCTAAAACATTAAAAGAGTCTTCGTGATTCAAACCCCCATTGTTTATTGGGACAAGAAAGCACTGAGTACTGAGATGATGATAACCTCTGGGACCAATAGTCCACCAGCAGTAGTATCGACACAATGCTAATAAATGACAAAATCACTTAACTTTCGTGCTTCCGATGCTCTTTTCTGTATTTAAATTCATCAGGAACGCTCATATCTAAGCATTTGAAAGCCAGGCCGCCGTTTAACAAAGCCTTCTTAACTTACGATCATCGTATCATTTTACGATCCGTTTACGTGTGGTTCTACGTTCCCGTTACGTGTGTTTCACAAAGGCATCGTAAAGGACTACTAAGTTGATCGCAAGTTACGCACTGTGTATCATCGTAAGTGTATCATAAAACGGAACAACAGGAGGTGTGAATCGTAGTTTATTTACATCGGAATATGGCACACTCTTCTTTCACAGATCGATGAGTCGAGCATGCCGATGAGAGCGGACGTGAAAATGTTTGCAGAGAGAATCATTCAACATCATTGAAATTGTTTTGCCAAATTGGTTTCATGGATAAAGATTGTTATCCTTACATCTTATATTTTATGTTTTGGATCTATTTTTTTGTTGAGAAAAGTCTCTGCAAATATTTTCAGGTTTGTTTGAGACATGTAGTCAGATGGAATCCATTAGTAGTTTCCATGTGGGAAACTATCAGACCAATCTGTTTGATGTCTGAGGGTTTTAGCTGTTGTTCCCCTAATGGATCGGTAGTTTCTTTCCGAAATGCTTTATCGTAGGATTTTCGGCTTTACTCTACCAGGAATACAGCTGGGCATTTAGCGGCATCGGTTTGGAATCCAAGTATGTCCTTTCCGGTTTCTCGTTCGTTGCCTTGGCATTTGTGCGGCATCCGGGGTGACCTTATCCTTTATTTTGCATATAATTGTTTTTATATTTTGGATTTTTATATTTTTGAGGACGAGCTAATCAGGTGAGTGGGTGTGTTCGTATGTTTTTCATTTGTAGACGAAACACAAGCCTTGTATCTTTGATGGGTTACTTCCTTTGATATTCAATAATACTTTTTTTCTTTGTATCGGAAATTTGAAATAATAGGAGAGTGACGAGACGTGTTTATATCTGATCAAAGGATTAAACGAATTTTTTAACAATTATTTGATAATGTCTAAAGTTATTATAGTACTGCAACTTTAGAGGAGATATGATTGCTTGATTGCAGTTTCTGGACGTACAGTGGCAAATATTTCATGCAGATTTATGACCAGGAGAAGAATTTTCAAACAAGAAATAAAAAGTTGCATGCGTTGTCGTTGAAAAAGAATTAAAAAAAAGTCCAATAAAAATAAACAAAACCAGTGTATATAATGTGCGAATCCTGAAATACCATTTTCATTGTATCCGTTATGAATTTCTAATGTAGAATGATAAATAAACAGACGACAAATTCATGATTTTTGAATAGAATAAGAAATCAGATATGATGTGTACTGTTTTTTTTTGTAAATTCATGATATAGGTATGAGATGCGGACGAGTTTTCATCGCGCCTACAGCCATCCAGGTGTAAAATTGATACACACATAGATAGATATTAAGAATAGTTCACGAACAGAGCGTGCAAGAGATTTAAAAGCAGCAGTTAAGTTTCATTTGCAGAAAAATGTACCTTTTAACATAATTATTAATGTTGTATAACTTAAAACATGCAGGTTTTGTTATTCAGCTTGTTGATATTGAATTAAATTCCACTATGCTGTTTTCGTTATGCGATTCATGTTTACTGTCGAATAATGATACTAGACTTTCATTTTCACTGTAGGGGCGATTCATTTCTATTGTACATGCGATGCATTTTCACGGAAGGAAATTAATTAATTTTCATCACATAACGTCTTAATTAAGCCGACTCTCTAACAAAATTTATGAAGTCAGAAGGATTGATTATATGTAACCCGCCACGACATTTCCAGCCTTATGGAGGTAGAACATCATTGTGAGAAAAACGCCGTTAACTATATGTGACTAGCCACTTCCAGGCTTATGAGGGTACATTGTCTAAAATTTGCTTTTTGTATATTTATCTAGAACATTCTGAAGAAAAAAAAAACTCTGTCATGTTATTATGACCTATTTTTTGTAATAACAATGAAACGAGTCATTTCGAATACCGACATGATAATGAGACTGTTCGATGACGAATTTTTCATTATCGAAGACACTAATTTATAAAATACAAAATTATTGTATTTTATTGGCGCTTAGTAATCTTCAACAGCGTATTTGAATAAAAATTTCAAACGAATTAAATTTACAACATTAAAAACAGTTCTTAGCTCTGTTTTAGAAAATGTAATTTAAACTTGTTAAAATGAAGTTAGTATAAAATTTGTCAAAGAAAGCTTTTAGAATTCCCTTTTTCTTTTTTTAATTTGTTTTTTAACTTAGATGTATGATGCATGTCTCTATACATAGTATGCGACGCGTAGCAGTTTATTAGTAGTTGTTCTCATATATGCATTTGATACGGTGCATTTGTTATGGATATATTTTAGACTCCATTTATGAAAATCTATAATAGAGCAGAGAATTTTGATTTTTTGTATCAATTTAAAATGTAGATTCAAATATTTATATGTCGTTGATACAGACAAAAAGATCTATCATGTCAAAATCATGATACAATAGGAAATTTTACAGAATAAGCCTATTTCTTACTGAATAGAGGAAGATGGCCAAAAGAATTACAGAATACAGAAATGTAAACCCCCACCCCCTTTTTCCCCTAATCCAGACCCCTCATATATCATTGTGACGGATAGTTTTGTTTGTTCTATTTAACTGTTTTTATTTTCGAAAAGAATATTTGTACAAGGTGTTGTTAATAAATGTAACGGACAATATATACCATGCCCTCTAAGCCGACGTCGTAATTTCATTTTTAATGAAAGAAAGTATTTAAAAGCTTCTCTCCCTGTCACAGTGCAATATGATTTATTAAACTCATTAGGCAGAGCAATTTTTATGACTACTTGCATAATTGTTTAATCGTATTAAATTCTGTATCAAATTTATATTAATAATAAAAGTTTCAGATCTTTAACATTGAAAACGGGTTAAAATTATTTACTTGCGTTAATATTGATATAAAAACAATTTTTTGTGTTTTTTTTGTAGATCTAAGAAAAAAGCAACTCTGTTACACTAAAACAATTGTCACATGGTGTCTTCTTATGTCGTCTGAATTACAATGTAAGATGCTGATCTGTAATTTATATATTCGCCATCCGTAATTATTATCTAAAATGTTTATTTGGCATGCCATACTCGATAGAAGTGCGGACGTGAAAGAAAGCACTCTTCACAAAAACGTGAACATTACATTTCGATGATTTCGTCATTTATAAAACATAATACGTGAATCTGAAGATAGAAGTTGTATTAAAATTGAATGTTGACACCGATATCGACCTGTTGGATGTAGAATTTATTTTCAAAATAGGTGTTTGTTTAGAATATACCATTCCACGTAGTCCAAATAATTATGACGTCTTGGAAGGCTATTTTAAATTTTTGCTTTGACGCCTTCCTGCGACGTCGATGTAAGGCGTCAAAGAAAAAAATATAATAGCCTTTCAAGACGTCCTAATTATTTGGACTACATTCCACGGAGATTACATGCAAATCTCTGCAGTTTTCAACTTTGTTTAGTTTTCAAGACTGATATGATTTGGAATAAATGACCATTTTTAAAACAAAATTATTTATGGTAACCTTAAAAACAAAATTATTTATGGTAACCTTATAATCAAATTTAACTCATATCACACTCTATGTTGTGCTAAATATTTAGTCTTGCTTGGTCTTCTATCCGTTAACGGGAATTACAGGTTTACGAAGTAAACATTATGACGGCCGGTACGATCACTATCGTTGTGCAATATGTACTAAACTTTATAAAAATTAAAAATATAGTTAATAAAGAAATATAAAAATCTCAGATATAAGTATAACAAGCTACGGGTATATATAACTCGAAGTCGTTAGTTTTGCTTTGTTACGGTGGGACAAATCAGTGTCATAAAATAGGCGCTTTACCGGGGAACCAGTGAGTAGCGCAAAGCTAACAAAACCTGCGTTTCAGGAGTAAGTGCATGGGACCTATTTGTATCATGTTTTATATCTGGTTCTATTGCCAATGTTATTTCATTGATACCGTGTCTATCCAGTCTGTATCTGGATATAATATCCATTTCATTTTCAAAATGATCAAATGAAGAAAGTGTGGTTCTAATATTGAAGATTCTTCTTCGTCTTCTAACATTTGCGAAATCTTTGATCGAGAATAAAGCCATCTTAGATATGATTTAATTCATATTCGCGGAAAAACTACGATCGAGATACGACTGGGTATAGCTGTAGTAAGTTACGCCAGGATTTGCGTATTATTTACGCTCATCTTAACTTACGACGGCTTTGTGAAACGGCTGTAAAACCTACGATTTATTTACGATGAACGTACGATGACACGTAGACTTACGAAGGCTTTGTGAAACGGTACTCAGGGATTTTTAAATACGTAAATATGTAAAATTGTGAAATAATAGTTTAGTTGTATGCTATAGAATTCAATTTCCTGTAGGATTTGACAGCTTTAATAATTTGACCCCGTGAGTGAAACAAATACAGTTGAAAGTGGCCCTAATCCTTTTGAAAATCTTGGCTGACGATACTGTAGTACATCACAAATTGTCATTCGCAGCTTTGATTGAATGAAAGGAGATATAGGTTATACATCAATGAGATAGCAACCCAACGACACACATAATGAAAAGACATCTAGAGATCAGCATACATAATTCAACAATACAACAATAGACATGTATTTGTACAAAGCTACCTTTGCATGTGTACCTTTGTAGTTATATACATTTTAAATACTGAATTATACCTCAAGAATGTAGGATTTTTTAAGTACATTTTGTACTTCGAAATTGTACTACTCCAGTACCATAATTTAACAATACTGGATGTTGTACTGTTTTTTTTTTGGTCTAGATCGAACGGTTATGTCATCTCTGGGGCTAGGACCGATGAAATCCAAGACGACTATCATTACATTTTCGTCAAGTGAATTACTAGAAAATATATACCAAAACTGTGTTTGAAAATACAAACAGTTTACAATTATGTTATCTCTTTTCACCAAATAATATTTATTTCAGTATATATAAAAATAAGGAGATGTGGTATGATTGCCAATGATACAACTACCCACCAAAGTTAAATGAAGTAGATGTAAGCAATCATAGGCAACCGTACGGCCTTCAACAACGAGAAAAACCCATACCGTATAGTCGGCTATAAAAGGCCCCGACATGAAAAATATGAAACAATTCAATTAACGAACTAATTTATAACAAAGAAATGACTGTAGACAGTAGTATAAAATAACAATTTACGAAAAACACATTTGACAGACATAACCAACGCCGACAACCACTGAACTACAGGCTCCTGACTTGGGATAGGAACGTGCATAAAGAATGAGGTAGGGTTAAAAATGTTTATGAGCGCTCAACCCTCCCCTAACCTATTTACTCATTCTTTCATATATGTACTGTACAATACACTACTGTTATTAGTTTATGAGAACGATTTTTTTCATTGAGTATGTAACAGATCAGTAATATACCAGTAGAATACTTTTAACTCAGCATCGCAGCCGGTATTTGAGATCAATTTAATTCCATCATTGAATATGAAGGAAAAGATTGAAATGTACTCCCAAAATATAGATATCCTTTGTTTTGACAATAGTAAGTACAAATACAACTATCCCATGTTGCAAGAATAACAAGTACGAATATCCCTTACTGTAAAAAATCAAATCAAATCAAATCAAAAGCTTAATTTAGAATCGGTACATATACATATGTAACATTACAAACATAAGCTTGTTTTAAAACCAACAAAGATACTACATAAATGCAAATTACACACATAAGACATTACATGCACAATAATATATATAGATAAAACATAAACATTTTAAAAAGCAAACACATGTCATTACACAAGTCATTTCGTGCATTTTTAAAGAGTTCAAAGCAAAGAACATATATTATATGTTTAAAACTATATAGCACTAAAACAATATATTAATGCACTAAGCTTAAGTAGTTAAAAAGTAATTGTCATTTGTTAATCTGAAGCACAAAAGTAAATAAAAGGCACAAATAATTTGAGCACATAAAACAATAAAACAGTAAAATATTGATTCATGAAAATTAATGTAAGCATTGTCGCGGCACGAGTTGCCATTCCATGAGTTTATTAAATTTTGAACTGGCCAAATGATGTTTGTGATCTAAAGTGGTCTGGCAACTCTTTAGCAGCAGCATATCGAAATTATTTTAAGCCCATACCTTGTCGTTCGTTCTGACGGAGTTTCTGTAATGTTCTGGTACTCAAATTAATATTTTTTTCCTGAATAGAAGTGATATACTGTAAGAATAAAAAGTACATTAATCTGATAAAATTGTTTGTGTGTTTCTGTGTTTGTTATGTGTGTTTGTGTCAGTGTGTGTGTGTGTTGGTGTTGTGTGTGTTATGTTAATTGTGATTGGTATAGGGGATGAAGAATGTCAATATATGAGTTCTGAATTCCCTCCACTTAATGAAAGTCATTCTTTTTAGCCCGGAGAACAACAGTCTTCGTACAGTATCGACACCATAGGATCAACACATGAGGTATGTCTTAGATAGATTATAAAAAAAATAAACTGAAATGCAAACTTATATAGGAGACAGTTTAATAACAGATTTGACAGTGGTTTCGGTTTTTGTGTACAGCTACTCAAAAGCTGTTTTACTGAATTGAACCATTTGTGCAATAAATAGAGATTTAAAATACAGTAACAGTTTCCTCAATAGAAGAAAAAGGTTCAAACAAACTCAATATCCCACCTTGCCGCCACTTCTTCCGAAGTCTATGAGTCAAAAATTATTTCAGGACACCCTTCAATCTGTTGTTATGTAGGATCCGAAGCGTTCTACACTCTTCATGTACTTCATATTAAAGTACAATGAAAAAAGTACTCTGTATTGCGACGGGCCGGAGATTGAGATGCGGATACCGCATGTCCTTACCTATTGTTCTATAATCATGATTATGTTTATTCGCAGGTACTCGATACTATTAATTTTAATTATTTATAACGCGGAGTTCCCTGGGTTGATTCTGACTGTTGTTAAACAGTAAATGAAAAACGCCATGAATAGCCATGAATATTCAAGCCAATTAATCTTTTTTAGTTGATAGGAGAGAAGAGTAATAAAAAGCCAAACAATAGACTTAGAATAGGACTTGCAGTAAGTAGCCGTTTATTTTTGTTATTTGTGTTTTATATAATGATAGTATCATACCAGAATCTGTGTTATTTTGTATGTCAATGCTACTAATGATGATGTGTCAAAAAATCCCGAAACATTGAAATCCGTTATCGGTGCAAATTTTATAATAGAGGTTTCCGGTTTGATTTTTCCACACATTTGATTTTTCACAACAGATCTGACAGTTGAAATTTTAAGGTCATGTTTTTTTTTCTTTTTAAGCCAAACAGGACATATTTATTAATGCTTTATTAATTATCATAACTGTTGCTATAGAACATACATGTAGATCTTATGGGGGATTTTAATATTAATATTATTGGCAAGGTTCCAGTACAATGTAAATATCTAAAGATCCTAGATCCAAGCTGGATATATATGTTCCTGATCCAAGGATGGATAAAGATATCAGTTTAAGATTTATATATGTTTTTTTTTGCTCAATATTATAATAGTAGTAATACAGTCTTTTTGATAAAGTTGGATAAGGTGGTTATAGCCAAATTAATTAATTTTGATACATATCCATATATGTGTTCCCATGGCCTAATCTAGGATTTGAGAGGGAGAAGTGACTTCTTTTTCTATGAGAGAATAGGGAGAAGTGAAATTCCATAACCATTTCGATTGTGTTGTGTTTTTCGTTCGTATTTATGACATATATAGGTTTTCTACATGTACATTAAGGAAATTGTTTGATTTATGCAATAAAAAAATATCTGCAGTGAATTTATATGATACTGTATATATTGAAAACCCTTAATAAAATAGCATTGACAAAGTAGTTGTTATTTACTTAGTCATATCAGTTGTACTGATAATTTGAATTTAAGTTTATGAATAAAATGTGTTGCTAATATATCTCATGTGCATCTATTTCAATTTATTTTAAAAACTCCAGAAACAAATTACACTCAGTTTGTATCTGATGACTTATTTTTTGTTTTTGTTTTTTTTTATCAAGAACTGCTTAAAAATGATTGGGCAATTTAATTTATATCACCACTTGTCCTTATTTTGTAAAACATTATTGTATGTCCAGTACATCATGTCCATTGTAACAGAGACACATATGTATCAATGGTTGTAATTTGAGATTCTCATGAATGATTGATGCCTATAAATGAAGATATCTGTCAATTAAACGTACTTTACAATTGAAAAAAATGCATTCATGATATCAAGGATTTTCAATGGTCTTACTATAAAAATCCTTGATGACACAAACTGAAAATAAAGGCCCAATTGACTCATATTTTCTGCCTAACAATTCCATTACCTACTTATATTGTACATGTATGCATTGAAGTTTTTGCATTCACAAATATGATAATTTCCAGTAAGTAAGATTGAGATGTTTGTGTATAGAAAGTGTGACCTATTGATTTATTATTGCACCAAACTTGTCCCTCTTTACAAAAATTAATATGTTGAAATAGGTTAATGACCCTATCATATAATTCACAGTTTGACATAACAGACCCATTAAAGCTTTACAACTGTACTAAATTACTACGTATAAGACTGATAGTCTGATATAAAAAAAGAAGATGTAGTAACTGTATGATTCCCAGTGAGGCAACTCTCAACCAAAGACCAAATGAAGTAGACATTAACAACTACAGGTCACTGTACAGCCTTCTACAATGAGCAAAACCCATACTGCAGAGTTAAGCTATAAAAGGCCTGAAATGACAATTGTAAAACAATTCAAACAAGAAAATTAATGGCGTGATTTATGTACAAAACAATAAACAAAAAACAAATATAATATGAGGCAACAAACAATAACCACTGAATTACAGGCTTCTGACCTAGGACAGGCACATACAGAATGTGGTGTAGTTAAACATATTTGCTAACGCCCAACCCTACCGTAACCTTGGACAGTGGTGTAGCAGCACAACATAAGAACAAACTATAAAAATCAGATGAAAAGGGCTCAACTCATCAGATCGATACATAGCTCAAAAACAACTGATAAAAATTGAAAACACGAAAGACACAAAGTACAGATCTGAGGGTACTATCAGTTACTGAAAGCTACATTTGTTTTGTAGTTTAAAGCCAAAAACTACTGATAAAAAAATCATGCATCTAAGCCTGATACTCCTGTTCCATGTTCTTGGTGTATTTTGATTATTTACATTTTGTTTCATTACATAAATGGAATAAAGCACTAATATCAAAAATATTCAGAAGCTACTTAAAGAAACTGTTTGTAAAGATTGATTAAGCTTGAGAGATTATAAGTGTGTATTCCTTTAGCTGTTGTCATGAGTAAAATTCAGGCCATTATTTCGGGCATTTAGAGAGAAGCTTATGAATGACCTAAAGGGCATAAAAAAGGTCCAAATCTGGACTTTTGGTCCTAAATGAACCAAAGCATCAGAAAATTTTCATACATATTTAGTATATGAAGAATTAAAATATGACAATGCCAGTTTACCTCCGTAATGTTGCCCTTGATTGTCTCATGGAAAAAATAATTTGTTATTATTGAAATTTATTTTTTCCCAAACTTTTGTGTTGACCAAACTTCTCTAAGTTATTTTACTGCTATAAAACAAGCTTAAATCTGTACCATGAGTTGGAGGTGTTGGTGTAAATTTAGAGCAAAATATATCCTTTTATTCATATCTGTCATTTTTTTTTTATGATACATTGTACATGTATTTTTTTTCTCAGAAATTGTATATCTTTTTATATTTTGAAAGTTTTTCTTTTAATTTGAAATTTTTAATTTACTTTTATTCTGTTCTAACCTTTACTTTTTGTCTGAGTTTCAAAGAATTATTTAATGAATGGATATGTCACATATATGTGGGGTAAATTTCAAGAAGACAGCAGCTTAAAAGAACACAATGAAACCATAAGCACACCTTGAGGTGTGGATTAAAATATTTTGAAAAGGGAGGTAGTGATTTGGTATTCAACCTGGATAAGGGATAGTTCCAATCTAATTTTTATCTATTTTAAAGAGATTACAAAAATCTTGAAAAAAGGTGGTTCCTTGATCTGCCAATATGTTCAACAAATTGTATTCAACAATAGACTAAATGTCCAAACAATTTGTTTATCTCTCAGAGACCAGTTATGAAATTATTCAACAGAAAACATCATAGATCAGCAATCACATAATCAAATCCAAAGAAATGTAAAAAACTGTAAGACTCTACACATTTATATACTGGTTTTTAAGAAAATTGAATGTTTTATTGATTGGTTTTTTCCCCTATTAAAGAGTATATATATATATTGTGCATTTATAATAATTTTTTTCATCCTGATTTCATACAAAAAATGTCTATCTGATTCAATATATTAATAAATACATTTCATTGTAGGTAGTTCTTATATCAATTGTCATACTAGTTGTTGTGTTAGTCTTGGTATTTAATAAAAAGAACGACTCTAATAAATCTGGGGAGAGCTCTGCTCAAGATCATGGTAGATATACAACATCCAGGCTTACTTCATCAACAGCAAATCAACAACCTGTATCTACAACAGATCATTATACAACATCAAAACATTCAACTAAACCACAACCAGAGTTGACAACAACTGATCCTGGGCAAGATTGGTTAAAGGAGCCATGCCAACCCCAGGATGCTGTCACATGTCCATGGAAGTAAGACTATTTTTTTATTAGCTCATGAAATAAAAGTCACATTAGTCTATAGTCTTTATCTTGATGTAAGGTTTCACGCACATCAGCTTTTTGTGGAAGATTGACGTCGAAAGCACTTGCAACATGTTGGGTTTGAACTCACAACCTCAGTGTTTACAGGCTAGTGACAGTATACTTTTTAATATTTTTTGTTTCTGACCTTATATCATGATTTTGATTGCATGGATATAAAATGGATTGATTATAAGGCAAGGAGAGAGACAAGTACCGGTATTCAAAACTCTGCTATATGTTTAATATGGTGTAGACCATTAAGAAATATTAAAAATGAAGAATAACAATAAAGCACTTCTTATTTAATTGCTAGTTTATGGTAGAAAAGCTCTTCAGTCACATTGTACTTGGTCGATACCACTGCTGGTTGACTGTTAATTTCCAAGGGTATCCCCAGCTCAGTAGTCAGTGATTCAGTACTGACATGAATTATAATCTATTTTATTTCAAAATTTTATGTTGATAGATAATTAATATATTTAGAAACTAAGGTTTCAACTCTGTCATGAAAGTTGACATTAGATGACTATTTTATTAGGTTCCTTTTGGTCCTACAGCTAACATTTCTACATTTTTATATATCCATGGTTTTCATATATTTGTGGTTGATTGTTCCTGTAGAATGTTTAAATCTTGAAAAGGGCTGCAGATGCACAAAAGTAATAAAATGCTATTTTCACTAATTTCATGAATCCTTTCTTTGATGCTTTAGTCAGTTAGTACATTGTAGAAAAATTTACACACAAAAATAAAAGTTTGCTAATGCTCATGAAGTATTTGATGCATGTTGCACTTTATGTTCTTTTACTATTAAGAAATTGGATTACAGAACACTCTATGTGCATTTTTTAACTGATATATGGAATTCATAATGTAACAATTGACAAAATTGTTATTTTGGAATCATAAATCTTGTACTGTTTTCATAGGTTGTTCAAAACTTGAATAACAGATAGTGTTAAACACACATTGTAAAGTAATTAATTTACATTTTATTCACCGGCCAGGACACATTCTGTGATAAAAGCTTAAGAAAACATGCCTAACTGATGTATTTAATCTTTTTTTCCCAAATAAGATCAATTTAATATCTGGGGTAAACAAAATTGGTGGGTCTCAGGCTTATTTATGAGATTGAGTTCCCATGCCATCATTATGCTTCTAAGTTCTTCTTGATATGTGTCCCATATATCTATGTAAGTCAGTCAATATTTAAAGGTAGATAGCAATGTCTGAGTGAAATAGAAAATTTAGTGTAAGTGTCCTTATCATGTGTGGAACAAGGATTTAAGGTTATGAGGTGCACGGAATAATCATATGGTCTGATGGTCTGGGCATCTCTCAGCACTTCCATGATAGTGTAAAATTTAAATTAAGAAATATTATACAGACTTGTTGGAAATTTTCAAATGACCTGGGTTGTTATATTCTATTTTTATTCTGAACATTGGGAGTCTAAAAATTAACAGGCATGATTATGAAATGATAGATGAAAATATCTTTGTAGGAAAGTTCTTTATGACTTGAAATAAAAAAAGTCCTAATTTGTATTATACCTGTTGAAAAATGAATCCATCAGTTATACTTGCTGAAAGGGTTTGCATAATTTTTACTAGTAAATTAAATTTATGGATAGTTTACATTGACATTTCTTTGTTCAAATATGTGTGAAAGAATAAAGAATATAGATATAAAAATTCTTTTACTGCAGGTTGTAAACCAGTTTATTTAAAGTTGTGTTACACATTGTAATTATATTATAATCCTATTTCATCTCAAATTTCCAGAATTGTCAGATTTTAACCTCAAAGTTGGGGCAAATTAACATCATCAAAAGATTATAAAACGGAAACTTTTAAACTTTTTCTCCACTTTATAAATGGGTCTGATATCTTTATAGCAGAAGGGCCATGTGAGCTTTTGCTATCACTTTGTGTCTGTCGTCTGTCCTTCTGTGTTTGTAAGTAAACTTTTCTTTAAAAATCGTCTGCTCTAAAACAGCTCAATGGATTGAAAACAAAGTTTGTCTGCTTCATCTATAGGAGGTTATCTATAGTCTTTGTGATTTTCATCCAGATTGGTCAATCAACATGGCTAGGTTAAAAGTGTAAAACTGCAGAAAAGATCAGCATGACAAGATTTATCTTCTCTGAAAATTTGACAACCCATTTTGGAGTTATTTCTCCTGAAATCATAGGAACTAGGTTAAAAATGTAAATTGCAAAAATGATCAGCAACACAAAAAGTAACTATATTATGTGCATATAAAAGTCCTAATTAGAAAATTGTTATTTGTTTCAACAGGCAAGCCTCACAGGCACAAATGTTTAAAGATAGTACTTGTTTTTGTTGATTTTAAATTTGTCAGATATGCTTGGGATAGTTGTAGATTTTTGCTAATTTTTGGACAAATAACCTGAAAAAAATCCCCTAATACAGAGGGGAATCTCTTGGCCTCACCCCAAAGTAAACCACTACATTTAAATGCTACTTTAATTCTAAGTTATAAAGTCATCCATACTCAAGTATGAAACATGGGAAGCCTCTATCAGTGTCTTACTAATATTTTTGACAGTTATGACTTCCATTTCAGTTTTTAAATGGACATTTTGGCCTTTCTTCTTGTCATTATATATTTTTATGTTTACTTTGTAGGCAATACTGACACATTGAGCTAAATCATATATGATTTTTTGAACTGATATATATATAAAAAAAATTTAATGTTGCCTTTATTCTTTTAAAAGATGTTTTTTTGATACATGTATATAGGTATATTTCTTTGAATTTATTAGTAAGAATTAGGAAAAAAAATTAGGCACATTTAATTTCAGATCAAATCCTATGTTGCTAATTTCATTGGATGGTTTCCGTGCAGAATATCTGACGAGGAACCTGACACCAACACTTCAGAGATTAACTTCCTGTGGAGTACATACACCATATATGAGGGCTGTATATCCTACATTGACATTCCCAAATCACTACACTATAGTCACAGTAAGTGAAACAAATTTATACACTATAAGATTTGAACCAATAAAAGTACATGTACCAGTATTGTCCTTTTATCAGTACATCCTTAGTCCAAATAAGTCTGAATAAGGCTATATCATGGTTTTTTCTTTGAATCTTTTTTCCCCTTTTTTCTTTTCTAAATTGAAAAAATTGCCTTCAAAAACATCATGAATATGGAACTAAACTTATCATAAACCAGTGATTAAAGTTTGAATAAGACTTCCCCTTTTTAATTAAATATTTCTGCTGTGCAGCTTTTATTTTATTTGATGATCATAATGATGTATTGTATTTCTCTTTTCCATGTCCATACATTGGCTGCTAATCCATTAGTGTGCATGCTCTCTATAAAGATGTATCAGTAGTGTTGATAAAAGTTTTTAATAATCGTTGATATTTTTACAATCATTGGATTGTGAGTTCTCTATTGATATCTGCTGAAATGATGTGGTCTTATTGTCGAGCCTGCCACTTCTGGCGCAGAAAGCTCGACAAAAGGATAGTGATATGTTGGCGGCGGTGGCGTTCTTCTAAAAACTTCTTAAAAGCTTAATATTTCAGAAGGTAGAAGACATGGATGCTTCATACTTTGTATGTAGATGCCTTATGTTATGAAGTTTCCGTCTGTCATATGTCCATTGTCCTTGACCTGATTTTCAAGGTTCAGTGACTACTTGAAAAAAAAGTTAAGATTTTTTGTAATGTTATTTTCTCTCTTATTATGAGTAAAAAGATAACTATATTTGGTATATGCGTACCTTGCCAGGTTCTTATAAATAAAATTGAGAATGGAAATGGGGAATGTGTCAAAGAGACAACAACCCGACCACAGAACAGACAGTTTTCACTTTACCTCGACCTCATTTCATGGATCAGTGAACAAGGTTAAGTTTTCATGGTCAAGTCCATATCTCAGATACTATAAGCAGTAGGTCTACTATATTAGGTATATGGAATGATTGTATGGTGTACATATCCAACTGGCAGGTGTCATCTGACCTTGACCTCATTTTCATGGTTCAGTGGTTAAAGTTAAGTTTTTGTGTTTTGGTCTGTTTTTCTAATACTATATGCAACAGGTCAACTATATTTGAACCATGAAATGATTTTAAGATGTAAATGTCTGTCTGAAAGGGTTCATCTGACCTTGACCTCATTTTCATGGTTCATTGGTCAATATTAGGTTTTCCTGTTTAAGTTTGTTTCTTAGATACTATATGCAATAGGTCAACTATATTTGATCCATGTAATGATTGTAAGATGTACATGTTTAACTGGCAGGGTTCATCTGACCTTGACCTCATTTTCATGGTTCATTGGTCAATATAAAGTTTTCATGGTTTGGTCTGTTTCTTGTATACTAGAAGCAGTAGGTCAACTATATTCAGTGTATGGAATGATTGTAAGGTGTACATGTATTTCTGGCTTGGTTTATCTGACCTTGACCTCATTTTCTTGGATCATGTTAAGTTTATGTGATACATTTAGTAAAACTTTATATTTAGGACTATCAACATAAAAGCATTGGTCAGTAAAGCAGGCGAGACTTTTCAGCGTGTGCACTCTTGTTTTGAAATGTTTAGAAAGGCAAGAATACTTGATTCTTGTCATGCAAATCTGTCTGTCTTTATATGTCAGATTCCAGGCATGTTTGTTATGCCTGTTTTTCATTAACTGATTTTTAGCTCACCTGGCCCGAAGGGCCCAGTGAGCTTTTCTCATCACTTGGCGTTTGTCGTCCGTCGTCCGTCATCGTCGTCGTCGTCGTTAGCTTTTTACAAAAATCTTCTCCTCTGAAACCACTGGGCCAAATTTAACCAAACTGGGCCTTAATCATCATTAGGGTATATAGTTTAAAAAATGTGTCGGATGACCCCGCCAACCAACCAAGATGGCCGCCATGGCTAAAAATAGAACATAGGGGTAAAATGTAGATTTTGGCTTATATCTCTGAAACCAAAGCATTTAGAGTAAATCTGACATAGGGTAAAACTGATTATCAGGTCAAGATCTATCTGCCCTGAAATTTTTTAGACAAATCTGACAACCTGTTGTTGGGTTGCTGCCCTTGAGTTGGTAATTTTAAGGAAATTTTGCAGTTTTTGGTTATTATCTTGAATATTATTATAGATAGAGATAAACTGTAAACAGCAATTATGTTCAGCAAAGTAAGATCTACAAATAAGTTGTCATGACCAAAATTGTCAGTCAACCCCTTTAGGAGTTATTGCCCTTAATAGTCAATTTTTAACAATTTTTCATAAATTTTTGTAATCTTTTACAAAAATCTTCTTCTCTGAAACTACTTAGACAAATTTAACCATACTTGGCCATAATCATTATTAGGGTATCAAGTTTAAAAGATTTGTCTGATGACCCCGCCTTCCAACCATCATGGCCATTTTGGTTAAAAATAGAACATAGGGGTAAAATGCAGTTTTTGGTTTATATCTCTGAAACTAAAGCATTTAGAGCAAATCTGACAGGTGGCAAAAATGTTCATCAGATTTAGATTTATCTGCCCTGAAATTTTCAGACGAATCCGACAACCCGTTGTTGGGTTGCTGCCCCTGAGTTAGTAATTTTACAAAATTTTGCAGTTTTTTGTTATTATCTTAGATATCATTATAATATCTAATATCTAATACTATTAATTATGATTTTAACCTTATTTTACATGATTTCCAAAGCATCAGTAAATACAGGTGAGCGACACAGGCTCTTGAGAGCCTCTAGTTCTATTTACAGGGGTTATATCCTGAGTCCCATGGTATTGTAGATAACAATATGTATGATCCAGACTTCTCTATTTACAGGGGTTATATCCTGTGTCACATGGTATTGCAGATAACAATATGTATGATCCTGACTTCTCTACTTACAGGGGTTATATCCTGAGTCACATGGTATTGTAGATAACAATATGTATGATCCTGACTTCTCTATTTACAGGGGTTATATCCTGAGTCACATGGTATTGTAGATAACAATATGTATGATCCTGACTTCTCTATTTACAGGGGTTATATCCTGAGTCACATGGAATTGTAGATAACAATATGTATGATCCTGTCATTAATGAAAAGTTCTCTCTTGGTGGATCCTCAAAAATGAATCCAGCATGGTGGGGTGGTGAACCAGTAAGTTATACAGTTGGAAGTTACTCTTATACTGTATGCATTTAAGCCAGTTCTATTCAATTTGATAAATTTTGAAAACCCTTAAGTGATCAAATAGTCTTGTTTAATTTCCTGCCGTATGCATTTGTCAAATTGCACTCAACATTTTCATTACATCCTTATAGAAACAGATTCTACCACTTTATCCTGTTAATTTTAATATTTTTCAACTACGAAAGTTTTTTAAGATTTTAATGTGCTTGGTAAACATTGCATTTTAAAGATTTAGATTTAAGTAACTTGAGTGGATAGATATAGTCATCAATAGGGTGGTATGGTAGAATCTATATATCTTTCTTACTTTTCTGTTACACCATACTTAAAGGGTTGGTGTTGGTTAAATATTGGCTGCATTTGATATCTACAGTACGTTGTTTAACTATTTAAAAATCTTCTATAAACTGCTTGGCTTGTTTTAACCCAACTAATGGCTTGAAGCTTCCATAGGGTATCTTCTTCATTTATTTAATTTTTTAATAATTATAATTTATTATTTGCATTTTGTGTGGAAAAATTGTTATAATAGGCTATATAATTTACAGAATAAACAAACATAATCATATTTTGAAAGTGGTTAAGTGAAAGAACTACCTTTTAACCAAAATAAGAATCTTTATTTTAAAGATTAAAAATATTATAATACATGTTTCATATTTTATAGATTTGGTCAACAGCCAAAAAACAAGGAAAGAAAACAGCCACCTATTTCTGGGTTGGATCTGAGGTCAACATATCTGGTATAATGCCTGATATATATTATCCTTATGATGGGTAAGGTATTGGAATTAAGTTCACATACCTTTTCAGTCTTTAGAAATTATTTTTTTAAGTACATCAAGGATAATCATTTAATTCAGTTAAAAATCTTATAAATTGCATTAAAAAAAAAGAGTTATCCTCCATTACTCAGTGAATTCACTGAGTAATGGGAGATAACTCATTGATAAATCTTTAAAATTTACCTCTGTTCAGGTGTGGCTTTATTTGTTATTTCTATTGCTATGAGAAGGAAAATTTGGATTAAAGTTTGAAAAGAAAATGGAAGTGTATTCACAAGATGATTAAAAAATATCACCATCATAATTATAATCGTAATCACCCTAGTCTAATACTCTTTGATCTGAACTGATTTTACTGTAAAGGAGAACTTTTGTTTGGATTTAAATTTTGTTTATTTCATGGATAAATATTATTTATAAGATTAAACCAAAATGATAATTAACCTGTAAAGAAAAAAACTTTCTCAAACTGGAAACCATGAATATTAATCCCAAGGAAATCAATTCAAGAAATCAAAACCTCAAAATTCTGCAAAAATTATATTCTACAGTATATTAGAATTGATTAAAATCCATTTGATTATACAGGATTTTTGAATTGACTTGCAATTAAATGTGCAATTAAAGAAATATTTTTTTCACCATATGAAAGCCTGACTTTATGATGACTTAATAATTTTTGACTATAAAACTATGTATCAGATCTGTCACATTTGAAGAACGTGTGGACACAGCATTAAAATGGTTGAGTTGGCCAGAGAATAAAAGACCTGATTTGATTACCCTGTACTTTGATGAGCCTGATCATACTGGACATGGGAATGGCCCTGTTAGTCCTGAGGTAAATGGCTCTGTTAATCCTGAGGTAGAATTCCACTATCTCTTATAATGGACATGGGAGTGGCCCTGTTTGTCCTGTGGTATATGGCACTAATAGTCCTGATGTAATAAAATCACTATCTCTTATAATGCCCTGTTTGTCCTGTTGTAAATGGCGCTAATAGTCCTGATGAAATAAAATCACTATCTCTTAAATTTTATAACATATATGTTTACTTTTTATTGAAACTTCATTTCTTAATCATGCACATATTGTTTTACCCATTTTAATCATTTTTTAATTCAGTGTTTTGTGAAAAGTACAATACTTATTGTTGAAAAAAATGAATGAAATACATGCATTTCTCTTTTAAGAATCGTCCAGATAGCTATAATAAAATGGTTTTAAATCTCACAGAGTCTAGAGAAGACAAAACAAAATCAATCCCATCTTGTTAATCAAAGTAATTAATTTTCTATGCATTATGAAGCAACTTAAAATGATCTCAATCAATTTTAAAGAGTGTCAAATTGCTTTACATACAACATTCAATTGACCTTTCTGTGAACTCAGTTCCTCTACTGTGAAAAAATACGACCTCATGATCCTTTTAGTTTAAGTTGAATTATCATATGACTTTGCCGAGGATTTTAAAATAGAGAAATTTAAGACTTTAATGATATTTATGTTTTCCTGATAATTCCTGCAGGTAGATGCCATGTTGGGTAGAGTAGATGGAGTTATAAACCGTCTGATGAATGGATTATACAGACGTCAGATACACAACTGTGTCAATTTGATAGTGCTTGCTGACCATGGTGAGGACTGATTGATTTATTTTTAACAAATTGTACTTTATTCAAACCTGCATTGAAAGTCACCTCTAAAGCCAAAATCTGTCTTGTCAGTTCATCCTCTTTTTGTCCTGTTGTAATAATAAAAATGCATTGTGAAACTCAATTCAATGGTCACCTCTCTTATAAGGTCAGTTTTCTCTGACCATGAGGGTGACCTTTATATACAGGTTTGACTATATTTGTAGATTAAATATCTTCAAAACATGAACAATGTTTTAATCACTTCAGGGATCGGTAATTTTATTTACCCTATGATAGAATTAATTTGCTCCAAATTACAAGAACTTACTAGATAACTAGGCCATGTTGCCCAAGATTTTAAAAAATGTATTAAGTTTAAGCATGTAGGTGTTCAAAATGTGTCATGATCTTCATTTTCAGAGTTATCATGTTGTCATAAGTAAATGGTAAATTGTGATCATTTAGAGCAGTTACTACAACTTTTTGTTCAATTTCTTACAGAACTTTTGCACAGAAATCTAAATACTGCAGATTTTTTTTCGTTTCAGGAATGGAATCTACCTCCTGTGACAGAAGAGTTTATCTCAATCAATATATGAATACTTCACACTTTCTCATCTTTGATGGAACAATAGGACAGTTGCATACAAAGTTTCATGAAGAAAAAGTTGGTAGAAGTTATGTAGTCAAGAAGACTTCTAATCGTGTGTATACATTTTACCAATATATAGTATTTATACTTAAAATCTGAAGTAAATTTTAATTTTTCAAATGTTTTTTCTCCACTATCTCCTAAAACAATCCATTTAAAACTGAAACAGTACAAGAATATTTCAAAATCAGTATATTTCAGGTAAGCAAGGATTTATTGCATGCAATAGGTTGATAATAAGGACAACTAACTATATAAAGGAGTAAATTTGAATAAATTGTTGTATTTCAATGGTGTGACCACAGAAATCTTTTGACTCATAAACTATTACGAGACAGCAAGAGTAGACTGTATATGAATTCAGAGAAGTTGCATGTATGAAAATCTTGAAGTCTGTAAATAATTTTGGGTACTATATGTAAAATGTATGTGATATATGAATAATGAGGTAGAAGCAGATTCTATATTTTGGAGAGTAGGTTCAAGTGCAAGGGATATGTCTTGCATTCACATGCTAGGGCATGCTTTTAATTCTACTTTAATAGTAAAAAATGTCATTCATTTTATTATAGCTTTATCATTAGAAGAAGTTAATAAATTGCTCCAGTGTAAAAGTGGACACATTCAGATGTTTGATAAAACAACAATGCCTGTTAGACATCATTACACAAACAATCAAAGAGTTGGTGATGTTATACTAGACATGCAGAACAGATGGACTGTTGCTAGGTAATGTTGTATAGTCAGACATTTAAAACAATTGAGCGTTGGTGATGTCAAACTGAACATAATGGGTTTTTACCAGTGGTCATCAATGTGCGATCTTTCTAATCACTTTAAATTGTAAAAAATTGAAGAAAACAAAATGGGAAAGATCAGTTGACACATATTTATGAGTAGGAAATGTCAAGCCTATTCAAGAGCCATGGAAGTATTTGTAAGTTAGGTGTAGTTTATATATAGACGAAAACTCTGATAAATATTTAATCCATTCTCACATGCATTCTATATTTTCGATACCAAGAACCATCTTAAGATCTTCCAAAATAGAAGTATGTTGACCTCTAGATGTCTTTTGGCTTTCTGTGTTGAAGTGTTTCTGTCTAATTGACATATACCCCACATCAAGTTTTAGTCATATCTTCATGTAAAGCTTAAATAAGTTGTTTTGATTGTGTTACAAATTAATTTATTGTGACATGGTAGCTCCTAAACAACTTGTTTTCAGTTTTGTATAAACTTTAATGCAAACATACTTTCATGAAACCCTATATTAAATGTTTTTTGTCTCCCCTGGGATTACAATCCAGCCACGTCGAAGACGGCGGCGTAAAATATTCGTATAAAGCTTTTATATTTCAGAAGCTAGAAGACCTGGATGCTTCATTACCTTGTGAGCAGATACCTTATGTTACAAAGTTTCCGTCTGTCATGTGTCCTTTGTCCTTGACCTTGTGTTCATGGTTCAGTGACTGCTTGAAAAAAAACCTGTTTAATTGAAAAGTGAAATACTTTTTATAATGAGTAATAGGGTAACTATATTTGGTATATGGTCCCTTGTGAGGTCTACATGTCTGTCAGGTAGGGTTCACCTGACCGTGACCTCATTTTCAAGGTTCATTGAACAATGTTTAGTTTTTGTGGTTTGGTCTCTATCTCAGATACTATAAGCAATAGGTCAAGTATATTAGGCGTATGGAATAATTGTAAGGTGTTCATGTCTGTCTTTCAGGTTTCATATGATCTTGACCTCATTTTCATGGTTCATTGGTCAATGACAGGTTTTTTGTGGTTATGTCAGTTTATCAGTTACTGTAAACACTAGGTCAACTGTATTTGTGGTATGGAATGATTGTAAGGTGTGCATGTCTGTCTGGCAGGGTTCATATTACCTTGACCTAATTTTCATGGTTCATTTGTCAATGTTAAGATTTTGTGGGTGATCTGTTTCTCAAGTACTGTAAGCAGTAGGACCACTATATTTGGTATATGGAATGATTGTTAGGTGTACATGTCTTGTCAGGATAAGGTTCATCTGATTGTGTCTTCATTGTCATTGATCATTGATAATTTTAAGTTTATGTGATACTTGTAGTAAAACCTTCATATTATAGACTTTCAACATGAATTCAATCGTAAATAAAACAGGCGAGACATTTCAGCATGTGCACCAAGGCTTCCAAAACGGTCATATATTCCGGACATTTGTATGATGTTCGGTAAAAGTCCGACTGGGCAAAGCATGAAATGGACATCTACTTTTTAGTTTTCAAGGCTTAAGAGACGGTCATTTTAACATAATTCGCGATCTTTTTGACCCAACCTTTTGCCTTTAACAGCCACACATTTCTGGTCATAAAAGTGACATGATCATTAAGTACTATCAAAACAACCCCTACTTTAATACCTTTTCATTTTAATCCAGGCTAATTAGTTGTCGAACAGCTGAAATTTACCTGTTCAGGTGACAGGTAAACTATTTTGAACCGGACATTGATCGGTCTATTCAAAGTTATTTTCTTACATTTCAGCGGTTTGCATCTAATTAATTTAGTCAAAAAGATTTAAACTATAAGAAATACGTTGACAAATATGATTTGATGAAAAAATTAAAAAGGTGAAAATGAAAAATCGTCATAACTACGTTGTTTGAACCAGAGAGACATGTCTCTGTTTGAACTAGTACACGTGTGCACATGTGCGCAGGTGTGAAATTTAATTATGCATCCTAATTTCTTCAAAAAATGCTTAAATTGTCATAGATACCTATATCTCACGTTTATTTCGAATATTTTCTTGAAGAAATAACGTAGAAAGAGCTACTTACACTCATTCATGCTTTGCAAACGTACACGGAATTTACGTATCCGTCTCTGGTCCATGTTTTATCATTGTCAAGAGAACATCCGGTTTAGATTTAAAAAAGAAAGTAAAGTTTTTGACAACGTTATTTTGCACAAATAAAGAGTCTAAGCAGATATAAGTACGCTGATGTTGCACACTTCGAATGATGCACTGTAAATACATTCTTTCAAACTTTTGCTTATTTTATTTTGGATCATTATATTTCAATTTTCCTGTTACATGTACTGTTTTCGTGATTAGTTTAACAGTTTACGTCAGAACTTCGAATTTGAATCAAAGAAAGTTTAATATCGTTTTTTTTTTAAATGTCAATCATTGGGATGGCCAACTCGGCAACTGATTACCATAATTGCCTTTTATTTATTTAGTCTTTAGTGGTTAAAATCGGGATAATATATAAAATGTCCGGCTGGCTAAAAATAATTTTGGAAGCCCTGATGTGCACTCTTGTTTTATTTCAGTAAAAAAATAGATTTGTAGTTTTTCCATGTCATCTTCCAATGACTACTGTAGTGGTTGATTGGTTGGTAGGTTGTTTGGTCGCTTGTCATATAAGTTTGATAGTAAATTGAGATCTGAATGAGATTTTGTTTTGTAGAAACAGTAGAAGCTATTGTTTGGTGGCTTGGTATATAAGTTTGATAGTAAATTGAGATCTAATTGAGATTTTGTTTTGTAGAAACAGTAGAAGCTATTGTTTGGTCGCTTGTCATATAAGTTTGATAGTAAATTGAGATCTGAATGAGATTTTGTTTTGTAGAAACAGTAGAAGCTATTGTTTGGTCGCTTGTCATATAAGTTTGATAGTAAATTTAGATCTGAATGAGATTTTGTTTTGTAGAAATAGTAGAAGCTATTGTTTTGTCGCCTGTCATATAAGTTTGATAGTAAATTGAGATCTGAATGAGATTTTGTTTTGTAGAAACAGTAGAAGCTATTGTTTGGTGGCTTGTCATATAAGTTTGATAGTAAATTGAGATCTAATTGAGATTTTGTTTTGTAGAAACAGTAGAAGCTATTGTTTAAAAGGAAGATTTTGTTTTGTAGAAACAGTTGAAGCTATTGTTTAAAAGAAAGATTTTGTTTTGTAGAAACAGTAGAAGCTATTGTTTAAAAGGAAGATTTTGTTTTGTAGAAACAGTTGAAGCTATTGTTTGAAAGAAAGATTTTGTTTTGTAGAAACAGTAGAAGCTATTGTTTAAAAGAAAGATTTTGTTTTGTAGAAACAGTAGAAGCTATTGTTTAAAAGGAAACCATGGATTTGACAATTTGTACAAAAGTATGCAGGTAATTTATCTCCAAGATTTTTTATTCTTTTGCACAATGCTAATTATGATAGTTATCTGTTATAGTTAATTCAGTTCATTTTTATCTCCTAGTCTATCTGAATGGAGATCTAAGCAACAAAACACTATTTTGTTTTTGAACATGCCTTGGATATATAGCAGTTAAACTATCAAAATAAGTACGTTAAAGTGTGTTTGTCTGAAAAAGTTTGAGATGTTGAACTCTGACGCAACAAATAATAATTAGATTAACTTCCAATTGTCATACTCACATGAATGTGTATCTTTGTATTACAGGCTTTATTCATGGCTCATGGTCCAGATTTTAGACAAGGAATACAAAGTGATCCTTTTGAAAATATTGAACTTTATAACCTAATGTGTGGTAAGGCGGAATTTCATTGTTAAGATTAAACTTTTTACGCCCCCGCGACAAAATGTCGGGGGGCATATTAATTTACCCCTGTCTGTCCATCTGTCCATCCGTCCATCCGTTCGTCCATCTGGATTAGGATACATTGATTGCCCTGCTATCTCCTCCTACAGTTTTGACGGTACAACTTTAATATTTTGTAGGATGTTCATACACATAATGAAGGTGTGCATGGCCACAGGATTTTGATTTTTTTCAAATATTCTGAAAATGACAGGTAGTTGGACTTAGTCATTTTTTTGGTACTTAAGTCATTTTTTTTTGGTACAAGCTGCAAAAAGAGATCATGGTTTGTCAGGCTATCTCCTCCTACAGTTTTGAAGATACAGCTTTGATATTTTGTAGGATGTTCAAACACATAATAGAGGTGTGCATGACCACAGGATTTTGATTTTTTTTTCAAGTATTCTGAAAATGACAGGTAGTTGGACTTAGTCATTTTTTTGGTACTAGCTGCATAAAGAGATCATGGTTTGTCCGGCTATCTCTTCCTACAGTTACATCATCATACATATGGTTAAATTTATAATTTCCTATGGTCAGGCGGGGGCATCATTTGTGTCTTACAGACAGCGTATCAATTTCAAGTTGTATGCCAACATCACTGTTTGTCAGATCTAAAATATGTGGAACTATACTCATGCATATGGCAGAGCAGAAAGAGGGGGGGGGGGGCATTGTCCATATCTAGTATAAATTATTTTTGGTATGAGCAATTTCTCTAGTTTTTCGGTAAATGATACACGATAACTTTATGATAGAAATACTTCTGTAATATTTCAAGTACTGCATCACAATTAATGGTAAATACTTTGGGAAAAAATTACCATAGAGCACTTAAAATTGGTTATAAAATTGCCTTGTTTTTGCTTTATTGGCATCTTCTAATTCATTGGATAAGAACTCCCCCAATATATCTAACAGCTATTTCACTATGACAACAATTACCACAAAATATTTTTTTTTTTATAAATTGCACAGTCATCAAAGGCATGTTGTAAGTCATAGCTTACTTATGGTTTACTTACTCTAAAAAAATCTTTTTTTTTTAATACTTAACCAGGGGAAGTGTACATTGTGCTTTAATATTTGTGTAACTTCACTAATTGTTCATATCGTATCTTTTATTGTTGAAATGACCAATTACCAAGAAATAGTTTAAATCCACTAAGTATTATTTGTTATATGTACCTATGTATCACTGGTACAGGGCCTGACTTAAGCATACTAACATTTCTTTACAGAATTGTTGAAAATTTCTCCAGCACCAAATAATGGTACAATGGGATCATTGAATCACTTGTTACGTAGACCTCCAGCAATACCAACATCAAACAGAACTATGTCACCAGTATGTAGTCACAACAAAGCAGCCAGTATCCCTGGCCAAGACTGTTTTTGTAGTCATAAGGTAAATCTTCAATGATTAATATCAGTCAAAACCTAGCATCCATCTGAGAGTTAAAAAAGTACTTGCTCAGAAAATGATTGAGTATATAGATAAAAGAGATGATTTTTCATTTCCTATCGTTAATTATCCATTTTTAGATGGTAACGTTCCCTTGTCACCATCTTATGGTGTTTATATATCTCAACTTTTACGATTCGCTCGTGTATGTAACAACGTATTAGATTTTAGCGAGAGAAATTTATGTATTACTGAAAAATTATTACACCAGGGTTTTCGATATCAAAAACTAGTCAAAACATTTACTAATTTTTATCATCAGTATAAGGACATCATTCGTAAATATAACTCAACATGCAGACATCTTATACGTTCGGGTATTTCACATCAAATCTTTTATGGTAATATTATTTACAAAGCACAAAAATGTCAGTATTCACCTCAAAAGCTTACAAAACCTTTAAACAGACTTATTAAGAAGGGATATAGTTACGATACTGTTGTCAGGTCATTAAAGATTGCATATTTTGGCTTTAATATTGATTCACTTATAGGGTCTTTGCATCAGAATTAAACATATTTATTCTAAAATCAGTTGTTGGCATGACACGGGTTATGTTCTTCTAATATATTTTATGATGGTATAATACTAAACCCCTGACAGGAGGGATTGTGCCTGATATTCATATGATGAAGACATAATCTTTCAATCAGTTTAATTGAGGTCTGGAGCTGGCATGTCAGTAACTGCTAGTAGTCTGTTGTTATTTATGTATTATTGTCATTTTGTTTATTTTCTTTTGTTTCCTATTCTGACATCGGACTCGGACTTCTCTTGAACTGAGTTTTACTGTGCGTACTGTTGTACGTTTTTTTTTCTACATTGGCTAGAGGGGGAGGGTTGAGATCTCAAAAAACATTGTTTAACCCCGCTGCATTTTTGCGCCTGTCCCAAGTCAGGAGCCTCTGGCCTTTGTTAGTCTTGTATCATTTTTAATTTTAGTTTCTAGTGTATAATTTGGAGTTTAGTATGTCGTCCATTATCACTGAACTAGTATACATATTTGTTTAGGGGCCAGCTGAAGGACGCCTCCGGGTGCGGGAGTTTCTCGCTGCATTGAAGACCCATTGGTGGCTTTCGGCTGTTGTCTGCTCTATGGTCGGGTAGTTGTCTCTTTGACACATTGCCCATTTCCATTCTCAATTCTATCCCTAATGTTATGTCTGAGTTAAAAAAAAATGATAAAAAAAAGTTTATAAAAGTAGCCCCAAAGAATCATGATAATTGTTCTTATATCTCTTTATAAATATTTTCCAAAATGATTTAATATTCATTATGCTATTAAGGAAATGCAAACACTCTTATAAAGGCTACATTGCCAAATTCATAGCAAAAACTTTGAAGTGTATTTTGAAAGAATTAACCCTAGATATTTGGAAAAAAATTACTAACCTTTTAAAAATACTGTTTGTAATTTTTCTTTAGGTACAATCTTTTACCAGTAATACTGTTTATAGCAGCCCATTTGGTAAACCAGAGATGAGTGTAGCTGAAGATGTGTGTATATTGGGTACTAATGATACAGTCATTGGCTACAGTAAAACACATAGGATGCCTGTATGGACTTCATTTATACTCTACCCAAATAAGGTAAGATCTACAGTAAATCACATAGGATGCCTGTATAGACTTCATTTATACTCTACCCAAATAAGGTAAGATCTATAGAAACCATATCCAGCAATTCTTGTATTAGAGTTCTCAAATACTGTTCCAATTGTTCATTTGCAATCTTTCCAAGAAGAGAATGGAGGCAGAGGCAGAATCAGTGACATCAATAGATAACCAAACAAAATGACTCACTAAGACTGTTCAGAATAGTCTACCCTATTTTATGGTACTCACCAACTTAAGTTTATCGAACAAAATGTCATCATTTAGCTGGCAAATATTGTGAAGTCATAATCATAAAAATAACTTTTTCTTTGCAGACTATAGACAATATGACTGGTAGTTGTGTGAACATTGATCCTAGAGTACAGTCACTCTCCTGCAGTAGTTATAGGAGTGATAACATGTCAATATCACACCATTTTATTGTCAATTCAGGTACGTGAAATATTGTATGTCATCTAAAGCAGTACCGTTAGTCATTTTTCACTTTGACTTAGTGGAAGATTTTTTTCCAAAAAAAGTACCATTTTATTGTGTGTTTATGACTTTAAATTATTTAATAAATAAAAAAAAAATGTTACAAAAAAGATTTAATTACACAAACAATCTTATATATTAATTTTAACTTTCATTAGACTAAAATAAAGATTAAATACATGGTTTAATAGTTACCTATCAAAGGCTTTTTATAGTGAACTAGATAGACCTTTTAAATTTTTCTTTAAACTTTATTTTTAGTTAAATTTTTATTTTGTTTTTTTTTTTTGCTTTTTTTTTAAATTAAAAAAAAACTTTAAACTTTTTTTTACTTCTTTTTTCATGTTTTTTTTTCACTAGCCTTTTTTGACGATTTTTGAGGGATGAAAAGGGGTGCGTGTTATACACAACTGCATTATATACACCTATATCATAAAAAAATATTATTAGTTAGTTGGATCAGGAATTGAATAACATTGCTATATATTTACAGGCTTTTCTTTTAAAAACTCTGACCTGGAAAACAGTCTAAGCTCTAGTCTTGTTCCTATGTATCATGGATTTAGAGATGGTAATTTATTATATTGAATTGTTTACAAAAGAAGAAATAACTATAACAATTAACCATTAAATGTTTAATTGTGAATAATAAAAAGATGTGGGGTATCCATCAATGAGAAAGCAACCTAATGACACTAAAAACCAGGAGCTAAGCATATGATCTTCAATAATAAACAAAATTGGCCTCAGTCTAGAAAGGTTGAACACAATTATTGCAATTATCCCAAAGAGACATCACTCCAATATTGGTGACTACTAAATAACTTGGTTTGCTTGATTTCAGCTCTTCATTGGTCAAAATTAATTATAATGTAAATTTTCATGATTCCCTCAGATTTCCCTTTTATGACAATACAAAAAAGGCTACCATGATAGAAAGAACACATTTTTTTGGCAGATCAATGAAAAAGAAAGATAAGTTTTGCACACATATCATCTTAAAATCATAAGAGAAACAGATTCCACCACTGTATCTTGTGTGATACAATATATCTCAGCTTTCAACAGTTGAATCTGAAAAAATATTAAATGCTTGGCAAGCCTTGTGTTTAAAATGAAAATTTATGTAACTGTCTCAAGATGGAATAAAATGTACTGTGGATTAATTTATTTTTTTTGAATTGAGGACAATTTGTCTTTTTGTGGATATTTCATTTTCATGGTTTTGTCAAAGTCTGCATACAAGCCTATAGAAAATTTGTACCTTGTTAAATCATTTAAATTCACCTCCGTTACCCACGAAATCCACAAAAATTAGTATCCCACAGATAATAATGTATCCTTAGTATCACACTTGATGCAGTGGTATATATATCTCATCCTTATCCCTCCTGTCCTGAACATGCATGAATTATTTGCCACTGGATGTTAAGCAACCAACCATCAATCAATCAATCATCCTTATCTGATCAACAAAGTATAGAAATACTGAGCATAAAAATCAGTAGAGCTAAACAGTAGAAAAGAGTGATGGCCATCTTTGCAAGGGAGATAATATTTACTCTCAACTATACAGCGGTTTTATCATCACCAAGTATGTGTTATTCTGTTTCGAAAAATGTTTTTAATACTAAAACTCCTGTCTCTTCCAGTTTTTCTGAAACTAATAATTTTCTTTCCATTTTTTTTATTTCCAACTTGGTGTTCATAAGAATTAAAAATAAAATGTTCAGGAATTCACACTGAAGATGCATCAAGACTATTCTATTAATAAATGGGGGATTTCCATCACAAGTCACATATTACTTTCTCCAACTTGCATAAAACTTTAATGACAATGTCCTTTACTTCTTAAAGTGCAGATTTTAAAAAAAATAACCACTTTATTTGAGCCTTACAAGCATTTATTGTAAAGAAATAATCAGAGGTACTTTTCAGGAATATGGGAGTACACAATGAAGTTGATGCTTGACTATAGTAATCAGAGGTCTGGTATGGAAGTGATCATTGGTTCAGCTTTTGACAATAACAGAGACGGATTATGGGAAGCTGTTTCAAATGAGACAAAGTAAGAGTTTTTTTATTTTGTATTTCCTTTTAATGTTGTCCAAATCTTAAATAACATATCTTGTATGAATAACATATTATCAAATGATTTCCTTTGGTATTTTATATTGGTCTGCATGTTGATTGAAATGAATGAGTCTTGTGAACAAACTTAAAAAGGTTTAAAATGTGCTGATCATCTTTTACATGATATGCAGAAATAATGTCAGTCTGTTATTTCTAATTTCAGTGTAGTTCTTAATTGAAAACATAGTTATTTATATGTTTAGAAAACTTCTAAATCCATTGGTCAAACTGATATCTCCAGGTTAAACTAGGTTATGTCTTTTCAAAGTAAAAGAGCGATAGAAAATCTGAAGAAGAGCAGAGCCCGATAACATGTAGACACAATGATTAGTCAAGGTACTAATCACAGTAATCTCAGATCTCCATGGCAATGAAATTAATTAACAAATAATTACTTTTAGTTCGAAGATACACAAATTTAGCAGTACAATTGTGTGTACAAGAATGTGCAGGTAATTAATAGAAATTAATTGAAATTAAGGAAAAAAAAATTTCTGAAGTATTGTTTTAAATGAGCCCAACTGGCCAAATTTATTGTAATATAACTTTGAGCTTAACAATAATTGAACTGCGATAGTGTTTGTCTCTGCACAATCATGTTATCATACTTACAAAAAATTGACACTTAAATATTTACTGTTTCAGGTATGTCAGTGATGATGGAGTACCTATACCTACACATTATTACATTATCATAATAGCCTGTAACCATGGAGATATTCTCAACTGTAAAACAGCTGATATTGAACTTATGTCATTTGTATTACCACACTTACCTGCTGTACCAAACTGTATGGTAAGTTGTTGATCCTAGATCTTTAACACATCCGATATAGAAGCTTTTATTACATTATACCAAATATACCTAATGTATCAAACTGTATGGTAAGTTGTTGAACCTAGATCTTTAACACATCCGATATAGAAGCTTTTATTACATTATACCAAATATACCTGCTGTACCAAACTGTATGGTAAGTTGTTGATCCTAGATCTTTAACACATCCGATATAGAAGCTTTTATTACATTATACCAAATATACCTGCTGTACCAAACTGTATGGTAAGTTGTTGAACCTAGATCTTTAACACATCCGATATAGAAGCTTTTATTACATTATACCAAATATACCTAATGTATCAAACTGTATGGTAAGTTGTTGATCCTAGATCTTTAACACATCCGATATAAAAGCTTTTATTACATTATACCAAATATACCTGCTGTACCAAACTGTATGGTAAGTTGTTGATCCTAGATCTTTAACACATCTGATATAAAAGCTTTTATTACATTATACCAAATATACCTGCTGTACCAAACTGTATGGTAAGTTGTTGATCCTAGATCTTTAACACATCCGATATAGAAGCTTTTATTACATTATACCAAATATACCTAATGTATCAAACTGTATGGTAAGTTGTCAAACATTTACTGGTATTTTTCATAAAACTGAAGATACAGAACTGTCATTTATATTGCTTAAATATATTGTCAAATATTGTTGTTGTTTGCAAGTACAAAGTTACTGCATTGTAAGATGTTGATGAATGTATAAAACTTTAAAAGGTTAATCAATAAAAACACAAGAATACTTTCAAAATTAAGGAGAATATAGAGAATGGTTCAAATAGGATAAAGATGTAATAAAAATAATATAAAACACTCAGTCTAATGGACAACTTATTTTGATACTCATTGTTTCATCTACCACCACACAATTTGTTCTGAAACATAGAAATGTCATTCAATACGAGCAATGCACAATATTATATCCCATATTGGTTACCTTATTTGATGATGGATGATAACTAGTGAAAAGAGGAGTTAATGTATTGACATGGCATGGTTACTAAGCTAGATTACAGTAACATTTCATTCTTTTTTATATATTTCTAGCCTGATGAGGATTATTTAATGGAGAATGTTGCTAGAATAAGAGATATAGAGTTATTAACAGGGATCCAGTTTCTGACAGGTTTACCAGATGACACGGCTGCCAGTTTAAGGACATTTTTATCTACATCATTGTGGAATCCATCAAAGATGTCCCTTCATTGGAAAGACATACCATGTAGTGTTCCAAGTACTACAAAGTGTCAAGGGTAAATTATGTTATATCCTTAAATTTCCCACCCACAATGAAATTTGAATAAAAAGATATCCGTAATTGTTTGTGAGGATCTAATATTTTATATTTTTGTGGCAGAAATGACAACATTGTTTAAAATGAAAAGAAAATGATATCTGGTTATGTTTTACTTCCAGTAAAATATGAATCAACATAAATTTCTGTCACATGACATTTTCTCAACTGCATATTTATTTTTGTTACTAGATACAATGCTGCTGACATTTATACATTGTAATTCTTTGCATTTTTATACTATCAATTTTGATGTCAATATTTTCATAAAGGCAATATTAAAATGTATTAGCATGATTATTTTCAGGAAAATTCCACTATTATTGATATCATTAGATGGGTTTAGAGCCGATTATGTGAAGAGAAAGCTAACACCTGTCATAGAGAAACTGAGGACCTGTGGTGTACATACACCATACATGAGATCTGTATATCCTACTGTCACATTCCCAAACCATTACACAATAGCTACAGTAAGTTATAATCACCATACATGTGGTTTGTATATCCTACTAAAAATCACCAAAAGGACTCAGAGAACTCTTTAAAAAGCAAAACATTTGTTATTTATATGCAGAGTTTTGAAGATGTGACTTCCATCTCAAAGCTATCTTTTAATGTTCAGTTTATTGCCAGTTTCAGTTTCAGGAATACTACCTACCTATCTTCTTCATCCAGGATGGGACATTAGGCCATAAATCTTTATGGAATATGAGCTTTTTGAACAAGAAAATAAACAATTATCCACTGCTGTTTGTTCTACTTCAAAAATAAAAACTTTTTATACCCCCGCTTTAAAAAAGTGGGGGTATACTGTTTTACCTCTGTCTTTATACCCAAGCTTTAAAAAAGTGAGGGTAAACTGTTTTACCTCTGTCTGTCCATCTGTCCATCCATCCGTCCATCCATCAGTCCGTCCGTCAGTCCGTCACATGAATATTTTTCGTCGCATCTTTCTCAGGAACTACATTACAAGGATTTCTGAAATTTGGTTACAGGGTTTATATGAATCAGCTATACCATGTGATGCGATTTCAGATTCATCACTAAACAACTTCCTGTTTACCATCAAGTATTTGGGCGGGGGTATCATCAGTGATCAGTAGCTCGCAGTTTCACTTGTTTGTTATTGTACTATTGCATGTAAAAAATAAATTTTGAATTCTGTATTAGCAGCACTTCAAAATTGCATGATTTTGTATATGTTAGTAAAAATAATGACTTGTTTTCAGGGTTTGTATCCAGAGTCCCATGGTATTATATCTAACAACATGTATGATGCAAATATAGGTGAAGTTTTTTCACTCTCAAGTCATACAAAAATGGACCCTCGATGGTGGGGAGGAGAACCAGTAAGTTTATTACTGTAACAACATTTTTTATTAGTTTTGTTATTAATATATTTAATCTAAGAAGGTTAATATGACATAAAAATGTAAGCGCCTATGAGACAGAGACCCAACAACAGAAGTAATCTAAAGACTAGTCATCGTCAAGGTCTTCTTTTTTCTGAATGTTTTATGTCAAAATTTATGTTTAAAGAAGCTATGACAACTGACAAGCTATTGTTTAAAATGGTGTTGCAAATTTCATTTTCCAAAAGAAGTTAAATTTTCTTTTTAAATGACTTTTGAAAGTACTTTATGTTGTTCATGCATTTCATCCCATTAATTGCTGTTTTTAGCTTTTCTCTATGAGATATTTCAGTGTTACAATAAGTTTTGGATTGAATATACATCTAACAGTTCATATTACAAAGTTTTGATAAATTTTAGATTTGGAATACAGCAAAGAAGCAAGGAAAGAAAGCTTATACCTTCTTTTGGCCAGGATCAGATGTTAATATCTCAGGTGATCTACAAGATATTCAATTTTCAAAAAATTATGACTTTTTTTTTCATCCAGATGGGTCAGCTGACAAAAAAATCATTTATCAGATTCCCTTGGCTCTTAGATCTTTCGATTTAGATATAGCATTATCTGTTAGAACTTACTTTCATAAAGACTTTTGATTTGAGATATTCAATGGAAATAGAACAATTCTGACCTCAGCTGGTCCTTTACCAATCAACTGCAAATTCATAGCTTATAACCTTTTTAATCTTATTTCATAATAAAGTACTCTTTTTTTTAAAGCTAAGATAAATTCATTTGTGTATCTGTTCCTGATTCCTAGGTTTGTAAAGATTTGATTAAAGAACTGCAGTTTTTCTTTTTTTTTTGAAGGGAAGGACTCCATAATCCTTTTCAGATGTTAACATTTAACTTACATTAATAAACTTTTTTGTTTTTGTTTAGGAAGTTATCCAGACGTGTGGGTAGGATACGATGGGTTAGTAAACTGGAGTTTTGTTTATTGTTTTAAGACTGTTAGAAATGCAACAGATAGATGACTTTCACATTTTTTTGGTTCCGGTTTTCAGGTACATTTCAAATGTCTCAACGCTTATGTTATTACCTCATAGTAAGAGCTGATTGTTCTTTAATGTCATTTACACTGATTAACATCAGATCAACCGTTTTTACTCATTCATATGAAAAGGAATTTGAAATATATCTATTGCAAATCATTACCTTCTTACTATATCATTCATAATACAGTATAATATTACAAGTCTTACAGGTATTATAGAAATAATTTGATTACTCTATTCAGTTATCTTTATGTTGCAATGTTTAACCAGCTTGTCGTAATTTCTGCTTCTTGCTATGTTTTTGTATAGTTTTAAAGCCAGCAAATATGAATAAACTCACAAAACTTGTGACTTAACTAAGGGATAAATAAATACGGCCGTCAAATCTGTTGTCTGTTCTCTCTCATCATTGGTAGCGTGAATAAATAATCAATAGTAGAAAATGATACTTTTATTGAACTTCTAGAACAGCCGATATATTTCCATACATGTACAATATTCGAGCAACAATTATATAATTTACATACGGGGCGGAGCTACTAAAATAACATTCTTTCTCTTGTATTTTTGTACGGACCAAACGGGATTATCTTAATAAATTCTACAATGACAACGTAAATAAATGCAAGGCATACAGCTATCTGCGCTGCTTCTTACCTCTAAACGACGACCTTACTTGTAATATAAACTGCGAGGCATACAGATAAATGCGCTGCTTCTCACCTCTAGGAACCCCCGGGCTGAGCCTTGCTGCTAGCCAAATGTAAACACAGCAAAGACTGACGAACGTGACGTTGCACTGGTATTTATTTGAAATTCCCGGAAGTAAATATTCTAAGCAAGAAGAAAAACATAACGTCAAACGCTGACATAAAATATACAAGTCCTCGACTCAAAATGCTTATAATAATACACTTTTGTTACTAAAATAATCAAGACATATTATTTCTTCCAGTTGAGAGCTCACAAATGAACACTTTTGGGTTCACAATTACAATATTAACCCAACGGTAACGTTCTGAATAATACATGACAAATTTGCGCCATATATGACGTTATCGATACATCTAATAACATAAAGTAAAACGTACGTTAATTACTCATTCAATATACTAGAAATACTAGAAATAACTTCTGACAACTCATATAAACTCTCTTAATACAATAATAACAATATTTCTTTACTTGGAAATAACCAATACACACATTTACAACACTGCCCCTCCCCCAGAATACATTTCGTCCTCGAAATATGGTCTTGTCAATTCTGACAATACATTTAAAAAAAATTTTCACAATATTGCTATGTACGTAATACTCTATTATACAAATAAAAAATCTCTAATTTGCCAAAAACAAGCAAATATTACAGCTATCTTAAAACTTAAACTTAACCATACATCAACAAACTACTGCGCCTGTTTGTGTCATAAAAACTAATGTCTGTGTTAACAAACTAATGCGCCTGTTAATACTTAAAAGGCAAAATATACATTTTTCTTCATTGTGTCATTATCGAAAATATAAAATAAAAGTCTATTTTTGCATCCAGTTACAGCACTAATACCGTATACTCCATTTAAAGTTCAATCCAAGATTCTCCATTCTATCAGACGCTAGAATTATAAACATCATGAAGCTCAACTTCTTCTAAACACCAGGCTTTAAACCATAAGCCAACAAATGTCCTATCAAGTTCTATACCACAAGGGTACCCCGCGTATAAATTTATACACAATCTTCGATACTGATGTACCATACAAACATAAGTATAAAAATAGGTACAAAAGTACAACTAATAAAAAATAGTCATCAGTATTCCCCGAGAAATATCTAAAATGGTGTAGACTATAGCTCAGCATACCCATGGTGTAACCAAAATGTATATTGCAATCTAGACTAATCATTAGCCTTAACTTAATCTCCGCCAAAACAAAAATGGCTCCTTATAAGTATCCAAACTGTCAATATACACCCACCGAAAGCAGCTTCCCACCAAAATAGTATTAAACAATCTTTACTGCATTAAGGACAACAACGCCAATAGGACCATCAAATTCTAGATTCTGATAAAAAATCACCTCTTTTCTAAAATCTTAAAAACAATTTCAATATCACAATATATTTCTTAAAGTGCAACAATCTATACATATTTGTGCTTAGTGTACTGTATACTCAGTGGATAAACAAATATTACAAGTCTTCTCAATAAACCATTAAATCACTTTTTACATTTTATCAATAACAAAAAAATCACACAAGTTTCATATATACATTATAAAAAATCCGAATCTACACAAAAATATTCTGATATTTGGCCAGTAGGCTTATCTGCTATATAGGCCCAACTATTTCTGATAATCCTGACTTGTAAATCCAAACTGGTTCCCTCCGGAAGTATTTGTATTTTCTGGTTTCCCTCTTTTTCCTCTGGAGAAAGGACAATCTCTGCTGTAATGTCCCTTAGAATCGCAATAATATCGTTATTATTCAAATTCGTCTTACTTTCCTCAATCGTCCTAGTATTCTGCACAGGCGAGTTTATAGGACTTACTGTGGGGCTGGAGGTAGATAAATTAACACCATCTTCTATACCAAAATCTATTAAATTACAGGGCTCAACAGTTCCGCTCTGTGAAATAATTATATTCTTCATACTTTCCCCCTTCCAAAATTTGGAGCTGGGATTTTTCTATTTCTAAGATCCATGTTTAAAATCAAACAATGTTCCCAATAATATGCCAATAGAAGCTAACTACACCTCTATTTCTCTAATAAATAATTATTTGGAAGCTAAATGCACCTCCTTTATATTTTTTTTTCTTGCTAGGAAGCTAAATGCACCTCCATTACAAATATTCTTTTCTTTCTAGGAAGCTGAATGCACCTCCTTTTATAAATATTTTAAATTTTTTTTCTCTAGGAAGCTAAATGCACCTCCTTTATAAATAAATATTTTCTTTTTTCTTTCTAGGAAGCTAAATGTACCTCCTTTATAAATATTTTTTTTCTAGGAAGCTAAATGCACCTCCTTTATAAATAAATATTTTCTTTTTTCTTTCTAGGAAGCTAAATGCACCTCCTTTATAAATATTTTCTTAATTTTAGAAGCTAAATGCACTCATATATTTTCCAAAATATTCTATTTATAACAGTATAATGTATAGAGCTAAATGCACTCCATACACAATATTTGTCACTTAGTGTGTTCCATAGAAATTAATATTTCTAAAAATAGACATGCCAAATTCCTTGAAACGTGAGAACTAAACCGCTGCCACCATTGTCGTAATTTCTGCTTCTTGCTATGTTTTTGTATAGTTTTAAAGCCAACAAATACGAATAAACTCACAAAACTTGTGACTTAACTAAGGGATAAATAAATACAGCCGTCAAATCTGTTGTCTGTTCTCTCTCATCATTGGTAGCGTGAATAAATAATCAATAGTAGAAAATGATACTTTTATTAAACTTCTAGAACAGCCGATATATTTCCATACATGTACAATATTCGAGCAACAATTATATAATTTACATACGGGGCGGAGCTACTAAAATAACATTCTTTCTCTTGTATTTTTGTACGGACCAAACGGGATTATCTTAATAAATTCTACAATGACAACGTAAATAAATGCAAGGCATACAGCTATCTGCGCTGCTTCTTACCTCTAAACTACGACCTTACTTGTAATATAAACTGCGAGGCATACAGCTAAATGCGCTGCTTCTCACCTCTAGGAACCCCCAGGCTGAGCCTTGCTGCAAGCCAAATGTAAACACAGCAAAGACTGACGAACGTGACGTTGCACTGGTATTTATTTGAAATTCCCGGAAGTAAATATTCTAAGCAAGAAGAAAAACATAACGTCAAACGCTGACATAAAATATACAAGTCCTCGACTCAAAATGCTTATAATAATACACTTTTGTTACTAAAATAATCAAGACATATTATTTCTTCCAGTTGAGAGCTCACAAATGAACACTTTTGGGTTCACGATTACAATATTAACCCAACGGTAACGTTCTGAATAATACATGACAAATTTGCGCCATATATGACGTTATCGATACATCTAATAACATAAAGTAAAACGTACGTTAATTACTCATTCAATATACTAGAAATACTAGAAATAACTTCTGACAACTCATATAAACTCTCTTAATACAATAATAACAATATTTCTTTACTTGGAAATAACCAATACACACATTTACAACACAGCTGCTATGATGTTATTGTCATTATTTACAGATCAATTATACAAGGCTTCCAAAATGGTCATATATTACGGACATTTGTATAATGTCCGGTAAAAGTCCGGCTTGGCAAAGCACGAAACGGTCATCTACTTTTTAGTTTTCAAGGCTTTCTTAAGAGACGGTCATTTTAACATAATTCGCGTTCTTTTTGACCCAACCTTTTGCCTTTAACAGCCACCCATTTCCGGTCATAAAAGTGACATGATCATTAAGTACTATCAAAACAACCCCTACTTTAATACCTTCTCATTTTAATCAAGGCTAATTAGTTGTCGAACAGCTGAAATTTACCTGTTCAGGTGACAGGTAAACTATTTTGAACCGGACATTGATCGGTCTATTCAAAGTTATTTTCTTACATTTCACCGGTTTGCATCTAATTAATTTAGTCAAAAAGATTTAAATTATCGGAAATACATTTACAAATATGATTTGATGAAATAATTAAAAAGGTGAAAATGAAAAATCTTCATAACCACGTTGTTTGAACCAGAGACATGTCTCCGTTTGAACTAGTACACGTGTGCGCATGTGCGCAGGTGTGAAATTTAATTATGCATCCTAATTTCTTCAAAAAATGCTTAAATTGTTTTGATACCTTCATCTCACGTTTATTTCGAATATTTTCTTGAAGAAATAACGTAGAATGAGCTACTTACACTCATTCATGCTTTGCAAACGTACACTAAATTTACGTATCCGTCTCTGGTCCATATTTTACCATTGTCAAGATAATATCCGGTATCAGATTTAAAATGAAAGTAACGTTTTTGACAACATTATTTTGCACAAATAAAGAGTCTTGGGCAGATATAAGTACGCTGATGTTGCACACTTCGAATGATGCACTGCCAATTTAACAGTTTACGTCAGAACTTCGAATTTGAATCAAAGAAAGTTTAATATCGTTTTTTTTTTAATGTCAATCATTGGGATGGCCAACTCTGCAACTGATTACCATAATTGCCTTTTGTTTATTTAGTCTTAAGGGGTTAAAATCGGGATAATATATAAAATGTCTGGCTGGCTAAAAATAATTTTGGAAGCCCTGAATCAATACCCATTATAAGTGTTTAAAAAACCTTTTTTAAAAAGTATGAAATAGTTGACTTCTTTGAAGATTAGTTTTCATTTTTTGCTTGGACACCTCCCTAGGATGTAGCAAAAAAATTAAAATAGCTATTCAAGATGTCTATTTTATTTGGACTTAAAGGATACCATAAGCATAAATATTAAACTCTCATCAATTATTTGATTGAAATTCATTTGCTTTGTAAAATCGATTTTAACAAGACTTATTCGAGCAAACAAATCTTTCATTTCCTGACATATATAATTATATATGACAACAGATTTAATTTGATGAAACTGCATAGAAAATTATATTAATGCTTTAGTTCCTTTGTAAAATTAACCATGGTAGACACTGTTTAGTCTGTCAAACTTACGGTTAATCTAGTTCAGAATTAAGGTTTTTACTATAAATGTGGCATGTTATTGTAATGTCTTATTGTTACAGTAAAATAGGATTCCCAGAAAGACTTGAGAAAGTAATGGAATGGTTACTACTACCTGATGACAAGAAACCAGACATAATTACATTATACTTTGATGAACCAGATCATGCAGGGCACCAGAAAGGACCTGATAGTGAACTGGTATTTACTTTATGAATTCAACTTCAAAACGGGGTTCATGAAACTTTTAGTACTAAAATTTTGTTAAAGACAAGTAAATGCAGCAGAAACTTAAAGAGTAACACATGGTTGACTTGCTAAAGTATTTAAAAAAAAAATGATTTTACTCCATAAAGTACAGTATTTGACCACTCATGAAAATTAAAAAAAAAACCACTATCTTGGATTCAGTCATTGAATGAAAAAAGTAATTTTTGTGTGGAAGATAACAAACTAGTCATATGTTTCAACATTAATCTTAATGTATATAGTAATGCAAATGATTTTTTCCATAGCTTAATGGTCAGTTAGAGACGGCTGACGAGATGTTAGGTAGATTGATGAACACTTTATATCAGGAAGGACTGCATGATTGTGTCAATCTTATTGTTATAGCTGATCACGGTAATTTTTTTTATTAGAATTAGAATGGCCAAACTTACCTGATTATCAAATGAGTCCATCTTTTTGTCTATAAAGGTAACAGCTGATAATAATTTGTTGTTCATGGAAAAGTTTAAAGTATCCAGACCATACTGCTGATAATAGTAAGAGTAATATACGAGAAGGATAATGGGAATCACAATACTGAACAGTACACATCACATAAACCACCAACATTTAACTTCTCTGACAAAAACAGATGCACAAACAAAGTCAAATAGACTGACTTGGTACAGGCACAAAATGTGGAGGGGTTAAACCAGTTTTATGTGTGAAACACACCCCCCCCCCCCCCCTTTTTCCCCCAAATCATATGTGCTAAAACTAAAGCACACAATAAAGAAAGCATATTATACATTAAATATTGGATATCAACACAATATGATTAATGCTGTACTGTACATAACTTTGCTCACACTTAATGTTTTTTTGGTGATCTGTTTTAATATGTACAGATGCCTTTGTAATATTTGCCAGAAAATATCTTTTTTGCAATCAATCAGTATTTCCTTGCTTGATTGATTGGACCAATTGTTATACAGGTTATTTGTTAAAGCATTTTTACAGTGAAACCTACATTACAATGAATGGAAGTTTGTCATATTTTTACAGGTATGCAGCATGTGTCTTGTAGTAACATAGTCAAGCTTCCTGAGTATATGCCTGATGACATAAAAAAAGTACTTGTATTCGATGGAACATTTGGAAGAATTGAAAATGATTATGCCAGGATATCAAAGTATAAAGTCAAAACAGAAAGTAAGCTAAATTTAATCTCAAATAATATGTTTCATAGGCCACATGGAACTGTACTAATTCTTACTTTTCAGTAGACTTTATGATATGACACTGTAATTTTAAAAGTGTGGAACCACATAATGTTAGTGTTGATAAATATTTTGCTACATAAAAGTATATGTACTTTTTGCTTCAATTTCGACCAAATTTCACTGTAGGTAAGACACAAGTCATTTTTTTCCCAGTGTAGTCATTAACATCTTATGCTTATTTCTAGGCTAGTTCTATTTCAGAATAAGCACTTATAATTGACCATTGATATTGCGTCATGTTTAAAAAATGCCAGCAGTATGTTAGACACTGTGTATATTAAGAAGCACTGCAGAATGATAAACCAATGACATTTAGAATGCTGTTCAATAAGCAATAAGCAAATCTATCATTTTTAAGGAGTATGTTAGGTAATGGCCATATTTGGCTCAAAATATTAAGTCCATTGTTTCAAGTTAAAAAAAGGTATCAAGTTAATGAAAAGACATTTAAGAAAGTGAAAAAGAACTATTTTTGTCATGCTTTTCATATAATAATAATAATAATATAATAATAATAATAATAATAAATTCTTTATTTAAAGAGGGTAAACACAGTTAGTTACAATAACTTATCTTCCATGAGGCCCTTATATACAATACAAGTAAAAAAATAATAATAAGAGAAAAAAAGCAAACATACAACATATTAACACATAGTCAGTTCACAATCGTATAGTCATGATAGTTTGAAGTGTACATGTACCATTAGAACATATAAAACAGTTACAGAGTGCATTTAGTAAATAGATATTATATACAAATCAAAATCATACATTCTAAAAAAGTAATAGTTGCAATCATTTCAAGACTGAATATTGGGACTGCCTCAAGTATCATTTTATAATTTGTTTAAAACAAAAAGTGTTTTGCACTTTACTCATCTCATATGGTAGTCCGTTCCATAAAACTGATCCAGAATAAGCAAAAGATTTTTTAAACAGTTCAGTTTTTGTCTTAGGAATTATCAAATTACCTTGAGTAACACCCCTTAAAGCATAAGGATTATTAACAGATAATAAGTAGGTACTGTGGTGCAGTAAATATTTGTGGTATTTGATTATATTTTCTACTGTCATCCATCCAAGTTCTTTAAATAAGGGGGCTGATGGGGATAAAGGGTCTGCATCAAGAATTAATCTTGCTGCTCTTTTTTGAAATTTTAATATTCTTATTATCCCTTCATTTTTAAATTCTTTTCAAACAATACAGCAGTAATCGATGAGCGGCAGAATATTCCCATTATAATATGCTTTCCTGGCATTAATATCTAAAAATTTCTTTAATTTAGAAAGAAGGTATATTCTTGATGAAATGCTAGCAAAAATTTGATCAATTTGATTTGTCCAGCTAAGTGTGCTGTCAATTTTAACACCTAATAATTTTTCACATAATGAATTTTGTAGTGTTTCTGAATTTATTTGTAAATTTGATTGAAAAGATTGAGTTGATAACTTCTAACTTCTGACTTGTTCCAGTAACCAAACATTTTGTTTTTTTAGTATTGATGAACATATTATTCATTTTGCACCATTCTTCAACTCTGCATAAATCTTCTTGTACATCATCATGTAAATTTTCAATGTTTTTCCCAGTTTTATGAAGAGTAGTATCATCAGCATACAAGTCTGTTTTACAATTTTTAATGCAAAGGGGAAGGTCATTTATAAATAAGACAAATAATAGAGGACCTAGTATAGATCCTTGGGGGCCACCAAATTTCACATCTTTTTTATCAGAATTAACATTGCAAATGTTTACTTGCTGTGTTCTATTACTTAGGTATGACCTGAAAAAACCCTACTGCATACTCACTGAATCCATAAATAGCAAGCTTTAAGCAAAGAATGTCATGATCTACAAGATCTATAAAACTATAACATTTACACCCAAACTAGGCCAAAATAGAGGTTTTGGTGAAAGCTGACAAAATTATCTGGATTTAGGGCTAGGAAACATAAAGCGTAGGCTTAGACAAACGAACTATTCAAGTTAGATATGTAAATTCTTATAAAAATATAATGTTAAAAGATCTTTTTTGTTGTAAATTTTCAGCAAAAAGATCTTTTTCCTATCAATTTATAGTTTTAGCTTTGATTCATTGTGGCGTCAGTCAGTAAATCATGATTTGAAATTTAATCTACAAATAAGGGCCATATTAAGGTCTTATAGAACCTACTCATTTGTGCCCTGGCAACCATGATTCTCAAACAGATTTAACTTGTTATTTAATTTTTATAAAAACCTTTTACAGAATTCTTAAAGCAAATGCCATAACTTTTTTGACAATATTGTATTATCTTATGAAGATAGTATCACCTCCGGTATGTCCTCTCATTATTAAAACACACAACCTAGGAGTTGATCACTATAGACAAGCTACTTAGACAGCTTGGCCTCTAAGGCCCCCAAAAACATGATGACTTTGTAATTTATTGACACAATATTCTTCTATAATGATAAAGTTTTCTGATGATTTTTATTGTATTTTTCTAGATGTCACTCATGTACCTGTATCTAAGATAACGGATGAGTTAATGTGCAAAAACCCAGCTATGAAAGTGTTTACCAAAGAAACAGCACCAAAACGCTTCCATTACCTTAACAACAAACGAATTGGTGATGTATTATTAGATATGCAGGATCAGTGGCTAGTTACAGAGTAAGTGTGGCTTTTTTTTACTTGTCAATGACCTTTCTCTCTAGATCTATGTAATTATGTAATACCAAGCAAATTGTGTTTTGTTGGCAATGTCAAAACCCCCTCCCCCCCCTCCCCCACCAAAAAAAAAAGAAAGAAATATGAATAGCTGTTGGTTGAATTAAAAAAAATATTTGTTTATCTTTTTATATAAACCTTATTTTCTGGGTAGTTGATTTTGTTCAGTTTATGTCCAGATTTCATGACAAGTATAAATTTTCATAACTAAAATCTTGTACTCTTTTGCTTGTCTTACCCAATATTGTTTACGTCTTGATCTTGATTGCTTGGATGTTAAGAAACAACAATCAATCAAATTATTGATTAAAAGCTGTCCATGTAACTATGGAAATATAAAACGAAAATAACACTATGTAATTTTTTTGTGTCCAATGGGCTTTTCTGGATTTACATTCATCAGGAAAGCTCAAAGCCAAATATTTGAAAGCCAAGTGTGTATAAGTACTGAAACTAGTGAAGAGCTATATGACCAAATCCATCTAAGGTCAACTTTGCCTGAGGGAGTTATAATCTTAGTTTCTTAATAATTTAGAAATTTATAAACGTACAATTTGAGAAATTTTGTTATAAATTATGTCAGTACAGATGTATTGACTACCAAGCTTATGATACCCTCAGGAACTAACAATCCACAATAAGTGGTTATTGTATATTTCAGTACAAAATCTTTTTGGTGTACTGGTGGAAACCATGGATGGGATAATCTTTACAAATCTATGCATGTAAGTTTTATGCACAGTAACTCAACTGATTTTATTAAAACTTTATACAAGAATGATTGTAGGGTAGTTTTCCATATGAAAAAAATTAATGTGTACTGTAAAGATTTAAAAAAAAGAATTAAGTAGGACTTGACAATTTTTTAAACAATGTAACAGGGAACACTACTTATCTGCAAGGGATTAACAAATTTCATTCTAACATGCAGATAGAATTCTGTTTTGTATTTATTTGATAGAAATAGCCTTGTCCATTGTTTGGTTATGGAATTGAGTTATAATTTATGAACTCTGTTGGCAGTATGTTTATCTGCATAATTCATATTGTAGGCTTTGTTTTTGGCACATGGACCAGCATTTAAACAACAACTAGAAATAAAACCTTTTGAAAATATTGAATTATATAATCTTATGTGTGGTAAGTACTCAGTACCTTAAGTAAAACACCTCTGAGTAAGATTGATAGCTACAACATTTCTGTTCAAATTTGATGCAATCAACTGTTTTTCTATATGATGTCATAATTTGAGGGATCAAGCATAAGCGAACCCTGTAGTGGTATTTTTTTTTATAAAGATAAGATACTTGTATAAGGCTAGATATCAATAAAATTAAGAACTTTCTCATTTAAAACGAAATAAAACTTAAAGTTTTTATACATATATTCAAGCAGTTCTGTCCAATGAAAATGATAAAAAAAGTCATCTCTCAACATAAAAAACCTGCAATCAGGTTATACTTATGAAGATATGAAAAATGCACATTTCACATAAAATAATCAAAACTGTATGAATCTCAAAGGTTTTTACCTGTTCTTTATGAATAAATTTCATTCCAGCATACATTTGTCTGCTACTTAAAGAGCCATTACTTGAATATATAAAATTGTGCCATTACAAACAAGAAAATTATCTAGCATGAAATCTAAAGGTTTAATATTTGTAAAATTGCTTTTTTTCAGAGATAGCAAGTATCACTCCAGCACCAAACAATGGAACAGTAGGAGCACTAAACCATATTTTAAATCAACCTAATATTATACCTCGAGTAAAAGCCAATGAAACTAAGAGTAATGTTACTAAACCTATTCCTCTCTGTGGATGTGATTCAAAGGTGAGATTCGTATAAATATGCTTAGTTTGATACTTTTTATATATGCAACTTCCTCAAGCAATAAAAGTTTACTGCCAGAATATAACTAGGTGTGCTGCAAGTGGTTTTAAACCAAGGCTTCCAAAACGGTCATATATGCCGGACATTTGTATAATGTCCGGTAAAAGTCCGGCTGGGCAAAGCATGAAACGGTCATCTACTTTTTAGTTTTCAAGGCTACAAGAGACGGTCATTTAAACATAATTCGCGATCTTTTTGACCCAACGTTTTGCCTTCAACAGCCACCCATTTCCGGTCATAAAAGTGACATGATCATTAAGTACTATCAAAACAACCCCTACTTTAATACCTTCTCATTTTAATCAAGGCTAATTAGTTGTCAAACAGCAGAAATTTACCTGTTCGGGTGACAGGTAAACTATTTTGAACCGGACATTGATCGGTCTATTCAAAGTTATTTTCTTACATTTCAGCGGTTTGCATCTAATTAATTTAGCCAAATAGATTTAAATTATCAGAAATACGTTTACAAATATGATTTGATGAAAAAATTCAAAAGGTGAAAATGAAAAATCGTCATAACCACGTTGTTTGAACCTAGAGACATGTCTCTGTTTGAACTAGTACACGTGTGCGCAGGTGTGAAATTAAATTATGCATCCTAATTTCTTTAAAAAATGCTTAAATTGTCATTGATACCTTTATCTCACGTTTATTTCGAATATTTTCTTGAAGAAATAACGTAGAAAGAGCTACTTCCACTCATTCACGCTTTGCAAACGTACACAGAATTTACGTATCCGTCTCTGGTCCATGTTTTACCATTGTCAAGATAACATCCAGTATAAAAACGAAAGTAAAGTAGTTTTTGACAACGTTATTTTGCACAAATAAAGAGTCTAAGGCAGATATAAGTACGCTGATGTTGCACACTTTGAATGATGCACTGCCAATTTAACAGTTTACGTCAGAACTTCGAATTTGAATCAAAGAAAGTTTAATATCGTTTTTTTTAATGTCAATCATTGGGATGGCCAACTCGGCAACTGATAACCATAATTTAATGGGCATAATTGCCTTTTGTTTATTTAGTCTTAAGGGATTAAAATCCGGATAATATATAAAATGTCTGGCTGGCTAAAAATAATTTTGGAAGCCCTGTTTTAAACAGCAACAATTAATCAATCAATCAACCTATATGCAGAAAAGTAATGTACATTTTGTGCCTACACTCTTGTATACCAGTAATTGTTTTTATTTAAATTTGTAATTCAGTTTATATCTAGACAAATTTTTGTTTTTCTAAAGATTTTTTTTCACCCCAGAATTTTACAGGAAAATCTCCAATAATGTTTGTATGATATATAGAATAAATGAAGAGCATTTTTACTCTGGCTTAAATCAAGTGAAATAGACTTTATTTGAACTTAGCAACTTATAGATCACAGAGAAATAGAGACTCCAAAAAATGCTTTTGTTTATGTTCAGAAGTACATGCAAAGAAAATGCTCACTTTTGACATAAAAACGAACTATCTTGACATATTTGTTCTGTGTCGACTACTGGTAGGCACTTTTTATACGACTGCAAAAAAATTTTGCGATCGTATATTGGTATGACGTTGGCTTCGTCGTCGTCGTCGTCGTCGTCCGAAGACACCTTGGTTTTCGCACTCTAACTTTAGTTTAAGTGAATGGATCTTTATGAAATTTTACCATAAGGTTCAATACCACAAAAGGAAGGTTGGGATTGATTTTGATGGTTATGGTACCAACAGTTAAGGAATGAGGGGCCAAAAAGGGGCCAAAAATAAGCATTTTTGTAACTTCCAGACATAACTTGTGTGTTAGTGTATGGATCTCTCTGACATTGTACCACAAGGTTCCATATCACAAAAGGAATGCTGGGATTGATTTTGGGGGTAATTGTCTCAAAATTTTAGGAATTAGGGGCAAAAAAAGGGGCAAAAAACAAGCATTTTTATATGGACAAATACTTTAGTACAAAACATAATTTAAAGCAGTGTAAGGGAGATAAATCAAATACATCATTTGTATTACCTCCCTTACACTGCATTTAAATTATGTTCAAAGTAATGGTTAATGAACAATTAAGACAATTTAAAACAGTGTAAGGGAGGTAATCCACGTACAACATTTTGATTACTTCCCTTACACTGCTTTTAAATTATGTTTAAAGAAATGCATTTTTATAAAGGAAGAACAGTAAAAATATCTGCAAATGTTGCATCTTTTTTTTTTTTTACAAAAAAATCCATATGAAAGATTTGACACCATATTTTAAATTCTATTATAAAATAGATTAAGTTAGCACTATGGTAAATTTAAATGGGTAATTATGGTTGCAAATTCCATTGGAAATATGAATTGGATTATGACCATTATGATTATTGAGGGAAAGAATTTTTTTGGGTGAAAAGGTGGGGGGGGGGGGGGGGGTAATAAGAAATTGTGGGGGGTCAATTTTTTCTCATATCAGATTTCAGAAATTAAAAAGAATTATTCTTCAAATATTATTTTTTTTTCAAATTTCAAATATTGAAAAATTTCAAGAAGTAATCTTTAATTGCACAGTATGGCGCATTAAATTTGAAAAATCTTTGACCACATTTATTTATTTGTCATGCCAAATCTGACCGTGTATTTAGATTTTTTATTTTGGGTCCAGTTTTCAAATTGGTCAACATTAAGGTCCAAAGGGTCCAAAATTAAACTTAGTTTAGTTTTAAAAAAAATTGAATATATGGGGTTATTTGATATGCTGAATCTAAACATGTATTTAGAATTTTGATTTCGGGCGCAGTTTTCGAGTTGGTCCAAATTGGGGTCCAAAATTAAACTTTGTTTAATTTCAACAAAAATTGAATATATGGGGTTCTTTGATATGCTGAATCTAACCATGTATTTAGATTTTTTATTTGTGGGCCCTGCTATCAAATTGGTTCATATTGAGGTCAAAAGGGTCCAAAATTAAACTTTGTTTTATTTCATCAAAAATTGAATTATTGGGGTTCTTTGATATGCCAAATATAACCATGTATTAAGATTTTTAATTTTGCGTCCAGTTTTCAAATTGGTCTACATTTACTTCCAAAGGGTCCAAAATTAAACTTAGTTTGATTTTAACAAAAATTGAATATATGGGGTTCTTTGATATGCTGAATCGAAACATGTATTTAGATTTTTAATTTCGGGCCCAGTTTTCAAGTTGGTCCAAATTGGGGTCCAAAATTTAACTTTTGTTTGATTTTAACAAAAATTGAATATATGGGGTTCTTTGATATGCTGAATCTAACCATGTATTTAGATTTTTTATTTGTGGGCCCTGCTATCAAATTGGTTCATATTGAGGTCAAAAGGGTCCAAAATTAAACTTTGTTTTATTTCATCAAAAATTGAATTATTGGGGTTCTTTGATATGCCAAATCTAACCGTGTATTTAGATTTTAAATTTTGGGTCCCGTTTTTTAAATTGGTCTACATAAAGGTCCAAAGGGTTCAAAATTAAACTTAGTTTGATTTTAACAAAAATTGAATTCTTGGGGTTCTTTGATATGCTGAATCTAAACATGTGTTTAGATTTTTGATTATGGGCCCAGTTTTCAAGTTGGTCCAAATTGGGGTCCAAAATTAAACTTCATTTGATTTCAACAAAAATTGAATGTATGGGGTTCTTTGATATGCTGAATCTAACCATGTATTTTGATTTTTGGGCCCCATTATCAAATTGGTCCACATTGAGGTCAAAAGGGTCCAAAATTAAACTTTGTTTGATTTTCATCAAAAATGGAATTCTTTGGATTCTTTGATATGATGAATATAACCATGTATTTAGATTTTGGATATTGGACCATAATAGGTAAATTAAAAAATTTTAAGTTCTTAGCCCACATTCATTCTGTGTCAGAAACCTATGCTGTGTCAAATATTTAATCACAATCCAAATTCAGAACTGTATCAAGCTTGAATGTTGTGTCCATACTTGCCCCAACTGTTCAGGGTTGGACCTCTGCGGTCGTATCAAGCTGCGCCAAGCGGAGCATTTTATTTCTCATACATTGATTTGCAGTAAGTTGTTTCTTTTGCTGTGTGGGATGTAAAAATATTCAACCATGTCTGTTTATATTTCGGAGGTAAATTTGATGCCTTATGTAGGTAGAGTGCTAAGCTGTCTGCATTTTAAAGAACAATTGCAGCAACTCTGAAGGATCTGTTGATTGTCGTTGAAAAGTCACCACACGCACAATTATTTTTCTGCCCATATTCCTTGTCCACCCACATTTAACAATCTCAGCTAACATGAACAAAACTTGTTTCTTAATTGTTGGTTTATTCAAATTGGCTATATTTGAGAATATATGTTGAGGAGTGTTTCCGTTTTGTTTTAAATTCTATGTTTCAATCTTACTGGGAACTAAGAGCTTTTCTCTTGTTCTTAAAAATTGCTTTTGAAGTTAAGTGCCAATCTGCCTAAGAATCAGGCAGTGGTGAAAATATGACAAACAAAAACCTGCTCAACTTTACATTAATTTATGTTCAGAATGTATAATGGTGCATGAATATAACATTGGTTTCCTTTTCCTGTTCTGGTATTTGAAGATATAATTTGGTTGAAATGTACTAGAAATTAACAACTAAGCGGAGATAACTCCATAATTTGCTATCATTCTAACCAAAATTTATCTAGATATTTTTCGATTTACCTGACCCACAGAAACGAAAGACCTACCATCTCTAACTCAGGATGAGGTTACCTTTGAAAAAGGGTGGCCATGTTTTGAAATTTTTATAAATTGCCTGTTTCTTACAAAGACTGGCACTTAAAAATAAAAAGTCCATTTAGTAATGGTTGATAAAAATGCAAATTTTTTTTTTTATAGAATTTAAATTTACCAGATACATTACCCGATTCATCCAAAAGCTTACCATTTGGAGTACCTGTATCATCTCATGGCACACTGTATACAAAACTCTATATAGACTTAGCATCAGGTTACAATGACAACAGACCTTTCTGGGCAACAGCTGTCATATCACAGACACGGGTAAGAAAGCAAAACTTATTTTTTTCTAAATTTTGTTAACCTTGTATTATTAACCATTGAACACAAAATATGATATCACAAGATGCTTTTTAATTTATAATTCAAACATTCAAATTGTTTGAATTACAAATATATATATTTTATACATTCCTTTATTAGAATTTTTTTCTCAAATGTATCTAAGTATATGTCGTGTTAAAACTATTTATATTTCTAAGCTTTGTACAGTTATTGTAAACAATGGCTACATGTGTGACTTTAAGACTTCTATTTCTAGGGAGACTTGAATTTGACAGAAATATGTTATGTAAATGACCTGAGCAGTAGAGAACTAACCTGTGATAACTATGTTAACAGAGACAGAAACATCTCATTACAAACTTTGTATCGTAAGTTAATTACTGATTTAAGGATAATTCACCAAAAAATGTTTTATTTTAGAACACTCATTCTAAAATATTGAATTTTCAAATTAACATTAATGTGAATATAAAAATATTTTAGTATGTAATTGTAAAATTTTAAAATTTTAGAAATTATATTAATCAAGATCTTGATCTGATGTATTATGTGCTATTTATATACACAGTACATGCATTGAAATTTGGTATTTTTTTTTTATGTTAACAGGGTTTATATGCTAATTTCATAAAATTTCAGATTTATTCAAAGAAGATTGTGTCAGTTTTTTCCACAATTGCTTCAATAACTAATTGATTTTACCTTGCAATTATAGTAATTTTGATTTCTCCTTTAGCGAGACCAGTTGCAGGTGCCAATTTTCTCAGTTCTGCAGTGCCAATGTTTGATGGATTTAAACATGGTATGTTTTCATAAAAGTAAATTTGTAAGTGTTAAGAGAGAATAGTCTTAATATTTAGCAAAAGATTATTGCTTTATAAAAAGGAAAAGATGTGGTATGATTGCCGATTAGACAACTTTCCAGCAGAGACCAAATTACTTAGGAGTTAGCAACTATGGGTCACTGTATGCCCTTCAACTCCAAGATGGCAAATGGTATATTGTTTTACAGTTTAAAAATCATACCATTCAGTTAAGTACAACCAGTAATACTTTAATATTTCACCTATACAATGCATTCTGACACAGAAACAAAAGTAATGTAAGCATAGATTCTTTTCACACATACACTATAAAAACTGCTCACCTTTTGGGCTTGGTTTAATTAATAATATTTTTTTGGTAATAGATCAGTTTGGTAAGGTGTTACAAACTGCAATTTGATAAAATGAGTTCAATTAGTAGCAATGACAAAACTACAACACTTATAGTCAACTCACAGTTAATGAAACTGTTGGCATAGTTAGTATAAGGTATTATTGACCACTTCTGACTTGCAAAGAGTAAGATGGTTAAACCTTGAATGGTTTATATTGCAATTTGCAACACTGTTATTGATTTACAAGCATGAGAGGTATATGCAAATATAAACATTATTGATAATATAAAACATATTTAATATTTGAATAAATGTACTTTATAGGTATATGGGAGTATATATGGCAGTTGACTAGAGATTACAGTAAAGGATATGGTAACATGAGTGTCACGACAGGACCTATATATGATTATAATGGTGATGGATCAGTAGATGTACTGTTTGACAGTCAAAGGTACATCAACTATAAGCTTTTTATTGTTGTTTATTAGTATAACCTTGCAAGTTCTGAAAAAGGGATTAAGAAATGTATTGAAATTCAAGTATTTTCTGGTACAGGCACTTTCAAATGAAAGCTGAAGGTTGTACTAGCTTTTGCATTGCACTACCAGCTTTTGCATTGCACTAAACACTTGTATGACATTAATTTCAGTTCCAAATTACCATTTACTGTGAAAGTACTTTAATTCGTGTGTATCAATTTTCGTGGTTTGAGCAAAAGTTACATGTTCATGGGTTCTTAAATTTGTGGATTTTAGTTTTCTGAAAAATTCAGGTGAGGAAATTGAAGTCATCAGGAACGAAGATTCTTGTAAGCTGCAAAATAAGGTGTTCATTTTCACTTACTTGTTCGTCTTTCATTATCGACAACATTCATCAAATTTTTAATAAAATAATTGTTTTATAAATGTACTTTGAATTGTGAATTAATATGTATAAAATATAAAAGCAGACCCAATATGATTTTTTTTCGTATGAGACTAGTGTGTGGAAATCAAATGAACACTTTATCATTGCGTATAATCACCAAAATTCTGACTTTCATTGATCGAAAGTCATTTTTCATGAACATTAAAACCATTAAAGTCGTACAGTTTAGGCTTTTTAAAGATTAAATGGGTAAAATCCTGTCTGAAGTTGTCCATATAAACAACCTGTAGTTCATTTTGTTGATATTTGATGTATTCTTTATATGCCCGTATCCATGTAGTCAAACCTACATGGGTCTTCTTCCATGTCTTAATTTGGACAACGGTTGTTATATTTCTTTGGACACTTAAATTCGTGGATAAAGCCATCCACGAAAACCACGAAAATTGGAACCCCATGAATAAAAGTACTTTCACAGTAACTTGGAATCAATGAGTTAAACTGATGTTGCTGTGCTCACAGCCAAAAAGGTTAATGATATTTAATTGAGAACTTACATATTGTTATAGATGGCTTTAAACAAGATAGTTCAAAAAATAAATACAGTTTTTTCTTATATTTCTGTCTTGAATAGGAAGAAGTTTATGTAACAAATCTTTATGTTTCAATATTTTTAAGTTAGTTGTTGATCATGTACAGTTTGCTCTTATCAAGATAAATAGAATAGAATGATTTCATCTGTCTTCTGTATTAAGAAGTTCATTAGAACTTTTTTTTTACATTTTAGCACAGTAAACAGTAACAGTACAGTAATTTTACCAACTCATTTCTATATGATATTAATGAAATGCAAAGATAAAACTCTCAATCTTCCATGTACCAATGGTGACATTGATGTACAGTCATACATATTACCACATGTACAGAGTCAACCCAATTGTTTGGTAAGTATTCTGGTGTATAGCTGTCAAAATCTATGCTAAAGATGTATATTTCACAGTAACCTGTGCCAAAAGTGCATAACTATTTTTTGGCATGTTTATTCCTTTGTTAGTGGATGACACTAACAAAGTTATATATATTTTATATATATGTATATACATTTTTGTACAACATTTTGATTATAGACTGATTTCAAGGAAACTCTCAGCACTTCATATGACATACATAATAGTTGCTTTACACCCAAACTTATAGAAGGGTAAACTACTTTCCTTCCAAATTCTAATTTGAACTAGAAACATTGCTTAGATAAAACATCTCGTTTCAGGGGATTACCTGAAAAAAAATTCATGAATATACTTGTATATCCTTTTTCTATTATGCCTGCAGATGTTTGGTACATTGGTGTATTATGATGACTTACAGATTGAGTAGGCATTTTTTTTCTGGTTGTTCAATTTTGGGAAGAATTACAGGGGCTTGGACATAGAAAACTTCATGCAATTGTTCTTGTCTGGACTTTTATGTAATTCCTGCAGATCTGGATCTGATTTGTTTGTTGAACTTGTTCATAAGTTTATAATGATAACTTAAAGATTGAGGTTGGGTTTTGTTCAGGTTGACAGACTTTTGACAGAATTATGGCCATTGGACTATTTCTGTTATGCCTGCAGATCTGGAGCTGATATTTTGGTAAAGAAATTAATATTAATGACTTACAGGCCAAGTTTGCATTTCATTCAGATTGACAGACTTTTTACAATCTTGCAGGCAAGGACATACATGTAATACATACACTCCTAATTTAGATAGCTCTACATAATAGCAAAACAGAATTGACCAATTGCAAAAAATTGGTTCACAGTTTTATGATTAAGAATGTTAAAAAAACATTATGTTGATACTCTAATAGCTAATGCATTGCTTTTGGAAGTTTATAAATTTATATTTTATGTTTATTTCAGTATAATTTGGAGTATTTAAAAGACAATGTAGCCAGGATAAGAGACATTGAATTATTAACAGGGATCAAGTTTCTCACTGAAAACATTGATCAAGCATTAGCTGCTCAACTTAGAACATATTTACCTGTAGATCTATGGCCAACAGAACTGACGGAAACCTGGTTAGATAAACCATGCCCTTCTCAACAAAAAACATGCAGCTCAGAGTAAGATATTTGCTCAGATTAAGATGTTTTTACAAAAAGGGGTTTGATAACAATATTACTGCCGATGGATTTATGTTGTTTCGTGACTTATTATAACAAAAATTGTATGGTTAGTGGATTATTAAAAAGTAAGATTTTACATTATTATACCCCATGCAACGAGTTGCGGAGGGTATAATGTTTTTGACCTGTCCGTCCGTCTGTCCTTCCATTTGTCCGTCCGTCTGTCCGTCCGTCAGTCCGTCAGTCCTATTTCTTGTCATCGCACTCCTCTCAAACCACACAACAGAATTTCACGAAACCTTTTTAGATAATAAGGACATACTATGTAGTTGAGCATATCGACAGGAAATTACGAGTCAATTTTTTTTCTAGGAGTTACGCCCCTTTGAACTAATTTACTTTAATGTACTACTGCAACCTTTTGTCATCGCAACTCCTCTCAAACCACACAACAGAATTTCATGAAACCTTTTCAGATAATAAGGACATACAACGTAGATGTGCATATTGACAGGAAATTACGATTCATTTTTTTTCTCCAGGAGTTACACCCCTTTGAACTTATTTGCCCAATATACTACTGCAACCTTTTGTCATCGCAACTCCTCTTAAACCACACATTAGAATTTCATGAAACCTTTTCAGATAATAAGGACATACTACATAGATGTGCATATCGACAGGAAATTACGATTCAATTTTTTTCCAGGAGTTACGCCCCTTTGAACTTATTTGCCCAATATACTACTGCAACCTTTTGTCATCGCAACTCCTCTCAAACCACACAACAGAATTTCATGAAACTGTGTAGATAATAAGGACATACTACGTAGATGTGCATATTGACAGGAAATTATGATTCAAATTTTTTTCCAGGAGTTACGCCCCTTTGAACTTATTTGCCCAATATACTACTGCAACCTTTTGTCATCGCAACTCCTCTCAAACCACACAACAGAATTTTATGAAACTGTGTAGATAATAAGGACATACTATGTAGATGTGCATATTGGCAGGAAATTATGATTCAATTTTTTTTTCTGATAAAATTTTTTTTTCTTACACTTATTTTATTTCTCCAATGACAATGTGGGACGTGGGGTATGTGAGCGCGCTCACTAAGGTTCTTTAATTTTCAATAAATTTTGCTATAGTCAAATGAAATAAAGTGCATATGATTTTTCCATTTGTTTGTCATTACCTCAATTTGAATTGTTCTTAATTTTTCAATATTTTAAGATAGAGGTTTACAATCAATAATTCAAATTTCTGAATATATTAAATGACTTAATTGTTTACTTGGACATAAAGGCAGTTGACATTCAGTCGTAATTTATATTAAGATTTAAGGCTATGTTTTCTAATTTTAAATGTTTATTTTCAGTTACCAGCCTCTGATTTTAATATCATTAGATGGATTTAGAGCTGATTATTTACTGAGAAACTTTACTCCTTATGTCAGAAAACTGAGTCAGTGTGGAGTACATGCTCCATATATGAGATCTGTATACCCAACAAAGACTTTCCCAAACCATTATTCTATTGTTACGGTAAGACAATTTTCTAACTATTTTTTTGACTTCAAAGTTTGAAAAAATACACACAGAAATAAACAAAATGGTGAAAAATTTAGTGTAAACATTAAAATAAAAAAAAATCTTGTGAAAAATTAAATGAAGTTTATCTAGAAAAATTGATATTTCAGTCATTAAGCCCAGGGGAGTTACAGATAATTATGGATTGCAGAAAATGGTATTGCTGCATGTAAAAAACATTTTTTTACATTATACATTCATGTTCATATGTAATGGTGCTTAAGCTAAGACTATAACTTCATCAGGCCAAGTTGACAGTATAGACTTTGCTGTTTGGGCACTTAGTTTATGTGCTCTCCAAGGTTTATATCTTTAGCTTTCCAAAATGTTAGTCTTGAGTATAGCTAATGAAGGTTATTCCGGAAATGTTTTGTTTGGATATCACTGATGGTAAAACAGATATTTATTGCCTTTTTTTCAGGGAATGTATCCTGAATCCCATGGTGTGATAGACAACAATATGTATGATGATTCTATTGGTACTTGGTTTGGTATGAGTAAAGCTAACGCTAGTGATCCAAGATGGTGGAAAGGGGAACCAGTAAGTAAAGGAGACAATTTGGTAAACTGAATTTTTCCTATCACATGGACACTTTTCCAGTTATGCTTAGTAACATTAGGAATGTACTGGAATAGTTCCAATAGAACATGCTCTACTTTATGTTATATGTTGTTATAACCTTGTTATATCTTACTGTTCTGTCATTTGGGGAATTTTGTGTTATGGTAGATTTGATGTTCTGCTGGCTTAGATTTTTGGGGAAATCCTGGAATCAAGTACATGTGTACCAAAGTAAAGTCACTGGAAGAAATCTGTTTTTACTGAGGGTTATTTAGGTTAAATTCAAATTAAAAACTAGTTTACACTGTATTAGTTTTGGTTAAGTCCGAGATATCAGAAAATGCAAGTTATAGAGGAATTATATTTTGTCAGTGGACACATCTTAGAAAGTTATGAAGAATGCTATACCATGTGATGCTTTTTCACAGCCGTTGCTCTTCAATTTCCTGTTAACCAAATACTCAAATATGGGTTACATCAGTTAAAAGATAGAACAAAAAAACCGAGCAATAGCTCACTGTTCAATTTTTTTGTTGTTTAATTGTAATCTTTGTACTAGTCATAATTTAAAATGAAATCTTTAAAATTCAACACATAGTTAAATCTTCTAGATATGGAATACAATAAAGAAGAATAATAAAAGATCAGCTACGTATTTCTGGCCAGGATCTGATGTACAGATTCAGGGTAGGTATGGCTGTCTGTACAGGATTTTGTTAAAAAGGGGGATAAGATAGCAAGGGGCATTGAAAATAATAATTTGAAAGAAGGAAACACAACACAATGACAAAAAGAAAATATTTGAACAGACAACAGTTTACAAAGCAGGACTGAAAAAAATGAGATTGAAAAACAAGAACCAGACTAAAAACTTGAGTGTAACTTTTCAAAATACTAAGCACTTCTTGCTCCATTTATGGCATCTGCATTGTTAACAAATTATGCTTTATAAATATATATTTATAAGGCCAAGCAAGTTGGATTTAATACAAGTAATACCATATAAGATTTCCATATCCATCAGTCTCTTAATCAATCTTAAGGATAACTTCAAGAAAATTTCAGTCTTAAAATCAAGCATAGGACAAGCTCTGTATTGTGGTTCAAATTGCTATGTGAAGAGGTTGAAACATAAAAAAACTGACATGATAAGTTACATTAATATAGTTATACAGGAAAATATTCAGAGTGTTTTGTTGCTAATATGTGCATACTGTAAATTCAGAAAAGGTGGGGTATCACAATAATTAGAACTCACATCATGATATTAGGAACATATAAATGTATGGAGATTTTCTTGAAATCACAATAATTAATTTCTCATTTTTGACCATTCTTCAAAAATGTCAAAAATAAATGCATGCAGTAATTTCTGAATTCACAGTACTATCCACTGGTGGCGGTGGTGGCATTGGTGGTATGAAGTATTTGTATTAAGCTTTTATATTTCAGAAGGTAGAAGACCTGGATGCCTCATACCTTCTATGCAGATACCTTATGTTACAAAGTTTCCGTCTGTGAAATCTCAAAAGAATCATTCATAGTGGTCACGGTCTGTCATATGTCCATTGTCCTTGACCTCATTTTCATGGTTAAGTAACTGCTTGCAAAAAAAATATATTTTTTTGTTATCATGTGAATTGCTCACTTACCATTATTATGAATAATAGGATAACTATATTTGGTATATGGGTTCTTTGCAACGTCTATATGTCCATCAGACAGGGTTCACCTGACCTAAACCTCATTTCATGGATCAGTGATCAAGTTGAAAGGTGCATGATTAGGTCCGTTTCTCAAATACTGTAAGCAATAGGTCAACTATAGTTGGTGTATGGAATGATTGCAAGGGTACATGTCAGTCTGTCAGGTTTATCTGACCTAGACCTCATTTTCATGGTTCATTGGTTTATGTTAAGTTTTTGTGTTTTGGTCTGCTTTTCAAGTACTATAGGCAATAATAAATCAAAATAGTACATCATAAAGATCTTACATTGTCATTGTCAGAAAGAATTCAAATGTTTCTCTTGATTAGACCACTCTGAAACCATAACATTTAAAACTGAGGTCTTCTACATATAATACCAATTAAAAATGTATCAATTGATAAATTGTAGATTCAGCTATAGATTGTATCCATTATGCCATAATTTTTTGCCATTGTGTAATATTTGTTTAATCTAATATAAAGTTTGATTTTCTAGGAATGTATCCTGATATTTGGAAGAAGTATGATGGGTAAGATTAGTTTAAATCAATGTATCCTTTCTTGGTTTTCTAATTAATATTGTATTCTCATTCAACTATTTTGAACCTATGTTATCAGGACATTACACAATGATGGATATTTATAGTGGTATGATGTGGATAGTCATATAAACTTGACCCTTTGGAACACATTTAGTATTTAAATTACATTGGTTGTATATTTGCAATAAAGTTTCTTGAAAATCTAAGAAAACTGAGATAATTAAGATCTATAATTGAAAAAAAATTCAGAATTCCAATTTGTTTTTGATAAATTTGGTATTTTTATTTTACAGAAAAATTCCATTTGACTCTCGAGTCGATGAGTTACTAAGATGGGTAGACTTACCAGCGGGACAGAGACCAGATTTTATCACATTGTATTTTGATGAACCAGATCATTCTGGACATTCCTATGGGCCTGACGATATTCCAAAGGTATATTAAATGTCATACTCTCTGATCAATGATTCATTTTTGTTACCTAATAAATATCAGAGAGACGATTTTATTCTGCTTTTTAGCAGATTCCTCAGATATTGATAATCTTGATTTGTCCTTATAGATTATCGTTGATCATCTCAACGAGATTGATTTTCTCACTTGAGCCAGTACGGTGAAAGTGAGAAAAGCAATTGAGTTGAGATGACCAATGATAATCTGTTTATCGCTATTTTACCTATGACGACATTGTTAATTTCATTGACAACGGGCACGTGCGCCCTTAGTTTCTTGCGATAATTTTTCATATCACTCTACTGTGCTGAGAAAGGAAATTATCAGTCAGTAAGATCAAAGGAAAGTTTCGTAAAATAGCGATAATTTATTATTCATTTATTATCTATTAGTAATAGGCTACTGGTATATCCATTTCTGCTTTTATTTTTGATTACCAAAATCATATGCTCTTATGAATGAATATATAAACAATATATATTTGTTGTCAGGGATATCATTGATTCAATATTAAAATATCAAAGACGTGGTCAGAATCAATACATATTAACTTGTTACTAGATTGTGGAGAGTTACAACAATAACAAAATATCAGAAGTATGAACTTACCAGCAAGGAAAAATTTTAAAAGTTATTTTCTGATTTCAGATTGGTCAGGCACTAGATAAAGTAGATGAAGCAGTAGGCAGATTAATGGAAGGGTTATATCGCCGTAACTTGCACAATTGTGCTAATATTATAATAGTAGCCGACCATGGTAGGTGTTTGAGGAGACATTCAACAAGGTTTTATAAAATATTAGACCTGTTTTTTAATTCTAAAAACTTTTTTATTCTTCCTTAGAATTTTTTCTGATTTTTGTCTCGCCTTATCGGGGTCAAAAAGCGAGACATAGGTATGCTGTTTGCCGGCGTTGGCGGCGTCAACAATGTATTAGTTTGTGATTAGGTCTAGTTCATGGTGAACCACTAGTGGTAGGTCAATGATATTTGGTATGCAGTTGTATTAGCATTGGCACATCTCATTACCATGGAGATTATTTGGCCCCGCCCCCTCAGTCAAGGTCTATTGACTTTGAAACTTTTCATAGTTTACATGTATTAGTTTGTGATTAGGTCAATTTATGGGGAACCACTAGTGGTAGGTCAATGATATTTGGTATGCAGTTGTATAAGCATTGGCATATCTCATTTCCATGGAGATTATTTGGCTCCGCCCCCTTAGTCATGGTCTATAGACTTTGAAAATTTTGCTAAGTTTACATGTATTAGTTTGTGATTAGGTCAGTTCAAGGGGAACCATACGTGGTAGGCCAATGTTAATTGGTGTTCAGTTGTATAAGCATTAACACATCTCATTTCCTTGGAAAATATTTGGCCCCGCCCCCTCAGTCATGGTCTATTTACTTTGAAACTTTTGCTTAGTTTACATGTATTAGTTTGTGATTAGATCAGTTTAAGATGAACTGCTAATGTTAAGTCAATGATATTTGGTATGCAAATTTATTGGCATTTGCAAGTATGCTTTATTTTATCACCTTGCACTTTCATGACTTGATTGTGGTTTTCTACAGCAGTTTGTCCAAATTTCTGACCAGTTGAACAGTTTGGTTTAATAAAACAAATTGCAATTTGGTCAGAATTTTGAATAAGTTGCAATAGGTTGAGAGCAACACTTACAGTCAAGTCACAGTAATGCTTTTATAATGTTAATAGAATACTTTCTACACAACTTGTGCGTTAAACCAATTTATTGGTTACTTTCTACACAACTGGTGTGTTAAACCAAATTTAGTGGTATCTTCAGTTTTTAAGAATATATATGCATTCCTTTATTTGATATAGAGTACTTTTTTTTTTAACAGTCTTTGGAATGTACAAATGTACATGATCTTAGGTACTTTTTGCATGATTTTTAATAGTACAAACTGACATCATCTTTGGTAATTTTTTGCATAATTTGAATGAATGTACAAATTTACAAGATCTTTTAAAGAAAAAAAATAGTACACATTGAGTCGAAAAACCTCTGTAAACTATATTTAATTATAAAATAGTTTTTTCATCCATAACTTACTGGGTAAACGTAACTTTAAATCAGATCTGCACTTACATATGAATTAAACACTGTATTTTTTTCAGGAATGTCAGATACATCATGTGACAGACTGATAACTGTGAGAGATTATATAACAGATTATAATAACATGTATGTCTATGAGGGAGCATTCAGCAGAATAAATCCTAAAATCAAATATGGGAGAAATCATCCTAAACCTGTACCCAATCCAGGTAATATATATGAGAAGAATAGTAAAATATGTTATTGGAGGACACATCCTCAGCTTATCTTAAATGGAAAAAACATGTTCTATATTTTGGTCACCATGACCTACATACTTCTCATCATTGACAATGATCAATTGCAAGTTTAGATCAGGGCTTCCAAAAAATATTTGAGCCAGCCGGACATTTTTTTCAATCCCGTTTTTATCCCTTTAGACAGGTTCCCCCATAACAAAAGATGGACATAACCATATGATAAAGCCATTAAACTATTAAAAGATGATAAACTTCATAGACTTCATACTTTTTTCAGTTTTTATATAAATTCCATGTTTGACATTAACAATTACATTGATAGTGCATGGTTGAATTGGCATATAACCGCAGACTTAACAAAGTGTATTAGTTAGTCGAGGACTAGCTGCGAAACCGTAGGTCATAGGTCCTTATGATATTTTTTGACAATTTGTGGACCATATGGTTCCGCAGCTAGTCTAGGACCAGCTTTAGTTATTTGATAAACACATTTTCCAATACTGGATATTTACTTGACGACAATAGATCGCAGAACGGAGACGGTTGTGCAAAATCCGTGTATTTTTATCAAGCATTGTTCCTTCCACGTTATTTCTTAGGGAAAATACTTGAGTAAGATAATGGTATAAATGACATTATTATTGTTTTGGATGAATTCAGACGCATTATCAAATAACAAATATCATATACTTGTGCACATGCGAACACTTGTAATATTTCAATCAACGTGGTTCTGTCTGTTAAACTTTTTTACCACCTTTTGTAAATTATGAGCTCATCGTTTTAAATACGTTTTTCTGATAGTCTAAATCTGTTTTGCTAAAAAGAAGTTAGATTTAAACCAGGATTGTTTTTAATTTTAATAAAAAATAATTTCCAAAAAGATCGATTGATATCCAGTACAAATAGTTAACTTGACACAGGTGATCACAGGTAAATCTCACCTGTTATAGACACTTAATTAATCTTGATTGTAATGAGAGGGGATTATAGTAGGGCTTGTTTATAGAGTACTGTCACTTTATGACCGGAAAAGTGTGGCTGTTTAAGGCAAGTCAAAAATGTTGATTTTTCTGAATTACATGAACGTTGAAATGGCAGACCCACGTAGGATGTCCGATTCACGCTTGGCCCAGCCGGACAATGTCCGATAAATTTATATTTGTCTGGCAAATGTGACTGTTTTGAAAGCCTTGGTTTAGATTCATTTTAGGAAAACAAATTACATCAGTGGTGCATGTGCTTTAATCTACTATCATCACCTATATTTGTTCTCAAATGACTTAGATTATTTAAGGGCTAACTAAGATTCATTTCATCAAATACTTTTAAAGTATTTCATCAGTGTTTCTATACCATTACTTACATCTCTTATGATCACCACACCACTATCATATATTGGTCTACAACACCTGAAACTATAATTTATACTTGAGTTTTAACTTTTGCTTAGAAATAACTCGGTAATTTTTGACAACTTTGTTTTAGTTTTTAAAGTGATAACTTATTACTGGTCATTTTTTAAACTATTAGTTAGTTTGTTTATAACTTGATATTTTTTTTAATTTTTATTTTCCAGTGCCTGTTTCAAACATTATAGCCAATATGAGTTGTAAAACACCACACATGAAAGTGTATAACAAACTTTTGTTACCAAAGAGGCATCACTATGCCAACAGTAAAAGGATAGCAGACATTATAGTTGATGTGGAAGATAAATGGTTGTTTACTTATAGGTATTTACAGATAAAAATTGCAATGCTTCAATGGATAAGGTGTAATTTTGAGATCAAAATCTTGTAATGAAATAATTTTTTTCTTTTAATTTTTAAGAAATTTTGTTTGCTCCATATATACAGTCAAACCTGTATTAAGCAGTCACTTTTTGGAAGTATCAAAAATGACCGCTCAAGAGAGATGACCTTTGAAACAAGGTTCCAAAAAATTTCAATTACGACACTGTCCGTGGCCGGGATCTGGTCAAATTGTTTAAGTGTTTTCAATCAGTAGAGTTATCGTACTTGTGAGAAGTGAAATAAAAAATGGCGTATCCCATGGAAACTGAAAAGAATGGAAAAAACTGTTTTCAAATTTCTCCTTTTATTTTGCTATCTGGGATGCAAATGGGTTTCGATTTTCATTTTGACTTCGATATTGACACCATATATTATCGTCATGTAGATTTTTGGTAGTTAAAAACATTAAAATGACTGTTGTTAAAAGTTGAAATGACGATTTTGTTTGAAAATAAGCTGACCGCGTTAGACAGGTGACCGCTGAAATGAGTTAAATTACATAGAGAAAACTTTTGGGAGGGTCTGAAGTGACCATTAGAGGCAGGTGATCGCTGAAATGAGGTGACTGTTAAGGCAGGTTTGACTGTATATGTTTTTTTTTTTATATGGCTGCAATGACTAACATTAGAACATAAGGATAAAATGCAAATAATTGTCTAATACAAGTATCTAGAAAACTCACTCACTCACAGTAGCAGACAGGTAAAATCTGACATTGGCAAACATTCTAAAAAGTCTCTATACCTACTGAAAATTTGTACTCACCAAAACTGTCAGACTATATCTCATTGAGATTCGATATTATCTTAAAAAAAATAGTCTTTTCTTATCTTGTGATCAATATCACAAAAACTCTTTCGAGAAAAAAACTCTTAAGTGATGAACATTTCAGTATGACTTCCAATCAATTTTTGTTATAAGATTTTTTATGAAAAGAGCCCCTGATATTTATGTAAATAAAATGTGATCCTGGCATTGATTAAAAATTAAAAAAATTAAACTTTGTTCACAAGAAATTTTGAATTTGGTGAAAATGAATTTGAATATGGCATATCAATGCTCATATGAGTTCTAAGCCCTAAATCAACCTATAATTTAAACAGTCCTAGAAGGTATGCATTGATGAATAAAGAATGAAAATATTATGGAATGGAGCTTTATTAAAGAATTCACAATTTTTTGTAGAGCACTTGCAGGTTATAAGAAGCGCTTCTGTGCTGGTGGAAACCATGGATATGATAACATATATAAATCTATGAACGTAAGTAAAATATATTTTTAACTGCTAACATTCGCTTTTTTCAATTAAATATTATTTGTATATGATGATTATTTGAGACATCTTTTTTGGCAGTAAAGAAAGAATAAATATCGGATGGACATAAATGAGACAACATCTCATAAATAACTAGAACTGAAACAAGGAATATATCAAAGGGACAGTGCTTTAATGGCTTCTTTATAATCAATGGAAAATCTTTAGTAACACAACTTACATCAAAGACCAGATTGTCTGTAGCATCGATTTGAATGATACTGTTTGATATCTATTAATAACTGCTATATTTTTATTGAAGAAATATAAACATGAGTACCAAATTGCATATAAAATGGGTGAATAGTGCATACAGAATGATTCAAAAATTGGAAAACTTTTTCTTATAAGGGGAGATAACTCAGATAATTTTTAGTTTTATGAATAAATGTCCTGTGAATGTATCCATTTGTTACTTTGTGCACTGAAAAAACTAAAATTGAATTTCATGATCAACTAAAAATAATATTCCTCTTATGCTTGGAGCAAAATGGTAGTTCACAGAAGACAATGAATAACCAACTTTAACTCAGTAGCAAGTTTAACAAAAAATATTGATAGAAGTACCTCTAAACCACCTGCATATAATATTTAACAATTTTGATTTTTTCAGGCTTTGTTTTTGGCACATGGGCCATCCTTTAAACAGAATCTAATAGTAGAACCATTTGAGAATATTGAGCTATACAATTTGATGTCTGGTATGTATTCCGTGGATTGATACATGTGGTTTGGTCCAGTGAACTCACACCCACAAGTTGGGGGCAAGACATTTGTACTAAATCACAAGCGTGGCCATGGTATCATTTGGGCTAAAAATTTACTGTCATGTTTACATTTGGGCTAATTATTTGTGTTTATCTGTACAGGTAATTTAAAGGTTAACATTATACCTATATCAATATTTGATTTGAAATATATAAGATCTGTATTAAAAAATTATTTAAAAAATACAACCTAAATAAAATTGGTCATTGGGAAACCATGCTTGTTTGAAAAAAAAGAACTTGAAGTTTACACCACTTTATAGAAATGAGTTTACAGTTTAGATCAGGCAGTATCACAAGATTATATTTGTTTATGGTTGTTAGCTTTAAATTCAGGACCTGAACCTGGGAAAAGAATACTGACAATATATAATGTTCCAGCCTGAACCAATCTTTGAGGAAACTTTTTATATTCTATCCTATAGTTGTTTTAAACCTTCATGTCATTCCTAGTTGTAAACAATATCTAATGCTATAGAGACTTATGTTTCTCAAAATCCCACTTTCACCTCCCTGTGGTGATCATTCACGTGCACAAACGTTCAACGTAATGGGTACATAAAACCAGAGCATGTTATTACTAGAATATCCTTTATAACTTATAGAATATCAATTTATAATTAGAATAAAGATATTTAACATGTAATTTACCTGTACATGGGAGGATTAACCCAAATGTAAATTTTAAAATTTAGCCCAAATGTAGACTTGCCATTGGCCCAAACGTAACATATTTTTAGCCCAAATGTTACATCAGTTAGCCCAAACATGCATCTCCCCTCAAGTTGTACTAGAATGGCAAGGTATTGTAAGGGCTGATACCTGTGTGATATTCTTTAGTATTTGTTCTACTGATTTCACATATAGAAAACAGCACCAAAGTCATTACTTTGAATTATGTTTCACCATATGTTAATAAATTTTTTTTTTTTTTAAATAAATTTTTTTATAAAGAAAATTAATAAAATAGACTTTTAATGAATTGTGTGAGAAGTATATATTAAGATTCCTGCAAGTTGTTGAAGCAACTTATCATAATGTTAATGATATTTGATATAGTATAGTAGAGCTGTAATACAGTAAGAGTAATCACCTCTGTATATTCAAAGACAAGATTTAATACATATGATATCTTTTCAAATAGCAATTGTTACAGATTTATAAGATTTAAAACTCAAATTCCTTACTATAAAAGTTTTTAGTTTGAATTGAATTTTCTATCAAATGGTATGATGATAATAAAGTGTTGTAATTTCATATGAAATCAATTTAAACAAATGACCACAATGAGCATACATGTTGTTGTTGTTTTTTTTCTTTCTCTTTACTTAAAATTTTACCTATAAATATTCCAGCTATATTGAATATAACTGCTGCACCAAACAATGGAACCCAAGGATCCTTGTATCAACTTCTACGACAACCACCTGTTACAATGACAAGTCCTCCCACCAATGTATACAACAAAACTATCACTGATACAATCAATATAACATTGTCATCAGAATGTCTAAAGAGATGTCCATCATTTAGAAATATAATCAAGGTACTTTTTTCTTTAAATGAAGGTTTGATCGCATGAGCTGAAATATGCATATTGCATTATCTGACTGAATGAAATATATTTTGTATCTGTATTTAAGATGTTTTCAACAGGATCTAAAAAAAAACCAAAAGACATAGGTTACAGCTGAATAACTGGAAAAGACCCTTCAACAAGAGATATATGTGCATGTAGGATTATTAGATTACAGAACAGACAGAAGAAGAGTGCATGAAAAAATGAAAGATGTGCATACAGCATGCATCCAGATATTTGGATGATATAAATATAGGTTCTTACACAATAGATAAATGTCTAGGCAATAATATATTAAAGCTCTAAACTGCCTTGAGTCTTGAAAAGAGAGATCTGCCATCATGTCTTTCATTCAAGGGTAGAATTCAAGGATTTTTGTTTATAAATTGCAAATATTACACCACCCCAAAAAAAAATCAATTTCTTTTTCTGTTAAAGGGATCATGTGTTTTTCATTTGAAGGGGATAAGATACCTTTTAATTGAACCTCATCAGTGTTATTTAATATAAGGTCTACATTTTAAGACTCTCTTTGGTGATCGAAATATAAAGTAAATGAAAGCTGTGCAGCATTGTGAATTGTCTTTAAATTCTATTTACAGTCTGCCAACAACAGGAACAGCACAGAAACAAGACACACACCTTTAGGTATCCCTGTGTTGCAGACATATCCTAGATTATCTGTAGATTTGTTATATCAGTCATCACATATCACTGGATTTGATAGAAATCTAAAAAGTCCTGCCTGGATATCATACACTATTGGTCAAAATGTGAGTATCATCAAGTTTTATATGTATATATGTATTAACTATCTAGAGGTATACATTACCTGCTGAGAGGGTCATAATCATGAAAAACTAACTATTTATGTTTTCATGAATGATAGAGAGTGTAAAGAGCTATATGTGGCCTAAATAAGTCATAATAATGGAAAAAGCAGATACCAAAGATGATATAGGGGCTATGATAACATTAAATCAACAACTTTTCAGAAATATTATATCAAATGTTTGAACAGTAGTTATTTAATTACATTAGAGTTTAACTGCCTCAACATTTGTTAAATAACAAAATCTATAATCAAATTAGATCCCTTGACCTTTGACGTCAAGTGCAAATAATTGAGATTTCTATGACATTTTTGTGTCCACCCCAAAGCTATATACATCCTTGTTTGCCATGGCATGATCTGTCTAGTGCACCATAGTGCTTGTTTTTTTGGGATAAAAAACTGTTCACATCTCCATATATGTTCTAAATTAACATAATAAGACCTTTCCAGTATACTATAGGTTTTATCCAAGGGAGTCATGCCTCGCACCCTCATATCATGAACTATTTAAATATCTCTGCAACTGTAAAAGATTTCCACCTCTAAAACCCTATACCATCTTTCTTGTGCAACATAGATTTTTACCTTTCCTTTATGGCAGTGACTTCTGTAGATGAAGGGGAAAACACAGATTCAACCACTACAATAATTTCTCCTTGTGTGTTTTCATGTTTTTTACAAGCTTTTGAAAATAACAATTATTTGTGATATGATTTTCAATTGAATTTTGCTCTTTTTGCAGTCAACTACCAGAGAGCTAGATCCTGGGTGCATGTTACCAGACAAAAGGACAGATACTCTTTCTAGTGATAACAAAACATGTGCAATTGATAGTAACTTGCCTAATAATTTTACCTGGGCATCATTTATGATTTCAGGTAAGTTATTATAGCTTACAAACACTAAGCAAAAATAAATCTTACTGTGCACAAGGATTACCTCAGGTAAATTGATTCAGGTTCTTCAGTTGTTACTGTTATTGTGATAAAATATTAAACTTATTACTTAATATGCAAAATTTGAAAAAGAAATATGATCTGAAAAATGAAGAAATTAAAATATAGTATGCCTTTACTTCTATAATGTTACAATTGACAATAGATCCATTTTATTTTCAGATGACAAAGAAGAGACGGGTTATAACAGATTATCATCAGTATTTTTACCTGTCTATAAAGGCTTTTATATGGGTAAGAAAGGAATATTTGCCCATTACTTTCAATCATTTTCATAACAAAAATCAGTACATGCCATGTGTTTTTTGTAAGTACAGGGCTCTATTGTTATTGTTACAGCTTCTCCATCTAAACCCTTAATCATAATTTAATGAAACTTTTTCAAACATTCTTAACAATATAATGATATAGTGCACCTTTTATTTTGTTTTTTATCAGAATCATTTTTGGGGTTTCCTTTACCAAATCATAGATTTGCAAGGGACTGGGGGTATCATTTTATGAGCCTTGCGCGCAAAATTTCTAGTTTTAACTATTCTGAGGTTAAACTGTATAGGTGCTGAAGAAGTAGTGAATTTAAATGATACAGGATATGAGGAATACAACAATCTATTTTTGTTGATTTCTTGGGTAAAGGTAAACCATAAATTTAAATGTTCAACGAAAATCAAATTATCTATAGGCTTGTATGGAGATTTGGCAAAACTACAAAATCTTATATCCATGAAGATACACTTTTCCACAATCTACGAAAATTGGTATCCACAAAAAATAGATTAATCCACAGTAGCATTATTATACACAATAAAAATGACAAGAATTAACAAAAATATTAGACAGTACAGCAGACCGCCTGTCACCAACATTGTACTTCTCTAAGCAAAGACGAACAATCAGTTTTACATACACACCAACCTCCTCTTTGCTTATTGAGATCACATGTCTTTAAAAAGTAAAATACACAACTAAACATCTGCACAGACAAGCTGCCAAACAGGATGACCATTAACTTGAAAAAAGAAAGTAATAATGTCACATAATTTTGGGAGCTAGGTCAAAATATGCTTGCTACAACAGGGTGCTAGCTAAAGTAGCAACAGATTTTTTTTAATTAGTGTATATGCAAGTGGCTTCTCTTATGGCCATGACTTCATTTCCTAGCTCTTTGATAAAAATCTAAATAAACTTGACACAAAATGTCAAAAAATACTATGAATGATTGCATTTTTATGCTGTAAAAAGAGTTTTTAAATCAAAATAGTTTTTAAGGTTTCAACTATTTTTCTTCAGGAATCTGGAATAAATTGAAAGAAAAAATTAATCAGTGGTCGGCAAAATACAAAGCAGTAAACATTATAGCAGGTCCTGCATATGATTATGATTATAATGGCCAAGCTGACACAACAGATATTTTACAGAAATATATTAAAAAATTGTATGTATTATGATTATAATAGGATCATTACACAAGAACACTGGTGTATATTTCTATTGGATATCTAAGTCTTAACAATTCGTTCAGAAAAAATTTAGCAAAGAAAATAAAAAAAAACATGTGCAAGGTTGACCTATTGAAAGTTCATATTTCATATTTTATCTTTTACATGTAAATATAACACTTTATAAATTTGGTGCCTCTGATGGGGTTTCTGGATCTACCTTCATCAGGAATGCTCAAACCTAAAATTTGAAAGCTGTGGATGTATAAATACTATGGACATAATATAATAGCTAAAACCATCTAAGGTAAACTTTACCAGAGGAAGTTAGAACCTTGGTTTTTCATAATAATTTCTGAATTTATCAAAAAATGTATGTTGTTAATCATGTCCGTTGCAAAGCTGTGACTACTAGACTGAAGATACCATCAGGGACTAACAGTCCACCAAGCTGTAATCAACATATAACATACACTTTTGAAATTCTTATGCATAATTCATTAAATAGTTGGACTAATGATAATATTTTGTTTCATTTGTAACTACTTGTTGATGCCAAATAATTAAATGTTGACCTTTAGTTGATTTCTGGATTTTTTTTTTTTTTCTATAAATGAAATGGCTTCAAGATTTTAAGAATTTGTTTTGTATTTGTAGCCATGGTAACAATACAGACATTGCCATACCTAGTCACCTTTTTCTTATAGTGACTAGATGTGATACTTCAGGGTCCAATTTAAATTTGTGTTCCAGTCTCAGGACCATGTCATTTATTTTACCTAACATACAATATGATAATAATTGTCAGGTAAGGTCATATATTGTCATGGCAATGAAACAAGTAATAATAAGTTGATAGTTGATATTATATGACTATAAAACTTCTGTTTTCTTATTGGCTAAAAGCATAGGGAATCTTCTTTCGTAAAACATTATAATTACTGCAGGAAAAATCTTGAGAGGTTAATAAAAGATTTGAAACAAATAACATGTGCCTAAATATAGTAATGAAGAATTTTGTGAGCTATGGTAACTGATGTATAAATAAAATGTTTTTTATGGGATAACTGAATAAATATCAACCAATCAGCTCTTTCGTCATAAAAGGGTTTTGATATAGCAGACAGAACCTAAACAAAAGTGATCACAGACTGGTAAAATGAACCAATGGTCTAATGGATATATTTGACAATCTGAAAATATTAAAATGACACTGAGAACTAAATCTAATACATTCATGCTTTCAATTAAAAAATATGCATTTCTGCTTATATCACTTTGTTAATCTGCAACTCCTTGTAGAATTGAACCAAACTTGAAGTTGTACACCTACTAATTTAATTTTGATCCGACTTGATTTAGGGTAACACATACCAAAATGTTGACCACCATTTCTGCTTATATTATTTTGAGCATGAAGGTGACACAAGTCTTTCAACGTTAGTATTCAGTATATTAAAAAAAATATAACTAAATGTCATCTAAACTGATATAATTTAATTCTGCTTGAACTTGTGAAGATTTTAAAATGAAAATCAAATGATATTTTTATTTTCAGAGTGCAGAGGACTATTTGACAGACAATGAGGCCAGATTAAGGGATATAGAATTATTGACTGGTTTACAATTTTATGTTAATTATAAAAACAGTTTACAATTGAGAACATTTTTACCTCATGGTTTATGGAGCATTTAAAAACCTATCTGTGATCTTTTTAATAATATCCAAGATTTTTTATTAATATTCAGAATTTATGTGTATAAAGATATATCTTTAATGTATAATTTAGTTTGATAGAGACAAGACATATTTGTGCAAAAGAAAAGCCAATTACCCTCTCTATTTTAGAAATAGTGAAACTGATTACATTTTTGTATGTTTGAGGAATCAGAGTATATAGTGATGACGTCGCATTGTTATCATGGGTGATAGACTATACTAAAACATGATTTGTATCTTTTATATAAAACGACTGATTTAATGTAGAAATGATTTTATAATTACCAGTTTGAATTTCAAGAAACCTTAGTGTTAGCATTGACTGTTTCTGATAGTGCTACATTTACTATATTATAACATGAAATTGCATTTAATTGGATTGTTTAATATTTTTATGTCTGAAATATCCCTCCGTCCAAAATTTTGTCTCATCAGCAAAGTAGCTTTAATAAGGAAGGATGAAACTGGTAGAGAAAAGGATAGTAGTACAAACTCCAAATTGACATATCTACTAAGTATAGAAAATAAAGACATCAACACCCATGTTATACCGATTAATAAAGAATTAATAATGTCTATATGTCTCACCACATCTACTAAGTAGTTAAGTTCATATGGCTCATTTTGTCTTCGATCAAATTTAACTCAGGGTTTTGTACCATAAAGAAAAAAATAATGTCTTTTTTCAACAAATATCTTGACTGTAAAATCCTTACTTTTATAGTGTGTAACTTTTATGATTTTGTACATTTCTTAACACAGTTTTTTTTTTTCTAGAAAAATCGACTTTTTTAGCTTTTATTTGTTAATAATGCCTTGTTTTGTCACTCAAGTCTTAATGTTCAATGATGTTTTGTGTTTATATATATATTTGCATACAAAAAGGAAAACCATTCAATAAAAGAGATGATATATTTAATTGACTTATTACTGTTATTATGAAAAACATATTGATGCTTGTTATAACTGAACTGCAATCACCTTGTCCATCTGTCCTTTCATTACATTTTAGCTTCTGTATTTAGGAATTATTATACCCTGCATTCACCTTCTTCATCTGCTTATCCTTCCATCTGTTTGTCTGACAAATATTTCTGTTGCACTTTTCTCATTGAGTACTGAAGAGAATGACTGTATATTTGGTCAGCAGCTTGATATGGATGAATTGTAAAGTTTGAGCAATTTATCGGATTTTGCTGATAATTATTTAATATGCTGAATGAACTTTATTGTCACACATTCTCCAGTACTACATAACACAATAATTTCATATTTGGTCAGCAGCTTGACAATGATAAGTTGTAACGTGTGAGCACTTTTAGGATCTGTCAGACACCTACTTCCTGTTTTCCAATTTTTAAAATTACGAGTGGGGGGTATGCTAAGCACCATAATGCATGTTGTTTGATAATTGGTCTGGAACTTTATACTGATAAATGTACCTTGTAAGTGATTTTTAGATCTAATGTGCAGTCCCTTCCTGTTTCACAATACATGTTCTATGAACTTTTATCATACCCACTGAACATTGAATGTTTTGTATGACTTAAGTAAGAGTGGTGGTAAATTTTGCATGACAGCACATGTAACTTCTTGTTATTATTAACACTTTTTCTCTCAGCTTTTAACTATGATATTGAATTTCAATTAAATAAAATACAGGTCTTTCCTTCAAATCCAAATGAGAGCAGATATGGCTGTATGAGAAAAAGAACCACAAATATCTTAATGGTATAAGAACTGTCCATATGAGAGTCACAATAATATACCAAACATTCGCTTTATATGGTTTTTAATCCACCAGCCAAAATTACTATAAGTCTACATAAGTTCTGACCAAGACAAGCCTTCAGGGAAAACAATAAATTGATCTCAAGTTAAAGGTCAAATGTCATCATTATAGTATGCTGTATATCACCATATAGTGATGCACACACATGCCAAAAAATAACTTTATTTCAAATGGTAATGGTCTAGTTTCAACATCCCAGTATGTAATCAAAGAGCTCAATAGATCTAAGGGAAAAGAAGATACATGAGAAAAAAAATTACCGGAATAACCTTTAATAATGACAGTAAAACTTTCAACACCAAACGGCAAACCTGGACTACGACAAAAAAACCATGAAAACATACTTTAGTTACTTTCAGACATACATGTATGAAATATTACCTAGTTTTTGACAATTAAAACTACATAACTCTGAAACAACAAATAAAGTGAACACAGTTCAAACATATTCAGACCCCAAGACAAGGATTCCTAATAATTTGGTGAAGTTTGAATTAAGTACACTACCATGATCACTCATCAGGGAAATTTGATTTTTGACATTTAAAAAATTACTAACTTTTGAAGATTGAAGTTCCATGAAGGTGAAAATTATTAATATGTTTGCAGAGTCCCAAACCACAATTCTTAATTCTAAATTTGATAAAGTTTGAAATAAAACAAAAGTGAAAATGGTCAAAATGTAATTTTCGGATGGATATTGCTAATAATTTTATAATAGACTTGTTTGTTTTCAATCAAAATACAAGACCAGTTCATTCTCATATTTTATTTCTGCTCAGATAATAACAATATAATAAAACTTCAACAACAGTTTTTAATAATTAAAAACGATAAAAAACATGTGCATAATTATTTCATACAATTCAACTTCTCTATTCAATGTAAAAATAATTCTATTTATTTTTCAAATAATTTATTAAGAAAATGTATCAGACTTACTTTAATGCCATCTAAAGATTTTCAAGACAATCTAATATTAACACTATTCTTAACAATTGCTGTACTTTGATCAAAATATTTAACTAAAATCCAATAATTTGAATAGGTCAATTTTAGATCCATCTGAATTCTACTGCTCTTTTTGTAAGTATGATGATATAGTTCTTGACTCCAAAAATGTTTAAAACAAAGTAACAGACAAGAGAGTCAAATACTGGTTACACTTATTGCTGAAATAGGTAGAACAATACACACTTTTAAAATTTCTGCAATGCTGGCCAGTTGACCAAATAAAGCAAGGTGCTTATAAATAATCAGGAAATGAGACTCTTTTGAAATAGTATCTTTCTGAGGCATTACATTTTTCAATAAAATGTTTCAAAAATATTCAAAAATACATTCTGTGTTTAGAATTTAACAAACAAAATTGACACCACACTAAAAAAATAATCTAGAAAATGTGTAACTACATTCTAAAATTGTAAAAAAAAACCAATGATCTATGCATCAAAGTGATTTATGTTTACAATGAGAAAATGTGGAATTCAATGAAAAAATTATCAAAAATCACTCGGCCATAAAATGTAGGTCAAAGTGACTGATTTAAGCAGGTGATCAACACCATGACAGTCTTAACAAATGGTAAAGTAAATGTCATGCTATCTATATAGCATTTTGACTTTATAAGTACAAACAGAGTATATATCATAAGACAATGGAAAATGTTAGTGGTGGATATAAAATACTAATAATAATCATATTATCTATCTCCCCACTCACCCCCTTATTTCTTTTAGGTCTTAAACCAGCCTATATTTAAGACACATTCAAAATATGATTGTGCAAACAAACTGAACCCAGACTTCATTCAGAAGTATGCTAGCTGCTACTTTTAATATTATCAACAGTTCAACAATATGAATAAATATATGATTTCATCCAACATCCATTTCATTGTGCATATTCACAGTTAATGGAAGAGTTCTTCCACATTCAGATCCATCAAGAACCAAGGAACCGTTACAGTCTTCTAAATCTTGATTCAGGTTGCAACTGGATAAATTTACAACTACTAAATTGTCTATGGCTCTTCCAAGCTCACATAAATACTCTGAAACATTGATAACAAAACAACATATTTAACTTTATTTCAATAGTAAAAGTAGTAAATTAAATAAAGATATTAATACAGTAAATTAAACTAGAGGCTCTAAAGAGCCTGTGTCACTCACCTTGGTCTATATGCATATTCAACAAATGACACTCTCCAACATTGTAGACGAGAATAGAATTAATAACAAAAATCTTTGTTTTTTTTTTATCTTTTATTGCTGATCATTGAATTCTGTTTAGTTTCTCTCTATCTTATTTAGCTTTTGCTCATAACACAAAAGAGGGTTAAAAAAAAATCATAATTTAAGGGCAATATTTCCTATAAAGAGTAACAGTCTACTAATTATATCAGCAAAATTTGACTTGTTAGTAGGTCTTGTCTTGCTTTTCATTTTTGATTATTTCAGTTTCTATCTATTATAATTTTTATCATATAAGGCAAAACACAACAAAATGGTAAAAATCGTCATTAAAGGGCAATAACTCCAATAAGGAGTTGATGACAATTTCCGCCATTTGTCTGAATTGTAGATCTTGTCTTGCTGATCATTTTTGTTAATGTTAGTTTTTTTCTATCAGGTTTTAAGATATAAGACCAAAACGCAAAACAAATTGTACAAATCGTCATCAAAGAGCAATAACTCTAATAAAGAGTCAACTGACGATTTCAACAATAGGACTTGTTTGTAGAAATTGTCCTTCTGATCATTTTTGCAATTTAAAGTTTCTCTCTATCTATTAAAGTTTACAAGATAATAGGTAAAAATGAAAAAAGTGGTAAAATTTGTCATTTAAGGACAATAACTCCTACAGAAAATCGTCTGACAGTTTTGACATATATGGACAATTGGTAGAGCTCAACATTCTGAACAATTTTACCCTTTTCAGATTTCCTCTATTTATAACCGTTATCAGAATTATACACAAAACTTGCATTTTACCCCATATGTTCTATTTTTAGCCACGTCATCCATCTTTGTTGTCAGGCAGAGTCATCGGACACATTTTTTAAATTAAATACCCAAATAATGACTGTGGCCAAGTTTGATTCTATTTGGCCCAGTAGTTTCAGAGGAGATTTTTGTAAAAGGCTACAAAAATTTACGAAAAATTGTTAAAAATTGACTATAAAGGGCAATAACTCCTTAAGGGGTCAATTGACAATTTTGGTCATGTTAACTTGTTAGTAGATCTTACTTTACTGAACATTATTGCTGTTAACAGTTTATCTCTATCTATAATAATATTCAAGATAATAATCAATAAATTGCTTCGCTGAGCGCAGTTGTATACGACCACAGATGTCCAACTGGACCAACCCTGAAAAGTTGGGGCCAAAATGGACACAATATTCATGCTTGAAACAGGTCTGAATTTGGATTGTAATTAAATTTTTGACACATAATAGGTTTCTGACACAGAATAACTGTAGTCAAAGAACTTCAAATTGGTTATATGATTTGAATTTATATTCAATTTTTTGCTTTTGTGCAATACACTATGCGAATTGACCCCCCCCCCCCCAAAAAAAAAAAATTTACCCCGTTTTTTTGCGTTTGTTCAATACACTATGCTGTTGTATATTAATCCCCAAAAAAAAATATTTGCAGAAATTTTCTTTTAATTTCTGAAATCTGAAATGAGAAAAATTGTCGCCCTCCAATTTTTTTCACCTCCCCCCTTTCCCTTATTCCAAAAAATAATTGTTTCCCTCAAGTTATGGTCAGTATCTCAGACAATCATCATTTCTTAATACATAATTTACAAGCAGTGTAAGGGAGATAATCAAACATTGTTATTTAAATTGATTTGGATTACCCCCTTACACTGCCTTTAAATTGTCTCAATTGTCCTTAAACCGGAAAAACCCTTGTTTTCCCCCTTTTTTTGCCCCTAATTCCTAAATGGTTTGAGCCATAACCCCCCAAAGTCAATCCTAACCATCCCTTTATAGTATGGAAACTTGTGGTATAATTTCAGAAAGATTCATACACTTTAACACAAGATATTGTCTGGTAACTACAAAAATGCTTATTTGAGCCTCTTTTTTGGCCCCTAATTCCTAAACAGATGGGACCATAACCCCCAAAATCAATCCCAACCTTCCTTTAGTGGTTATAAACCTTGTGTTAAAATTTTAATGATTTCTATTTACTTATACTCAAGTTATTATCCTGAAACCATCTGTCTTCGGATGACGCTGACGACGACGACAACGTGATACCAATATACGACCAAAAATTTTTAATTTTTGCCGTCGTATAAAAACTGCAAATTTTTTTTTAAATTACCAATTTAGGGGTAGCAACCCAACAATGGGTTGTCTGCTTTGTCTGAAAATTTCAGGGCAGATAGATATTGACCTGATGAACAATTTTACCCCTGTCAGATTTATTCTAAATGCTTTTGTTTCAGAGATATAAGACAAAATCTACATTTTACCCCTATGTTCTATTTTTAACCATGGCGGCCATCTTGGTTGGTGGGCCGGGACATCAGACACATTTTTTAAACTAGATACCCCAATGATGATTGTAGCCAAGTTTGGTTAACTTTGGCTCAGTAGTTTCAGAGGAGAAGATTTTTGTAAAAGTTAACGATGGATGCCAGACAACGGACGTCAGACGATGGACGCCAAGTGATGAGAAAAGATCACTTTTTTAAAGAATATGTGAGATTAATTATTAATTATTATTAATTATTAATAATTATTAATTATTGCAATTTCAAAATGCTACATACAAATAATGCTATCAAATTTCAAATGCAAGTTTTTATTTTTGCCAAACCTATGCAATTTTCACAATGATAAAAAATATGCAACATAATATTACAAACAAAGAAACAGACTAATTGATAACAACTGCGATATTCCTGACTTGGTACAGGACATTTTAAGAAAAAATGTGGGGTTGAACCTGCTTTTATGGCTAGCCAAACCTCTCGCTTATATGGCCCTGTAGTTTCAGAGGAGAATATTTTTGTAAAAGTTAACAGATGACGACTGACGACGACGGATGCCAAGTGATGAGAAAAGCTCACATGGCCCTTTGGGCAAGGTAAGCTAAAAATTAACTGCCATTACACTTGGCATAATTTCAATAAAAAAATAACATGTGCAAGATCTATCTACTTACCTTTTGTTACATAGCTGCCTTTAAATTCAAGTGTGGTCAGGTTAGGTGAATACTGAAAAAAAGGATTACCGGTATAGAAAAAATAATCAAATGGTTCTGAAAATGTCTTCATTTTCTTCCAACTCTAATACTTCAAAGTACATTCAAATTTGAGAGTGACAGTGTAATGTACTAAGTCTGCTTCACTAAAATGGTCTTCATGCAATATTGTGCTAGATATTTGAATATGTTTAATAAACTCTAGTTTGTTCACGTTTTTTGCTATGGTTTTGTCAGCTTCTTTTCCACTTTGAGTTTTGATTCTTCCTTTGATATCTTCCACCTCTTTTTGTTTTGATAATGTCATTTAAGGTGGTACCCAACACCTTGACTAATATTAATTTGGCTCGTTTAATTTTCATAAAATTTTGACAAAATGTTTACTTTGACCCTCTGACAAAATTATAAAAATTTCAAAAAATTTGAACCAACCACTTTATCAGAAAAATTTCATTGGTTATATAGCAGTTTGACAAACACTAATTGTGATCATTGAGAAGCTTAATATTTCCTAAACAATACAACGTGATTAAAATGTTTAGCTGATTTTTACAGAGTTATCTCCCTGTAGTGTTAGGTACCACCTTAAGTAAGTTTATACAAATCTGTTGTCATAGACTTTCAAACAGTGTCATATAGGTGTGTTCAAACACAGTTATTGTCCTTGACTATACAATGCCCTTCAAATAGTGTATAGGTTTGTTCACACCAAACTGATCCTCCCTAGATGTTTAAATGTCATGAAAGTTTATCAATATACAATTACGTGTCCTAGAAGTTACACAATGTTATGTAAGTTTGTTAAATATGTATTAAATTTGAATAATATGTCAATATTATATATTCCTACTTACATGAGCTAAAACATTGGCAACATGCTGAACATGTAATACATGTAAAACCATGGTTTTGAGGGCCAGTAATGGAGAACTATGATTAACCTGTAGCTGAGATAACTTGTTTAGCTGTAACAACATGTGATTCAGTCTAGGACATCCCTATAAGTAAATAATAATAAAAAAAACTCTAATTACAAATAATATTTCTTGGCATTTCTGAAGGTTTGTGGAATAATGACACATTTTTACTTCCAAGAGTAATCATATCAATTAAGGATTTAGATGATATGAATGAAGTCCAAGGGCTGTAATTCTTTGGAATGTAGGCCATTCAAAATTATCTGTTATTCACCATTATAGACCAATAAACCAAAATTCAGATCAAATGTACAGAAAAAAGTCTGAACTGCTGTTGGATTTAAAAAGGACAGACATAGGTAATACAATATGCCCAAGCCACAGAATAGCAGAGGTATAAAAAAATATCTGTTTTTCTAAACAGTACATAATGCAGACACAGCATCAAAGTTCAGGTATGACAAGTCCAACGGTAAATAGAGATACTAATTTTTTTTGAAAAACATGTATTCAAACAACAATTTTTTATTTATGTTTTATTGTGATTACTTGTATATGTGAATTAACATTATGTTGTAAAGCGCTAAGTGTAATTTTCATATATAATGCCCTGTTAAAAATACTGCATAATAATAATGCAACTTAATGTATATACATACAGTTTAATACATGGCCTTTTCCATATCGGCCCGGTTATCATCCCGAGACCCCCATATCAGCCAGAGACATTAGTTGAGGGCTGATATGGGTCTATAGATGACACTCTGGCCAATATGGAAAAGGACATGTATAAATCGTTTTATCATATACTACCGATGTATGAACGCACCAAGGCTGATAACCCCATATCAGCCAGACCATGTGACGTCACACTGGGCTGATATGGGGTTATCAGCCTGGGTGAAAATTTATGGCTAGGTTACTTCTGCTCGTTACACATATGCAAAAACTATCATTAATGCTAAGAATATGATAAATCATCTTAAATCAGTGAACAAATTTGTAAGTATTTACCTGTATCCGAAGGTATAGTAACTTTGGGCAGAAAATTTCTGTAAAATAAAAATGTTGTATATAAAACCACATGGTTTAAAGAAATAGTATCAGTTTAGTTACAAAATCCATGCATATTAATATGTCATCATTCTCTGTATAAAGAAAGTGGTTGTCTTTAGTTTATCTTTTTTTTTTTTTTTCTTAATTTTGAGTTAACAACAGATCTTTAATATTTTTGTTATATTCAATCAAACTTTTCTGGACATATGTGATTAAGAGATGTGATTTAGAGAAATAAATTTTGTATATACACTTGTTTATTATAGCAGTAGATGTGTTGACCTTTAGATGTATTTTTGTGTTGTTGGTTTGCAGTCTCATTCACATCATTCATCATATTTTTTTCATGCCTACACTTTCTTTCAAATAAATTAAAATTATGTTATACCAATTAATACCAAAAAAGTCATTTCCTACTTAGCAAAGTTTCTTAGCATATCTTACAGTAACCCTTATTAATCCCTAACTTTCTTCAACAGTTCCATCTGTTGTTTTGGTGAGTTTGAACCCTGCACATGGCAAGTGAGCTCGACTCCAATCTTATTTGAAAAGGATTGTCAGTTTTCTTGCTGAAGGTCAGTGGTTCTCGACAAGCACTCCGGCTTCCTCCACCAATAAAAACTGACTGCTACAAAACAGCCTATAGTGCTGAAAGTGGCATTAAACACCAATCAATCCATCATCTGTTGTTTTGTAAGATAACAAATTCTATCTTATGAGCAGTATTATTTCACAACTTTAAAGAGACAGACTAGATTCATTTACATAGTTTAAAATCATTGATGGAACATACCTAATTCAACTAAATCTATGCCTTGATCAAGAGTTAATGATTCTAAGTTAGGTAGTTCTAAGCACAATGCTTGCTCTTTTGGAATTGCCCTAACTTCTAGTTTAGTTAGTGTTGATGAACATGTCTTCAGTATGTCAACTCTGCTTGAGGGAGTAAACTGAAAAGATAATCATTGTGTTAAATTATCAACAGGTTAATCCATAAAAACCATTGCATCCATAAATTATAAAAAATTCTTTCACAAATTTTGTAAGCATTTCTATTATTAATTTAAAGTATTTCTTTGTTTTTTATCAATGTTTATAGAATTTTCTTCACTCATTTTTCGAACTTATTGGTGAATATCTTATAATGTGTACAATATAAAAATAAGAAGATGCGGTACGATTGCCAATGAGACAACTTTCTACCAGAGACCAAATGATTTAGAAGTTAGCAACTAAAGGTCACTATAATGCCTTTAACAATGAACAAAACCCATACCCTATAGTAAGCTATAAAAGGCCCTGAAAAGACAAATGTAAAGCAATTCACACGAGAAAATTAACAGCCTGATTTATGTACAAAACAATAATCAAAAAACAAATATGATATATGTACTGAGGAGAGAATCAGTGTGTAGAGGTTTGTTCATTTTCTGCATGCACTAATGTGTAGTCTTTATTTGGTAAGATATTTCCACATGTTGCTGGGGGAAAACCATCAATTTTAGTGTAGCTGTTATAACAAATGTGACATTTTTGTAATGCCAATGGTGGAACTTAAATTTTGAATAAACATCAATTGAAACAGATATGTGATCAAGGATTTATAGCTGTTCAATTGAAACATATCTAATACCAAGAAAAGAAATTCTTACATTCACATCATTTGGACTCTGGTGGATAGTTGTCTCATTGGTAATCATACCTCATCGCCATTTTTTTTATATTGATTAAAGCAAATCACTTTTTAAAAATCTAATGAAAAATGAACGAAATTTTCTTCAGTTTATACTAAATGTTGTGATAAGCCAAAAACAACCTAAACAATGGTTATCCAACCAATGGCTTGACGTTATTTTCATTTTGAAATTCCAACGATGAAATTACTCATAATCCTTTTATTTCTGAAACGGTGAATTCTATCACTTCCCATTTGTTATCTCTACATCAAGGGATTGTTTGTAACAAGTAGAACAGATACCAAAAAATACTATCTTTCTGTAAACATACAAGCATACCTAAAAACTAAAAATTTGTAGTAAACTGTCAATTACTTTGATCTTAATTTCAGCAAAATTACCTTTATAAGATTATTGAGTTTGAGATGCTGGATTTTGATTGGTTTTTCCATAGTTATTGATTGCAGTCGTTTGAGAGCAGTAATACTGAAAGATGTCAATCCTGATGGCACTGATATACATCTGAATAAAATAATTAGAAAACAAATTTTTGAAACGAAGCAAAGGTAACTTAACCTTTTTACTACGAAATACCTTCTACAGATTATTTTCCCTAATAAATGTCCAATCAACTTAATGACAGATAATGTAAAGACAGGTAGTATTACAATTATCTTCCATACCTACTTAAAAAGACCAAAATATAAACTATAGCGGAAAGATAAAACTTGGACTACCCTTCCTACCCTATAAGATTATACACTGACAATTGGCTGTGTTTGGATATACGCCAGAGGCGGCCTATGGTTATCCATAGGTACCTTTGGTTTGATATTCTATATATCAAAATATCAAACCATGGGTACCCAAAGATACCTATGGGTAACCATAGGCCGCCTCAGGCGTATATCCAAACACAGCCAATGTAAGATAGATAATGTTTGGATTACCTCCCTTACTATAGAGCAGATGCTGACGATGGTAAAGAGATGTAATTTAGATTATCTCCCCTACTTCCCTATAAGATCAGACACTGTCTAATAGGTTATATTAACATTACCTTCCCTACTTAACCTATGCGATCAGACACTGACAATCCCAGAGGTATTTCTTTTTATTATCTCCCCTATCTTACCATGGTAATATTTGGATTATCTCCCCTATGAAATCAGACAATGACCATGTCAGACATGTTATATTTAGATTATCTTCCTTACCTACCTCATGTAATCAGCCACAATGTAAGAGTGGTAATATTTGGAATATATTCACAATCAGAAACAATGTCAGACAGTAGATATTTGGATTATTTCCGCTACCTTTCCTATAAGATCAGATTCTGACAAAGTGAGATAGCTTATTTTTTTCATTATTTCCCCTTATCAACCGTATGCGCTGAAATACAATGTCAGAGAGGTAATATTTGATTATCTCCCCTACTCACCTTATATGATCAGAAACAGACAATGTTAGACAGGTTATATTTGGATTATCTGTAAAAAGACGATGTAATGTCACATCATCAAGTGAATTACACTTATTAATGGCTAGCTCTGTCATCTTCGGACATCTGCAATGTAAAAGACATCTTCAAATTCACTTTGATTGTAATATTATTTGTTTAGTTGTTGTAAAATTAAAAGTATTATACATGAGTAGTTGTGACCTATAGGCCTGTACAGATCACTTCACCTCTACCTTTTGTTTTCAAGCAATTTGTTAACGTGACAAAACTCATTCCATACATTTAAAAGGAACTTATAATAGATAATTGGAATGTGCAATACAGTTGCATTGGAAACGATATATTTCATATGGTGAAGAATATGAGACTCCTCTCCTCAGTTATACTGCAGTGACTTTGAAACTGTTGCATTGTTCAAAATGATGTACATATGTATTTTGAACAGGTGTGATCATAAAGAAGTATTTATAAGCCATTGATAATTGGAATGCTATTGCCTATGCATCTCTGTACTCATGGATGAAAGTACAGAATGAAGGCAACTTAAAATTAAGTTTAGGAATATATAGGGACAAAATATGTTAATATCAGGAAACTTTCATATACATATATATTATATAAATATATATATTGTTTTCTGTTTGGTATTAAATTTATAATTAAGATCCATTGTGTTACATCTGTGACCCGTTTATTTGGCAATCGCCATGGCAGTCAGCAGGGTTTAAGAACATTCGTTGTTCGACCTGCTAGTCAAATGCGTTTTGTTAAAATATACTTTTTCACTTTTTTGGTCTTTTGGAAAATGTTGTTTGTGCTGTATTTAGACCCCTCTACAAAGAAATTTGTTTTGAATGCACACATATAAAAATTGCGTTTTTTATCCAACGCAATCATAGGTTTGAACGTTGTTTTCAATTTAGACTTGTTTATATAAATATATATATATATATGTATGTACAGTTTTAAGCAGAATATAAGGCTTCAGTCCGTCAAATTGCTGGGTCTTTATATTCAAACTATCAATAAAACAATTTGAATTAATTCCATGTCACTTAATGTTTTTCCTTAGTAAATTGTTTTGAAAACTTACTTAAGAGACAAGGTATGAGAAGGTTGGGTACAAACTCCAGACAGACTAAGATCTGACAATGTTGCTGAATATAAGGTAAAGTGAGCAAAGTTACATCCAGTTACATCCAGTTTGAGCAGGTTCACATCCACAACATTGAAGTAATTTATCATACTGCACCACTGAAATTATAAATATCAAATTCTTTTTGAACAAAAAATAGTTTGAATAATCTGTTGATTCATCTCTAGTTGTTATGGTGTAATTTCTAGTTTAATAAATCATACATTTAACAGGTGTGAGATTCAGTCTGTCAAGTACTTGATGATGGCTGAGAGTTCATTGCTATAAAAGGACCACCAATAAAGTCAACTGATGTACAGAAAGAGGTGTTGAATTAAAATAATTATCAGTTAACTAAGAACTATTATTTTTCGTAGCATTCCACCAATATGGATATTAAAATTGTTAGATCACTGCAAAATGACGTTGTGTTAATAAAATATATTAAAATGCAGCAACTGTATTATAAAAAGTCTTACAAGAAAAAATACTGGCAGGTCATGAATGTTTCAGTTGAATTCATAATAAATTTTTATCATAAGAATTTTTGTAAAAAAATCTTAAAGCATGTTTGAATTAAGAGACTATGTATACTTAAATTAAAATGTAGATATCTAAAAAGTTTAAGCTTACATTTTTTAATCTTATAAAAAAACCCATTATTGAACAGAACAGTACAATATAACCATGAATAATACCTTTAAAGTCATAATTTTCAGGTTGCTAACACTGTGGACTTTAACTGTCGACAGATGATTACAACTTTCTATTGTCAAGGTAGATAACTGCTTCAAGTTTCGGAAGTGTAGTCTATAAAAAATATTTAGAACAAATTATATCACTCTACAGACAACTGAAATTTATTTTAAGACTCCAATGGAGAAAATAGCCAACATTGATATTTCATTAGCTGCCCATCAATGGAACCCTAATAAATGGAAATAAAATGCTCCGCTGGGGTGCAGCTTGATACAACTGCAGAGGTCGAAACCTGAACAGTTGGGGCAAGTATGGACACAACATTCAAGCTTGATACAGCACTGAATTTGGATTGTAATTAAATATTTGACACAGCATAGGTTTCTCACACAGAATGGAAGTGGTCTGAGAACTTAAAAATTTTTAATTTACCTATTCAAACCATATCTTTATTATTTGCTTTTATATATAAATCAGAAATAACCAATTTAAAATGGAAAATTTTAAAGAAAAAAAATGAAAAAAAAATCCCCCAACAATTTTTTGAACCCCCTTATGATTCATCACCCCCAAACTCAATCCCACCTTTCCCTTTGTGGTATGGTACCTTGCAGTACAATTTCAGAGAGATCCATACACTTGAACACAAGTTATTGTCTGGAAACTAGAAAAATGCTTGTTTTTTGGCCCCATTTTGGCCCCAAATTCCTAAACTTTTAGGGCAATTATCCCCAAACTCAAACCCAGCTTTCCCTTTGTGATATGGAACCTTGCAGTACAATTTCATAAAGATCCATACAATTACACACAAGTTATTGTCCCGAAACTAGAAAAATGCTTGTTTTTTTGCCCATTTATGGCCCCTAATTACTAAAATTTTGAGGGAATTACCCCCAAAATCAATCCCAGCATTCGCTTTGTGATATGGAACCTTGTGATACAATGTCACAGAGATCCATACACTAACACACAAGTTATTGTCATGAAACTAGAAAAATGCTTGTTTTTTGCCCCTTTTTGGCCCCTAATTCCTAAAATTTGGAGGCAATTACCCCCAAAATCAATCCCAGCATTCCCTTTGTGATATGGAACCTTGTGGTACAATGTCAGAGAGATCCATACACTTACACACAAGTTATGTCTGGAAGTTACAAAAATGCTTATTTTTGGCCCCTTTTTGGCCCCCAATTCCTTAACTGTGGGTACCATAACCCCCAAAATCAATCCCCACCTTCCTTTTGTAGTATTGAACCTTATGGTAAAATTTCATTGAGATCCATTCACTTAAACTAAAGTTAGAGTGCGAAAACTAATGTGTCTTCGGACGACGACGACGACTCCAACGTCATACCAATATACGACCACAAAAATTTTTTTGCGGTCGTATAAAAAGTCAGGGATTAATGAAAACTATACTAACTAGGCACAAAGAAACAATCTAACACCATATACTGATATTCAAAACAAAATAGGTTGTACACAACATCTTTAGTTTGGCAGGAATCATTTCCCTTGTTCATAGTCATATCACTTTGGATGAACAGAAGTATGGAAAAAAACATAACTTTTTACTTTCCTTAAATCAAAATGGAAAGATTTTTCTCACATATTTTTGGCTCATATTTATACTTACTCCTTGAGACAGGCACAATTTTTCAACTGAACATCTGTCAGATTTTTAAAATAAGACAGGGAATCAGACAACAAATGACCTTGAATCCCTGGTACCTGTTGTAGAACTAGCGTCTCTAAACCTGGTACCCCTACTCTTCCTTTAAATGGAGTATAATCACCTATACCTTTTATGAGAGTTTCTAATCCTTCAACTCCATGATTCTGAAAATATTTGAGTAACATTTAATTGTTCTGATTTTAAAGAATATGTAAGGTTTCTGAAAACACAAGAGAGAATAAGACACTAATATATAATATTTTCAATTTGAATATATCATATTGTTCTATACTCTTGTGTACATTTCTATAAACATTAGAATCATCTTTATGACAATGAAATATTCTATATTCTTATGCAATTTGTTTGCAATCAACATTTTTATTGGAAAACATCATATATTTTGAGGAGGTAAAATCAGGTTTACAGGTCTGTAACTTAGTGGACATTATTACTCTGTGATTTCTTTATCAATAAACCAAATAATCACAAGTCTCATGTGAAATCTCCTTTTGTCAAATTCTATTTCATTCTGAAGTGGACATAAAGCCAATGATTCCCTGGTATTTACGTTTGATGCCGCTAGCGTATCTTTGACGTGATACTATTAATGTTTCAAAGATGAGAACGACATTTTATGGAAGTTTTTAATTATGAGGATTCAAACCAAAATAATACTGTCCCAAATATCAATCGCAAGGTAATCTCAATATGTGACAGTAAAACCTATGTTTTACATAGCCAAGTGTTTAATCAGTCCATTTATCACCTAATTGATATGTATTAACTTTTTATGTAATTATATTTATTTGAAAGTAATGCATTGTCTACTGTGAAAAAAATCAACATAAATTACCTTTTTCTCACCAAACAGCAACCCATCCATCAAGTGTTGTTCTGTTAACCCAGAGCACTTGTCACATTTCAATGTCTTTAAGGTAGGAATGTTCAGAGCTAGGCAAGACATGATTTTATTTGTCTAAAATATAATTACAACAAGTTTCAGTTAACATCAATAAGAGATGTAAGGAAATGAAACAAATCTATGCATTTACTATCACAAAATGTCTACTGCAATATGAAAATAAGACTATAACAAATGAAGCCAGAATACAATGAAACAGAAAGCTATTTTCAAAATCATTCATAATTCATTCAATTTTCATACAATAGAATAAAAACACAAATTCTACAGATTTTGTTTGCATCATAAAACTTATGTGCATCCCAGTGATTCTTCTTTGCATCTATTTAATACTTGTCTATATTCTTCAATACACTGGATAATCTGTATATTTTGTCATAAACAATACAAACTTATGTCCTCTATTTGTCTCAGATTGAATTATGTTCATCTTGTCCCCTCGTACATGCAAACACTATACAATTCCATACCTAGGTGACTTTCAATAATGTATGAGAAATGAGTATGAACTCACTTAAATTAACTGTACAAAATTTCTTTTACAAGCATCTTTCTACCAATTAAACAACAAAACTTTAGTATTCCTAAAAAATTGTAACTAAATACTAACAAACCTTAAAACACAATGTTGTTAAATCTACTGAATTTATTTCTGTATTTGTTAAGTGGTCTCCTCCAAACACAAAAGAATTCAGATTTGGAAACTGAAAAAGATGAATTTGTTTACATAAAAGACAAAAATATAAACTAAGTAGCAATGCTTCAGTGTTAAAATTGAAAATCTGTAAGAAAAGATTTTTAAATGTTTTTAAAATAATTAGAATCTGTTTGAGTGACAGATGTAAATTAAAGCTAACTATTAGAATTTTAAAAAACCTCATTGAATATTCAAAATATCACAACAAAACTGACTGATTAAATAATAAATACGTCTGAAAATAAAAATTACCTCCTTTATAATACTATCAATATCTGCCGAATTCATCTTGTTGCATCCACTCATGTTTAAGAAGTCTACACAACTCTTAATATTTACACCAATCAAAAACTGATCAGCAGTCAAACTGCAAATAAAAAACATCACACTTATAAAAATGAATTTAATTTAAATATTTAACTATTTACGCAAAAAAAAATTATTGGCTAAGAAAGAATAAAAACAAAAATATGATAAACTTTAAAAGATCTATAGATAAAACTAGCTGATCTACAGGTGTCTTACTGAACCTGGGGATAGAGGAGGGAGGGGAGGGAAAATAATAAATTTTCAATTTTACTGGTAGCAAGTAACCAGTAAAATTGAAACTCCAAGACCTCATGAGCCACTTAAATTTTGACCATTTTTTTAAAGAAGTTACCTAAAGATTTTTGTTGATATTTATCTGAATTTGAAGCATTTTATCACAAGATTTTAAACATTATTTTTTTTGCATGATTTGCTTAAAGAGTTTGCCATTAAGAGACCTGTTTCCAACTGGCTTCCTGCTTCTAAAAAAATACTGTGAAGTGTATTGTACAGTCTGGTGTATATCATTATATCTACCTTTATTTAAAAGAATGTATACAAAAGAATAGGTGTGAATCATGGTATCAGGGAAGTTAACAGCTATATGATATAAAATGAAATACCTTTTACAATCAGAAATATCTATTGACTTTAGAACAGGGCTGTCAATGCCTATCAAATTGAGATTTTCACAACCAGACAAGTTTATTTCAGTTAACCTGACATCATAGAAATTCACAGACTTTAGATTATCACATTTAGCAATCTGGAAACAATGCACTGCAAAAAAATAATATATTATAAGTTTTCAATCTAACATACAATATTAACAATTCACAATATAGTTTTTATAATTTTATCTATATGGATTTACTGTTACATCTAACTTCTATGATAAATATAAAATTATGCATTCTCTTGTCACATTCCTAATATTGTAATCCCAATTATATGCAATGAAACAATATCATTCCACTGGATGTATTAATATTCATAGCTACCGTACATAAATATTTGATTGAATGACTTTGAACAATATAAACATACTGCCCTTGGATGAAGGTGTTAGGGTAGATTAACACACGAGGGAAAAAATTATCACCCAAGACGAAGTTTTTTTATTATACAAAATGCCTTATGATTCAAGTGTGGACTATATTATTAGAAGGACAATTGTAAAAAAAATAAAGTCATAAATTAAGATAGTTTACTAATAACAACCACAAAATGATGGAAATGATGTAGAAATAAGAATCGGTAAACCTTGGGGGGAGCAGGTGTTATTTGTTCCAGATCGGGAAACTTCGGGCTCAGCGGGTGTTAATTTTAGGCATTAGCACCCGTTGCTATGGGTGGGCAGGGCTGAAGAAAGGTTAGTGAAAATTAACAAATGTCGCGTGTCCAATGAAATGAATGGATAATATAAGAAATTCGTATAAAGTACCGTATAATAAAACATATTATTCCACTTTCTGTTATTATTGAGTGTGAAATCAATATTTGATTGGTTGAGACTATCCCATGTGAAATTGATTGAATGGTTGATTGTTGTTTGCTTAATGTCAATTGGTAAATATTTCAGGCAAGTTGAGGACAAGAACAAAATAACAATAAATAAAATAGGTCCTGCAATTGTAATCGATAGTTGTCATATTGAGAATCATACATGTACCTCATCTCCTCATACATGTTAAACATGTTATATCTATATGCTGGTTCATAAAAAATCTTAAAAGGAAATTATTCAATTGTTATATGTTTGAAAACTCTTTCCTATAATGCAAAAACAATAATTGTTATAACGAAAATAAATGTATTTTATTCCCCTCTGAACATTGTCTCTACCTTGAAGTAATTGTGGTTGATATAATGTTTCAACCCTTTTTACACAGCAATATCATTGACAATATAATGCATATGATTAAAACAGAAAAACATGTCATATAATGATGACGCCCTTGGAAAACTGTTTAACATGAACTTTCTTGGGTCAAAAAATTTTCATATTTCTCTAAGTTTAATGAAATAATTATATAGAGGACAATGTTAGGCAATCACCATATACAGGTTTTTTTTTATGAGCAATGTATTTCTTTATCCCACAGCCTTGAAGGCTATATATAGAGTATTACATGGCTTTTTCAATATCACATCCATATCAACCCAAGACACCAATATAATCCCAAGAGCTATCATATACACTTTATTATATATCTCAAGTAGATTTTTATCATGTGACGTGACGTCATACAGATTAGGTAAGGGGTTTGATAAAGCCTTTGCAACGGTGACTGATGTCGATGATGTGACATCATACAGATTAAGGGTGTGATAAAGCCTTTGCAACCGTGCTGATATCAATATCATCATGGATGGCTGATACAGCACGATTGCCATTGATCGTATTACACATACAATTTACATGTATTTACTACTAAGTATATATATGTAATAAAATGCAATATCGTATTCTTCTAAGCAACTCTTCATGTAATCAACATCATCATATTGATTTACTATATCTTTGAATTTCAATGTGACCAATGAAATAGCAGGTTTTTTTTCAGTGGAGTGATAATTCTTTTTATACTTCTTAAATGTAATGACAAGTAGACTTGGTATGATTGTCCTAATCCATGACAGAACAATGCTAAGGATGTAATCAAGTAAAGGTCACTGAACCACATTTAGTGATGAGCAAAACACATCCATATAATGGATTCTATAAAAGGTCTCTGAATAGCAAAAATTGAAAAAATCAAAAGGAATAGCTAAAGGCTAACCTTAGTAAATGTCTCTTCATGAAAACAATTATGTCCCATTCAAACAAATACAATTTTAAAAAAATGACAAAGATTTACATTTTGAAAGCTATCAGTGGATAAAATGTTCCACTCAATATTATAACTGAAACTTACATTTCGGGGCCCACATATTTACATGAAGTAACTGTGGACAATCTTTTACTCTCAAACTCTCTAACTGGTCCATCTTTTCAAAATTAACTTCTCGCATATCTGAAAGAAAAAAAACACAAACGAATCAAATTTCATACATAGTTTATTCAGCTGACCTTAAATATAAGTAATCTAATTTTCTTTCTGTTGAATTCTTTCAAAACCTGTCGAGACTCAAAGGAATAAGAACATGACATATGGATATTTGTTTTATAACGAAAATTTTTTTTTTTTCTGACATGGAAATGTGTTGTTAAATTGAAGTAGCCCACATCTCTTTTTTTATTCATTATTTAAAAACTTAATTTAACTTTTGCTCTCTTTTTATTTCTAAGTGTTTTGTTTGTTTGTTTGAATGGGGAATGGGGGTTAATATTATGTTGAAAGTTAGTACATACAAATTACAAAGTTAAGTTGTGTATATATTGATACACACATAACATACCTGGCTGAGAATATAATTTCAATGTTTTTAAAGTATTCATTCCACTTTTTTCTGTCTGAAATATAATAATAAACTGTTAACACAGAGATATGTCTCGCCTATTTCTTATTTTGATAATGCAAATGTTGAAATTAAAATAGCAATTCTTTAATATGTAAGTTATGCAAATATTCAAAGTCAATGAACCATGACTGAAGGTACATGACTTAACAATCTCCATGGAAATGAGAAGTGCCAATGCTAATACAATTGCATACCAAATACCACTGAAATCTCATAAGTCTCAAAAGTTTCAAAGTCAATGAACCATAATGAAGGTGTGGGGTTATATAATCTCCATGGAAATGAAACTTGCAATGCCAATACATTTGCATACCAAATATCATTGACTTAACATTAGTGGTTCCCCATAAACTGACCTAATCACAAACTAATACATGTAAACTAAGCAAAAGTTTCAAAGTCAATAGACAATGACTGAGGGGGCGGGGCCAAATAATCTCCATGGAAATGAGATATGCCAATGCTTATACAACTGCATACCAAATATCATTGACCTACCACTAGTGGTTCCCCATAAACTGACCTAATCACAAACCAATACATGTAAACTAAGCAAAAGTTTCAAAGTCAATAGACCATGACTGAGGGGGCGGGGCCAAATAATCTCCATGGTAATGAGATGTGCCAATGCTAATACAACTGCATACCCAATATCATTGACCTACCACTAGTGGTTCACCATAAACATGACCTAACCACAAACTAATACATTGTTGACGCCGCCACTGTCGCCGGAAACAGCATACCTATGTCTCGCTTTTTGACTCTGTCAAGGCGAGACAAAAATATATGTCAGTAACTACATTTCTTTGCATCATTTTTAAATATAGTGTCAAAGTAGTTATAAGTTTTAAATCTAATAGCTATTCTCATTACTTTGAATTAGTAGACACATATTTTTTCTATCTGTAAATAACTAAGCAAATGTGCATAAGTTTGGAAAGAAGGATTTTTTTCAAACCTGAGACTTCTGCACACAGATTTTGACATATTAAGTGGTTATCATTCCAGGAAGATCAAAACCATGTACTGTTAACCTGTTGGAAGTTAATATTAAAATGAAACCTAAGTGGAAAACTTGTTTTTTGCATTCAAATTTCCATATATTTTACCATAGCTTTTCATCTGACATATCAATGCACAACATCTGATGTACAGAAATCTTAAAATCTTTGCAATATAAAAATTTTGGTGTTGATGGCAGATCTTTAGTAGTCTCTGGTAAATGTATTCAAAACTTGTCTCAACTCCAGGACATTTAGAGCTTGACATTTGGTAGAGACACTTGGATATTATTGACCAAATCTATATTGACCACTTTATGGCTTTTTGTGGTTCTTGATGCTTTGTTTCATTGATTTTATATGAAGACATTTTGTTCAGTAATTTCTGAGAAAAGTATGATGAAAATATTTGTTGGATGAACAGATGGACTTTCAGATCAGGTGATTGCAATATAGCCCCTTAATATTGGACAAACTTACATTTGGTATAAGCCCCCTAATATTGGACAAACTTACATTAGGTATAAGCCCCCCTAATATTGGACAAACTTACATTAGGTATAAGCCCCCTAATATTGGACAAACTTACATTAGGTATAAGCCCCCCTAATATAGGACAAACTTACATTTGGTATAAGTCCCCCTTATATTGGGAAAACTTACATTAGGTCTAAGCCCCCCTAATATTGGACAAACTTACATTTGGTATAAGCCCCCCTAATATTGGACAAACTTACATTAGGTATAAGCCCCCCTAATGTTGGACAAACTTACATTAGATATAAGCCCCCTAATATTGGACAAACTTACATTTGGTATAAGCTCCCTTAATATTGGACAAACTTACATAAGGTATAAGCCCCCACTAATATTAGACAAACTTACATTAGGTATAAGCCCCCCCCTAATATTGGACAAACTTACATTAGGTATAAGCCCCCCTAATATTGGACAAACTTACATTTGGTATAAGTCCCCCTAATATTGGACAAACTTAAATTAGGTATAAGCCCCCCTAATGTTGGACAAACTTACATTTGGTATAAGCCCCCCCCCCCCCCTAATATTGGACAAACTTACATTAGGTATAAGTCCCCCTAATATTGGACAAACTTACATTAGGTATAAGTCCCCCTAATATTGGGAAAACTTACATTAGGTCTAAGCCCCCCTAATATTGGACAAACTTACATTTGGTATAAGCCCCCCTAATATTGGACAAACTTACATTAGGTATAAGCCCCCCTAATGTTGGACAAACTGACATTAGGTATAAGCCCCCTAATATTGGACAAACTTACATTTGGTATAAGCTCCCTTAATATTGGACAAACTTACATTTGGTATGAGCCCCCCTAATATTGGACAAACTTACATTTGGTATAAGCCCCCTTAATATTGGACAAACTTACATTTGGGATAAGTCCCCTTAATATAGGACAAACTTACATTTGGTATAAGCCCCCCCCCCCTAATATTGGACAAACTTACATTAGGTATAAGCCCCCCTAATATTGGACAAACTTACATTAGGTATAAGCCCCCTAATATTGGACAAACTTACATTTGGTATAAGCCCCCCTAATATTAGACAAACTTACATTTGGTATAAGCCCCCTTAATATTGGACAAACTTACATTTGGTATAAGCCCCCCTAATATTGGACAAACTTACATTAGGTATAAGCCCCCACTAATATTAGACAAACTTACATTAGGTATAAGCCCCCCCTAATATTGGACAAACTTACATTAGGTATAAGCACCCCTAATATTGGACAAACTTACATTAGGTATAAGCCCCCCTAATATTGGACAAACTTAAATTAGGTATAAGCCCCCTAATATTGGACAAACTTACATTAGGTATAAGGCTTCTATAAGCCCCCCTAATATTGGACAAACTTACATTAGGTATAAGCCCCCTAATATTGGAAAAACTTACATTAGGTATATTGCTAGGGAATCCTTGTAGAACTACATTATCAATCAAACATAGATGTTCTAACTGTACACAACTTTTTAACAATGTGGATACATTCGCTTTAAATAACTCACAGGACTCTATTCTGAAATTTAACAAACATTCTGTTTATCCTGCAAGCAATACAATTCATGGGTTCTAATTCTGTAAAAATAGGCAAAATAAACTATGAGTTCAACTTCTCTATAAATAAATAATCAAATCCATGAGTTGTCATTCTGTAAAAATAGGTAATACAACCTATGAGTTCCATTTCTCTTAAAAGTAATCAATAAAATCCATAACTTATAATTCTGTAGAAAAAAAAATATAATCCTATGTAAAATGAAATTCAAACGTAATCTCTATCTTACTTAAACACAAAATTATTTACCAAGAACCATTCACAAAACTTCTATGTGCAACAGCTGAAAAATCAACCGATGAAGAAGCTCTAGTATAATGTTTTAACATGCCAAACAATTAGATATTACTGTCATTAGTTGTTTGTATTTCTTCTCATTAATCGTATGGATTTAATAAGTAATTTGACATGACATGAAATTTTGATGAAAGCTGTTTATCAAATAATCAATTGAAATAATCAGAGGACAATTTCAAGGTGTAACAGACAAAAGATTAAAAAAGCAACAAACTTTATGTAGTCTTAAGATGGAATGCTCATTAGATGATCTAGTGAAGTTTCTGTAATGTATTGAGTTATGAGACCATTACTTTATTTTGGGTATTCAAATCTCACTAAGAGAAATAATTGTTAATGCAAATAGTTTTTGTTAAAAATTTAAATCCTTTACAAATTTCAACAAATATTACCAAAACAATTGTAGATTTAAATCAACCAAAATATAGTCATTAATATACATTTACATGAATATGAATAAGTAAGCACTTTCTATTTCACATATATTCTGTCATCTAAATTTAAAATTAATTGCATTGCAATCTCTACTGCAGCAAATTTCATTGGTAAGTTTAAAGGTGTAATTTTTACAATTTCTGTACAAAGTTAGCCCAAACTAACAGTTTTAGAAAGATGTATTAAAGCAATGGAATTGTAAAGCTTCAGTTCCTCTGAAAGTCTGTTAATTTCCTAATCCTGATAATTCAGTCGTTTTATTCCATGACTCTATTATGGTTACATTAATGCATGAAGGCCTAGTAAAGGAAAATTGTCATTTGTAATTAGCTTGAATTTTACCTACATTGATAACATTAAGGCACCAGCTGATTGGCTCTCTAATTCCGGAGAGCGCCAATCAAAATCCTGCATTTGTGACCATTTTTATCGTATAAAGTGTTCAGGCCCTCATTATTATTATTCAAGGTAATAACTTCCTGGATGAACTGGATATGATACACAAGTAATCTTGTAATATTCATTGCATAAAAGACCATGTCATTTAGATTCTGGAGGATAGTTGTGTCACTGGCAATCATACCACATCTCCTTATTCTTATATTGATCTGATTATTCATACCTTATATCCTTTAGAGTCAGAACTTTTCCTTCATCTTTATGTTTTATCATGGGAATCACATTTGTGCATCTGCAATGCAAAATAAATAAACTAAAAAAAATATAAATATCTCTTCAAATGTTTTTTCTGGTAGATGGTATCATTCATATAACTTAAAGGATCATTATTGAATGCCTTTCCAACAAAGATATACATCGAGAAAGATAAAGCAACTTCATGTTGTTGACGAAATTAAATTTTAGTCACAGAAAGAATAAAAAATTTGTACGGGGATCTGCGGAACCCTTTGTCTCACCTGCAATTGCTGCTATCATTGTAAAAGTGTAATGTTGACTTAAAAAGCCAGTCTATTTATCAGTAAAATACAGAATTTTAACAAAATTTCAAACTTTTTCTTTTGATGCTATTTCATGGTCTTGAAGATTAGCTTCTGTCCAAGTTTCATAAAAATCCACGAAGGTTTAAAAATTTATCATGTCTAAAAAGTTTAATCCCAGACTGTCTGTAAATGTTTACTGTAAAAAGTCCATCTATCAGAAAAAAACTTAAAATGAAAAAAAACATTTTCAAAAGTTTGCTTCAAACATTATCTCTTAATCATAAATAAAGCTTGTGCCAAAGTTTCATAAAATGTTACGAAGGTTTGATAGAGTAATTGATGTGTAACAAACTGTAACTCCAGACAGTATTTACTTGTTAAATGTAAAAAAAACTAAGTAAAACACTAATATTTTCAAAATTTTACTCTTGATACTGTCATAAACATAAACAAGCTTTTGTCCTAATTTCATAAAATTCCATGTCCGTTTGACAAAGTTATTGATGTCTAAAAATCTTTAACCACAGACTGAACCTAAATGTTGATGCCGATGATGCTGACATCGAAATCTAGGATCGCTTTGTCACACTTTTGCGAAATAAATTTTGCAGGCTCGACAAAAATGAAAATTGTTGACAATTACTAAATCTCATCAGCTGAGGTAAGTGATGTGGTTGAAAGAAAATATGGTAAAAGTTTTATCAATAACAGGGAAATTTCAGTGGCAATTCATATATCATTTTATAGCTATTTCCTAATGCTTGTAGTTTAAAGGTTTGGTTGGCTTGCTTGCTTTGTTTGTATAAATGTTTGCTCAAGCATTGTAATTAGGATTGACAACTGCAATCAATAGATAGGCGGGGATTCAGCTTGTATACATTATACTCTGCATTATACTTAACATCCAATAACATTTAAGTATAATGTATACAAGCTGAATCCCGCCTATCTATTGATTGCAGATGTCAATCTTAATTACAATGCTTGAACAAATATTTATACAAACAAAGCAAGCAAGCCAACCAAACCTTTAAACTACAAGCATTAGGAAAAAAGCTCTTAAATAAATTCATAGGTCAAGGTTTCTAGAAAAGGCAATTTAAAGTTATTTGCCATATTTATGTTTATTCTTTGCTTATGTACTTGGTATTTGAAGAATGTATCAATTTCTTTTTTCTCGAAAAGTATAAAAGTTAGATATATATGCTCTAGTTAATGGCAAAAATTTCATAAAAATCTGTGACATCATTCATTTATGTACCTGTTACCTTATCTAAACTTACCTAATAATATGAAGTTGACTAAGTAGTGGAAGATAAGACAGTAAATTTACAATTCCTTCATTACTGATGAAGTCATTATCTGTAAGAGTCAGACTGCGCAACTGTTCACATTTGGAACATATTGCATTTACTGAAAAAAAAATTAAAAAGACTTTTTTTTAATTATTTGTGACATAAGAGTTCTATATAAATCAATGTAACAGCTAGGTTCCAAATTAACAATGTTCCATGCGCATTTCTAAGATCAGATACAATACAATTTGAAATAATATGTCTGAACCATAGAACCAACGATTAAAAGCTATTAAAAGTATTTCACATATTGTTTACTGATTATAACTTGAAAAACTGATCCTTTACTAAAAACTGCTAAATTTATGTCTGTTTCTTATGGAATGCAAAATCTTTATAGTGAGACTGATAGGAAATCAATAGTCACCTGACCTTTAAAGAAGATGATGGATGTCTGTTTAATATGTAGCAGCAAATTAAATGATTATTCAGGATGAGAACATGTCAATGTATAAATGTGAATATTAACCCTGCTTTGTATTAGACTGACACGCTGAGCTTGATTTTTAATGTGCTAGTTCACAAGGTAACAGTATGCAGGAGGACATGTCACCCTACCACGGAATATTATTCTGACTCCGAGCCACCCAGTCTTACTTCTTAATACCACATGATTAGCATAGAAGCAGCAAATACCAATTGTTTGGTATGACTTGCTGGTATTCAAACCCACAACCTCTCGCACTTGAGCTAAACAAGCTACCATGAGACCACTGACGCAGTGTAACCTGACCTTTAAAGAAATAGTAAATAATGTATTACCAGAATTGTCAGTTAATTCTGTCATTGACAAGTTCAAATTGTATAGACTCGTACAATGCCGTAAGACTTCCAGAAGAAATCTGTCAGCAGGAGTTGTCTCCTCTTCTCTGAACTCTCTAGCATTTTCTGATGAAACCACATTAGTCAGCTTCAAAATTCCTACAAAATTAAATGATGTAAAAATTTTACCTAATTCAAATTAAAAAAAAAAACAAGAAAAAACCACATTAATAATATGTGGCAGAGAGGGCACTAGTTGAAATTACGCATGTTTTTGCCCTTCCTTTTCAAGCCAATATTTTTAGAAAGCCAGTGAAAAAAAGATAATAAATAAATCATGGAATATAAAATAAACTGCTTCGCTGAGCGCAGCTGGATACGCCCGCAGAGGTCCAACCCTGAACAGTTGGGGCAAAAATGGACACAATATTCAAGCTTGATACAGGTCTGAATTTGGATTGTAATTAAATATTTGACATTTTATAGGTTTCTGAATAAATGTAGTCAAAGAACTTGAAATTGGTTATATGAATTGAATTTATATTCAATTAAAGATTTCTTGCTGTTGTGCAATACACTATGCTGTTGCGCAATACTTAGTAAATCTGTTGCCAGACTATAAACAAATAAAATTTATAAAATTCTTAAGGGAGCTTACATCAATAGATATAATCAATTCACCAAAGTTTCATAAGAATTGCTGAAAGCATTTTTGAGTTATTGTCTGAAAACTGGAAAATCCCCCCTTTTTTAATGAATAAAACCCCATAACTCGGAAATGTAAAATCTAAAATTTATAAAATTCTAAAGGGAGCTTACATCAATAGATATCAACAATTCATCAAAGTTTCATGAGAACTGCTGAAAGCATTTATGAGTTATTGTCTGAAAACTGGAAAATCACCCTTTTTTTTTTATGAATAAAACCCCGGAACTTGGAAACGTAAAATCTAAAATTTATAAAAATCAAAAGGGAGCTCATGTAAATAGATGTAAACAATTAACCAAAATTTCTTGCAAGTTGGTGAAAGCATTCTTGAGTTATTGTCCGAAAACTGGAAAATCCCCCTTTTTTTAATGAATAAAACCAACTAACTCGGAAACGTAAAATCTAAAATTTATAAAAAACGAAAGGGAGCTCACGTCAATAGATATAAACAATTCACCAAAGTTTTATGCAAATTGGTTAAAGCGTTTTTGAGTTAATGTCCGACATGTTGACGACGGACTGACAGACGGACAGACAGACGGACAGAGGTATACCATAATACGTCCTGTAAACGGGCGTATAAAAACTATTATGAATATAACAAGGCATTTTCCCGCAATAATTATCAATTAATTGAGAGATGTTTAATGTCAAGTGGCAACTATAACATGCATTTTCAAAATGACAACATATACATGTATTTGAATAAAACTAATGTGGGGTTTACATCAATTAAACAGCAAACCAACAACACAAAAAACTAGACAACATCTAAAGGTTAACATTAGACTAGCTTCTGTCCAATATGTCAGGCTCTAAATTGACTGGAATCTATAGAGGTCTGAATAACAGAGACTACCAAAGATCTGTAATCAACACCAAAATTCAACCAGTCTTACTCCTAAATGTTTGTGCTTTAAGTAGCAGCTGATGTCTTTGGTTTGGCCTGGCAGCTCTAGAGGATCAAATCGACACTATCTCCTCTCAAGGTGAGCACACTTCTATGAAACCACTGATTCAGAAGTGGTTCTAAGCAAAATTAATTAATTGTCTTTTGACCAGAACATAAAAATCAGTAGAGAAAATTTTCATGTTGTTGCTGTATTTGTTAAATTTTCATAAATTCAAACAGTCGAATTCAAGATTTAAGTCAGTTCACTTTCAAAAGTCCAAAAATTAAAGATTAATTTGTATGCTCTCTTATTGGTGATTAAAGGTGTAATACCACCAAATCATAGTACGTCACATCCGGTTGCATACGAAAATAGGTTAAAAAAAAAATATTCCCTTGAATTTGACAGTTGTAGGTAATTAATCCTACATTTCATTGCAGTAAAACATTTCTGGGTCATAAACATATATCTTGGGTATTTCAAAGCACCATTGATTTTTTATTTGGGATTTCTATAGAATATTTTGGAAACTTGAGGTTACATGGTTACTAAAGCTTGTACACAGGTTAAAAAAAGGGAAAATTTGATTGGTTAACTTCCAGTGATGATTTTCTTATATGCAATGAAATGTTATGTGAATTTTTTTCTATAGTACTGGACAGGATAAAAATTTACACATGCCAAGTATTTCTTTATTTGAAACAAAGATAAAGTCTGCACAATTTTTTGAAAAGTGCAAATTTAACAAAGACTAATAGGGTAAAATCAATGGTGGTATTACACCTAAAATAACTTACATGTTGTAAATCTTAATTCTTCAGGAATTGGGAAACATACGATTTGCATAAAGATATTTACCTATTTGAGGACATCTTTTTACAACATCTAGAACTTTAAAGTCTAATGGAATCATACATCTACTAAAATCTAGAGATTTCAACTGTAGCCTGAAAATACCATGATTCAAAATTATCATATGAAAAACTAATGCAACAATCATAAATATTAGTCAAGAATTAATAGTGTTGATTCATTATTACTTGTGGGATACTTATTTGTATGGATTTTGTGGATGTAGGTAAACCATGAATTTTTCAACATAGCACATATTTTCTATAATCTTGTTTGCCGACTTTGGCAAAACTTTGAAATCTGATAGCCACGAAACAAAATTTTTCCTCAATCCAAGAGAATTGATATCAACGAAAATAAATGAAACCACAGTATCAGTAATAATACTGGAATTAATGCATCATTAACATAATTTCATATATTTCCCTACATCTTATTGAAAAGAAAGAATATGTTGTATAAGGTAATGACACAAAATCCCTACACATACTTAACAAACCCAAACGCAAAGGAACATGAACAATGCATTTATTGCTGTGCTTCATACTTAAATCATTTTGCAAAGTTTTTCTCAAATCCTATATCATGAACAAGAAATTTGACCTGATGACAGCCAGTATGACCTTGGAGCTATCCCATTGCCATTATGTTTTTGACCTGACATTATTATCATGATTGCAAAATTCAAAAAAATAAATAAAAAAGAACTGTTCCAATATCTATAAACTAATCTGGATACCTTATAAACATAAATTGTGCTATGAAAAAAATATTGCACACAATTCACACACAACATGTTTTTTAGTTGTAACCGTCTTTGAGTATGCTCTATGCCAACATATTACATTAGAACAAAATAAAACACTGAGAACATATAAACAACTTCATGTGCTGTGCTAAAAAGAAGACCAAACCATCTTAGGTCAGATATATCAGAGGGAACATTAGAACAAAATAAAACACTGAGAACATATAAACACCTTCATGTGCTGTGCTAAAAAGAAGACAAAACCATCTTAGGTCAGATATATCAGGGGGAACTATGCAAGGGTTTTAAAATAAATTCTAAACTTGAAAAACTGTGAATTCAAACCAGTGGCGGATCCAGAAATTTTCATAAGGGGAGGCCCACTGACTGCCTAAGAGGGGGCCCGCTCCAGTCATGCTTTAGTGATTCCCTATATAATCAACCAAATTTTTCCCACAAAAGGGGGGGCCCGGGCCCCCTGGAAAACCCTTTAAATACTCCTCTACAAACCACCTATTATCTTTTGAATCATATCAGAAAGAAATATATGTAGTATGAATTGGATAATATATACATTAGACAAAGATAATGTTGTAAATGAGACAGCTGACCAAGAATATATGGTAGCCAAAGATGTAACATTGTAAACAGGAGTAGGCAAGTATATCCTGTCCATGAGGGAGTAAACTATAACCATTGAATAACAATATGCCTTTATTATTTTACATCTTTTCAGTAAAAGCTAAAAGATAAAATACCAAGAAGGCAATACAAAGTCATTCAGTCAAAGAAGAATGCCAGAAAACATGACCAAAAGTAAAAGACAATAAAAAAAACAATAGTCCAAAAACAATTTTAGAGAAGACCAAAAAAGAGAGGTGAGATACCAAAGGGACATACAACTCACAAGCCCAAAACAAACTGATAACGCCATGGCAAAAACCAAAAGGACAAACAACAGTGCACAAAACACAACATAGAAAACTAAAGACTAAATGTTGAGCAACAGAAACCCCACTAAATATTATATAACCTTCCCATAATATCATGACCAGATGGGGCTGGGAAGTTATATATCCTGCACAGCCAATCTGACACCCCTTTTTAGAATGATTCAACTATTGGATTGGAGAAGTCTAGGTGACCTCATTTCTATACCCAAGTCAAGCCTTTGGGTTGTAAACTATTAGTCAGTTAAGAAATTACATGAGTGTTTCATAAATGTAGATTAGTAGATAATCACTGGTATAAAATTAAGATGATATTTCACTTACCAGATAGTCGCTTTGTCACATAATTGGTTGAATCTCCTACATGTCTGACTAATGTGAAAAATATCTTGCCAAGTCAAATGTTTGCAGATTTCAAATATAACACCTGATGGAAGATACTCAAGCAGGATGTTTGACCTAAAAATAATTTATAAATTTATGTTAAAATAGTTCTATATTTTGAGGTGCATTATCATCTTAAGAATATGTACATTGTAATGCATTTGTATAAACCACTTAAGAATGTTACTAGTTAATGACTTGAAATCAAACAGACCTAGAAAAATCATCACTATATGATTGCATGTGCATGTCTGTCTATTTACACTTACATGTTTATTTATGTTTAAATAGGGTCATATGCATTATAGCATGTCTTTGGATTGTTAATTGTTTCTTTCAGACTTTTTCTAATTTGGATATAAGTTTTCGCATGTTACAAATCAAAGATGAAAATCTTAGTGAAATGGATGAACATGAATTCTAATGTAATTTGTTTGGAACGATAATTTTCATTGGACATTGACAAATATTTTGAAGGGTTCGATTCCATGTTCTACCAGTTGTTAACTAAGGACAGCCACCATTTTGAATTCTGAATTTGTTTGGTATGTAATTTCTCAAAAAATAAACAAAAAAGTTGCATTTTGTGCCTCAAAATCTTCTTTTTGTCGATATTTAAACCATTCAGAAGCGTATGAAAAGTATAAATACGTCTAGTGTTCATGTTTGACTACATGAGTATACCTATGATGTCACATTGTTTAGATGCCAAAGACGAAGTAACAGTTTCGCAGACTTTTTCATTAACGGCATTTTAAAGCCAAAATATTTACTAAAATGGAATTTATTTTAATATGTGGCATTAGAATGGAGATAACTGTATTGTAATTTAAGCTTGGCCTTCTAAAAACTTGATTTAACTGTCGCAAATATCCATTTACCTAGCTCCACTATGCATTGCTAGGTAAACCTAATTTGTGACAGTAAAATCTATGTTTTACGAAGGCCAAGCTTAAAATACAATACAGTTATCTCCTAATTCGACAGCTAATTAATGCTTTAATTTTTGTTTGAGTAAAGAAAATATATTCCTGTTTACAAATTCCAAAATGTTCACACTTTTTGGTAAGTATTCATAATATAGTCTACTTCTGCTTTGAGATCTTGAGTGAAGTGAAAGAAACTTTGAAAAATAAAATAAATATAAAACTGTAACATTTTTATATGTTAGGTCAAGAATGTTACGTAATTGTGTGTATAAGGTTTACATACATTTGTATTTTCACAAATAGCCATTTAATACAGTTAGAGATCATCAGAGATATTAATTAAGAGTTATATTTAGATTTCTTTGTTTGACTAGTGAGCCCTAATGATTTGCATATGGTGCCCAAGTAAATTTATGTAAGGAGCATGGAATGCTAGGAGCCCGGATTACCAGAGCACCCGGATTACCGGAGCACCCGGTTGCCCTAGTAGTCTATATTTGTATCCGGGCTTGTAGGAGTGATATAAAGGAGAGAAAGAGCGTGAGATAGGAAAGTAGAGAGAGAGAATTTATAGTGAGGAGAGGACAGTTACGTTTATAGTAGAGAGGAGACCCGTATTGTTGAGCCTAAAGTTAGATGTACATTTTGTTATACTTGTAACTTTGTTATAGTCGTGGGATTTTGATAATACAGTATTGAACTTTTATTCGACTTCGTGTTTATGTTCACTTACAAGACTTTGTTCAGACTACACCAGGACCCATTTATTTATTTATGTGACCAGGATTCCCTTAATCACGCTACCAGTAGATTTCAAGGGTAACCCTGTTAAAGAGTATACTCGGCATTTGTCATCCGTGTAGGAGTGAAAGGCACGACCTGAAACTTTTACACCCAACAACACACCACAAACACACGGATACACACTTTAGTCAAGTTGTATACCCAACTTTTCGTCACAAAACTATCAGTTTTTTTATTTATGGGCCCATACAAATTGGATTCAAGCTGGAGGTGGTGCACCTGATAAATTCTGTGACATTGCAGCCAACAAGTTAAGGAAAATACATTTTGGGAGCTCATCAGATAGCACCTGCTTTATTTGAGGAGATGTGTATAGTTCCAAACGACAGCAAGCAAACAAAACAACAACAAAAAAGACAGAAAAAGAAAGCATTTTTCTATCACTGTATAGTGTTTACACAATAAAATCCAATGTGACATCACAAAAAATAGTTAGTTTACCATTCATATTTGTCTGTTCCTTCCATATTCAACTACCAGCAGACTAAAGAAGATTTTCTTGGGACATAATGCAGTTTGTTATTCCTGAACAACTTGCAAAATTGACAAACTGAAAGTAGATCAGAGTATCACAGAAGCTTATGTGTAGCGTAAATGTATTATACACTTATAAACATTTATGTGTTGTGATTTCTGCTGTAAAATATATTGTCCAGTAATTGGAAATAATTATGTATAAAGAAAACCCTCTCTTTAAAAGAGATTTAAAAAAACTTAAAGTGATTTAATTAAATTGCTTTCCCGTGTGCGTTTTTTTTTCTAAAATGAAAGTAGACATATTCATACGCTATGAATATTATTTCTTCTCAACAACAACAAAATGTTATTCCCCTATATTTTTGTGTAGTACTTATATATACAAAATTTCAGATGTTCCATCAAGTATATACAAAATAAGAAAAAGATTTATTCTATTTCATTATAAAAAATAATCCTCTTTATTTACGTCAACATATGCGGAAGGATAAAAAATATTGGTGTTGTTTGATGTGTTTTGGTGCAGAATTTCGTCAACAATGACCGATTAAATAATCTACTTTGAATGACAAAATATTTGTGAGATATGGGCAACTGTTTTAAAACACCAAGTACGGACGACATTACGCTGTTACATGACAATGACAGCCAAGATGGAACTCAGCAAGCAGCTCCTGTTCCAGTGGGACCTCCACCACCATATCAGGTCAATATTTCTTCTTTTATTGTCATCATGAGAAATGTATACATCACCACACACATTTATTTTCCATTAAGACTAGAATTTAATGTATATTTTTAATGTTTTGAAAATAAAAAAATATCTTAGCTGATGTCAGTATATTTGTATATTAAATGTACCCCATGATCAGCTGATCTTGACAACAAAGACAGTCTTTGTCCTATTTTTAGAACAGTGACACACACAAACACATGGACCTGTAAACAATGTATGTTTCTGCCTAATATTAAAATTCATGTTGGTTCAAAAATTAATGTCAGTTTAAAAATCTTTACAGAGACTAATAATGTATATAAAGTTATTTTAATATACAGACTACAATATAGATAAAGGTAAAATTGCATTGACTGAGAATTTTGAAAATTTCACTTCCAGAATAATGATACATGTAGTAAAGATGACTTATAAAGGAGATGCATGACATACTGGCAAAAGTAAGGTTAGGATTTGTTTCAGGTTAGGGTATTGGTTAGTTTAGTATAACTCCTTTTATAATGGGTATGGACCTCTAAAATCAAAGTAGTCCTAAACATGTTACATGTACCATGTACATGTAGAAAATAACATGTTACACTGATGTGTACCAGTGTAGACTATAGAAATTCCATTAACTGGCAATAAGGATTGTGCAGTTTGAAAATTGTGGTTCTTAAACCATTATCATGACATGTAGAAGTACATCATGTACATAGGGCTTCTTCTTTCATCAACTGTTTAACTTGTAACTTTTGTCTTGGTCATTTCAGGAGCGAGCTCCAGTGTATTATCCATCACCCAATGTCAGTCGACCAGCTAATATGCTTACAGAAGATGAACAGATAAAGATTGCCCAGCGATTAGGTCTTATAAGTCATTTACCTTTAGGAGTTTATGATGGATGTAGTAAACGAGGAAAAGAGTAAGTTGATCATATTTATACATGGATGTCACTATTTAAGTGGTTACCTAATATCATGCTTTGAATCAGGTCATATAAATGCACCTTATGATTTTCTTTAATATTTGTATGAATCGAAGTTCTCTGAAACAAAGCATGTCAACTATTTTATATAACTAAGAAAAAAGTTGAGAGCAGATTATTTTGACTAGACCATTTTCCATAACAAAGGAACACTATATTGATCATTAAAATGACATGAGAGTATTAAATTCTGTATCTCAATAATGTTAGCAAAACAACTATGACTTAGTTTTTCAAAACAGATTAAACTCAAAAGGTTTTGAAGCATACAATTTACATAAACCAAGTATTATACATTGCTTATGCACTCAAGTGCACCTGACGCACAGATTAATATCTTCATCATGTTCATGATGAATCCGAAAAGATTTAAAATGAATAAATGAGCTGCACCAACTGTCTTATTTTTGCCTAAGTTTTTCCTGAAAAAAGAACTGCCACAAAATGGGTGTTATTAAACAATGGTTAACTTTCTGTTAGTTTGTTATTGCAGTAATATTATTATCATTAATTCACATGTGTGACCCTGTCCATTATCTCCCCATGGTTACCCTGAATGGCTTGAATGTAAAAATTAAAAGTTATCAAAAATCTCTATCTTTTTTTTTAAACCTGTATGCACATATGCTTGGTTAAAATATGAAATCATCAAAATACAGACAACAAACCGGTACTTTATATATTTGAATGCTATCACAGTGAGTGAGTAACCTTCATAAAGAAATAATTTTCACCATTGAATTGGTAGCTAATGATAATAGAAGTCTAATATGAATTTTATCAGTAACTAACTGCTTTTACAAAAAGCTTCATCCACTGACATGCATACATAAAATAGAGAATGGAAATGGGGAATGTGTCAAAGAGACAGTAACCCAACCAAAGAACAGAAAATAGTATGTTTACATTCACGATAGATCTGTAGAGACAATGCAATTTCTCCAAATTTTCATTTGAAAGAGTTAGTAAAAATTTTATTTTATGACAATTATGAGTTTAAATGAAGATATAGAAGCAGGATAAAAAAGGGTCTTAAATGCTAAATCTCTACAGCAAATTGGCCAGGTAGGAGGGGACATGAAAATTGCTTGTATTTAAATACTAGTGTAATAAAGATAGTACTCAAATATTGTAATTCATTATTTATAAGGCAAATAAAATGTGGTCCCCTTACTTATTTTCACAAAAGAAACTATTTGACATCACAGATCAGAATTTTTATGCCCCCTCCGTAGCAGAGGGGGCATTAAGTTTTACCCTTGTCCGTTCTCTAACTTTAGTTTGCCAAAACCATATGTTATGAAACTTATACACAATGCTTATTACCACAAAACACAGATCAAGTTTGAATTTTGGTGGCGTCACTTTTACCGTTCTAGAGTTATGCCCCTTTATAAATGGAAAAATTGCAATTTTTTTCATTTCCGTTCTCAAACTTAAGTTTGCCCATTCCAATTGTTATGAAGTTACTTATACACAATGCTTATTACCACAAAACACAGATCAAGATCAAATTTGGGTAGCGTCACTTTTACCGTTCTTCAGTTATGTCCCTTTATAACTATATGATATGCAAGCGGGGGCATCATCTGTGTCCACATGTGGACACAATCCACATTTATTTTGTTTTGCAAACGTCCTTATGTTAATCTGCTAAAAAATGAGTTCAATCAGAGTAAAATTTATGAATTCCAAATAGGGGCAACAGGCATTTTGCTTAGTACTTTGTGTTCATAAGCTATGTTTTACATTAGGCCAGAAGTTTTAGGCTCTTTTTATAAAAAACCTAATAGTAAATTTTAAATGCTTATTATAAGATTTGTTCTGAAGAGTTACTTAGACATTGCACATAGGCTCTGAAATTTTTATTTGCTGTATAAAGATTCTGGTTATTCTAATAAAATTATCTATAGGTTATATTTCAGTTCACATAAATTTTAGTACTGTCTGCCTAATATGTTTGAAAAGTATTTATTAAAGTGTTTATTGATTTTATGTAACTAGTCATAAAAGAGTTCAATTGATTTACATTTATTTTCTCTACCATAAATAAACATACATTATTTATATTTTCATGTAAGTAGACAGGTTAAAGAAAATACACTTGGCTAACTATCTCCAAATCTAGCTTTACTAAGCACTTTAATGTGACCTACTTATTAGACCATAAGGAAGTACTCATATAGTAAACAGGAATTAGTTATGAATTGTTTCATTTACATTATTTAGTCAAAACTTCCTGTTAAGGCCACATGATATTTTTAAAGTGCATTAAAAGGTTTATTTGTAAATAAATTTATATAAAGGCCAACAAAAAATATTCATATTTTTACTGTCACAGGATGAAACAAATTAGGATTGTTAGATAAGTTATTTATTTTATATTATTTTACCCTAGTCTATTGCATAGACATTGTGTCCTTCATAGTGCTTAATGGAAATAGTAATAGAAAAAAAAGGGTAGGAGTTAAAATGGTGAAGTTTGGGTGACTGTATGCACAGGATTTTTTTTTTGGCCTAAGAAATCATTTTAAACTTTGTTTTTAAAGGATAAATATTGTCAGAATATTTCTTTAGTAGAAATTCCCCATAGCTGTGACCTTCAAAGTTTGAACTATTGCAAAATACATTTTGTTTGTACCAGGATATTGTCAATTTGATTGTAGCACATACTACTGTTTGTACTTTTAAATGTCAACAAATTGAAAAATATAAAAATGCAAACAATACAAACAAAGATGATAAAAAAACTTTTTATTTTCTTATTTAAATTGTGGTGTGCACATTAGCCCTTTCCTGTCTTACTAAATCCTTAATCATTTGTTGCAAAAGTGGAAAGGCCCTCATGAAAAGGTCATTTGTCAAGATAAGAGGCCACTCCAAGAACAAATCAGAGACAAGAAAAACCCATCCCATAAACAGTTAAATGGTAAAAAAAAGCCACTTCAGACAATAGGTCATCCAATGAAATTCATGATGGCTGATTTACTTATTGATATCATACATATGCAGGAGTCTTACATATTTCTGACCCTGACAGACCCTAACATATATATGAGGCATATGTAAATTGTTAATAGAATAATTATTTTTATTATCATTTGTAGGTGTGCAATTTGTATGTGTGAGTTTGTTATGGGTGAAGCCTTACGATATTTACCTTGTATGCATGTGTACCACAAAGACTGTATAGATGACTGGTTAATGAGATCTTTTACTTGTCCATCTTGTTGTGAACCAGTAGATGCTGCACTTCTTACGACGTATGAAACTAATTGATGGTACATTCTTCGTTCTAAAATTCGGTGCTACTTGGATGAGGGAATAATTTGTTTACAGGCTGTGATCTCACAAAGGATAACAAAAAGGGCTTTCAATATTGTTGCAATTTTTAATGTTGCAGATTAAGAAGTTGAATGTATTCTGATTTTGTTATAAAGTGAAGGAAGACATTTTTAGTCAGTGATTTGTCCATTAGATTAGAAGTTGTGTAAAATGGCAGTCAAACACTATTTTTTGGTTTGAAAAAAAAGATCTAGCGTAATATTATTAGATTTGCAATACCAAGGCAAATTTTAAAGATAATTTTAGCTTTTTTTTCGAAAGAAAATACATGTGCAATGAAAACTTATGCATATACATGTAGTTATTGTCTAGTTTGAGTATATATGTGTGATAATGTACATCTGTGATTGTATGTAACAAGTTATACAGGTCTGTTGTGTGTGAGTGCTCAAGTGTTCTTTTTTCACATGTCTGTGTGTGAGTGCTAGAGTGATTTTTTTTCATGAAAAACTCAATGATATTTGAATGCTTCAGGTTATTATGAGTTGAAACTAACATGTCTTCAAGAAAGCTCTTTGAAATATTTTCTTATCTTGACTTCCTCTGATATTCAACTTAACATTTATAAAGTTTTTTTGTGGCTTTCTCACTAATATTTTCCAACAGTATTTCACATTTTATCACTAAAATCTATGTGCCTACAGTGTTTTTTCTAAGAAAAAGGCAATATGCATATAAATATAACAAAATATTCACTTTAGATTTCAGAAAAAAGACAAATTTACTTATTCTTGTTTAAGCTGCTTTTTGTGTACAGAATGAAAGGATGAGGGAAATAACGTAGTTTTTGCATTCCAATTTGTATCTTCTTTAGTTCTGTTCTGGAAAAAATTCTACTATTTTATTTGTAATTTCTTTTGTCTCAGTTTTTTTATTTGGCTGTTGTTAATTCAGATCAATGCACATTTCAAGTATCAATATATTACGTATATTTAGGGAATTCTATCTTGCAAAGTATATAAATTGTTACAATCATTTTTTGTGGTCTTTGTCTACCTATTGATAATTTCTAGTAGATAAAATGGACAGCTGTGATAATTAAATTTTGTATAATGTAATAACATATGAATTATTGATTATAAAACAAATAATGTTAGAAATTTGCATAATGTTGAAATTGATTTTTGAAATCCATCGCAATCAGTATTGTGATTGAAGATAGGAAAAATATATTAGTCAGGAATGTTGTAGATGTTATTAAGAAGTATGAAATTGAACATAATAATATAAGATTAATCTGTCTCAATGTTTTCCTGGAAATCTTTGGAATTTTCAAGGTGTTTAGTTTAAGAAATAATATCTGATTTATGAGTTAGTCAGACTAATTTAGTTCTTCAATTTAAGGGGATAAACATATTTGAAAAGGAAAACAATTGTATTGTCCTTTTGAAAAACAAAAACCATTTTTAAATAGAAAAATTGTATGGCAACATTTTGTGTCTTGATAATATTTGTAAAAATAAAGTCTGCTATTTAGCAATACAGTAATATGAATTTTTATTATTAATTATAGAACAGGGAAGTAAATTTTGTTTTTTTTTGGTTTCCTTTTAAATATCAATAGATACATCTGAAATTTTTTGTGTTTTGTCTGTCGAATTCTATGAAATTATTAATGGCATTGGTGAATGAAAATTCTAGTAAATAAAAATCAAACTTTATCCGGCCTTACAGAGAATATTATACATGAAAATGAAAAAAAAGATGGATGTTTAAATATTGTTTGTTTTAATTCGTTATCAAGTGGGGATTGCAAATTTGAAAGGACTTGGTTCTTCATAAAAGTCACTCTCTATAATTCTCTGGCTGGAAGGATGTAAATTTTTTTAAATGATCTGAAATTACTCATTCAAATTAAACAAATTTCTGAATTAAAAGAAAGACTCCAAAATTTCCTTCTTCTGTTTTTATTTAAAAGGATAAGTCAGATGGTGGTTTTTGTAAAGAAAGACATATCCACCTTATATTATGCATGTTGTTTTTTATATAAATATTTAATGTGATATGAATAAATGGTAATCTATGAGACAGTATTGCTGCATTTAATTATGACTCGCCAATTCTCCAAAATGCATTTGAATTATCTCCCTTTGGCCATTTTCATCTCAATAATTGATATTATAGATAGATGGCATAATAAATTCCATAGCTGCATTTATACATGTAAGTGAGTGTTTTAATCTCCACAGATTCCTTAGCATACAAGGTCCATGTGTTTAAGTTCATCAGTGAGAGTCCTCAGTCTTAAGATTACTGACTGTTTATGTTGTTTTATAGTGATTCAGATTAAAAGTATCTCAATCTGTAAATACATTTTACAAAAGTTATTGTTAAAACCTTAATAAATTATTATCATTCAAAAATGGATATGCTTATAAAATAGATTATGTTATATTGTTATATACAATGTATAAAGTTTTTCCTATTTTTTTGTGCAAGGGTTGAAAATATAGCTTAAATGTAGTATGAGGTCCCGACTGCCCTTTTCAAGTGATACCTCTGAAAACTGTCCTTCAAACTGTGAATTTATGTTATTGACCTTTCTTCTACTTCAATTTTTCTAGAATATAGGCATAGAAGTGCCACATCACTTAAATTTATTTACGGTCACAAAATCTGTGTTGATGTATTTCAGATAATGTTTGTCAAATTTGTATAGTGGGGAACCAGTTCCAGTTTATTAGTAATTTAGTTACATCGATTTCAAAATTACTTTATCTTCCAATTTAAGTCGAGATAAAAACCTCAGAATGAAAGTAGACAGATAATTTGTTTCAGAGTAAATATAAATAGTAAAAAATATCAAAATTCAATATAGGAGTAATAATGGCAATATATATCTCAAACCATGGAAATGGCTTTATTTCAAATTATAAATTATGGTATTGCAGAGTTTTTTCTGCTTCCTGGGATTTCCATTTATATTCAAATTATCTTGAATGATCAAAGCTATGTTGTCTTGGGATGAATTTACATAAAATATATTGCACTGTCTGCTGAGATAAATATTCTGTCAAAAAGATATACATATTTTAAACAAATTATTTTTGAGTGCAGTTTGTGAACTTTGTATGACTGCATCTGCATGAAGATTTAAACATTTGTATTAAAATGTTCAATATTTGAAGGTTGAGTTGTATGTTATAAGAAATAGTACCAATATTAGGATTTCTCTGAAGCATCTGGTACAGTTCCAAAACTTTTATGATTTTACTGTTGGTAATAAGTTGTAGATTAAGTTGTCTTTGTGTTTCAAAATGAAATACTTCAGTCATTCAGAACCTGAATGTGAAACCAATATATTGTAATGTTATAACTTAATTACTCAATGTAAATATTATATTACAATGTTATAACTTATTACTCAATGTTTTTCTTTCTCAAATAAGTTTTTATGCATGAAACAGAAATGACAATATTTGGACAATTAAGGATGTTTGCTACTCTTCTTCAAAATAACAAGCTTTTTAAAAGACTGCTATAAATCGATAGTATATAAATAAAGGAACTAAAAAAGCAGAAAAAATGAAGGGTCTGTGTGCTTGTTTTCAAGATATAAGCCATTGAAAATTTGGCTGGAAAAAATTCTCTCTTGACTTTTCATACATTTAACATTGGCACCTTTTTTGTTTCAAAAACTGTGAAAAAATAACAAGGATTCTATAGGATTTTCAAATATGGCTTTTTAAACTATATGTAATAAAATTATAAAGAGAAAAGTAGGGGTTAGCGGGCCAAATTTTTAATGGCACTACATGGATAAAACCAGAGGATTCCGAATATCTGGCAAACTTTTAAATAGCCTGGCATCCTGACCCAATCTAGTACTTCGTCGATAGGGCCAGGCGTAATACAATCCACATGACCAACTATCAGCTCTGAACAGGACTGAATTACTGCGCATGTGCATGTTCTATAAACAAGAAATATATCGATCACATCGTTAATTAACTGGTGATTCAAGATGTTAATCAATAACGTTTGGATTATATTGTTAAATTTTTCGAAATTTGCATTTCATATGAAATTTGAAATAATTTTCAATAAATTCGTGGCAATACAAATATTTCCCGCCATGTGTCAAGAAATGACGCTATCCCAGGATGCATCATTCTAACATCCAATTAACGAAACCATGTCGTTGTACTTCGCCTGGCTCTACTGTCGAGCAGTGAGCCAGGATCCCAGGCTAACATTTAAAAACAAGAGGAGTGAACATCCTTAAAGCAAATATTTTAATGTTAAAATTCAAATCGACATTTTTAATGGTAAAAATTATTAGATTAGGAACTTTTTTTCTTGAATCCTTAAACCATAACTCTTATCATATCCATGTAATATATTGTTTTTGTAGAGTTCTATATTTATTTCCTGAATTATCTTGGAAGTTGTCCAATTTTCTGTAAATCCTTTTGATTTCTTACATACTTTGCTTTATTTTTCCTATCCAGTTAAAAGATGGAATATTTAATGGGTATGCCATAGTTTTAACATTTATTTGATCCTAGTTAAAACTCACCTTATAGCTAGCGAAAGATTTGAATTTATATGCCAGATGTGAATTTTTCTCAGATTTATCATTAACTAAATTCAATTGAAATTAATTTCCTGGTAGCTCAGTAATATGTTTTAAAATTTAAGGGGAAAATTGTGTTCTGGGCCTTTCTATGTTCATGACCAAAATTTCAGCATTTGGTTACCAAATTTTGGTATAAATCACCCATTTATAATTTTATTTCTTATGAATAAGAAAAAAGTCTTCATATTAAAATTCATAGTAAAGTCATTACAGATTACTTGTGTTCATTTTCTTTACCAAATTTTAAAATGTGTCCATATATACTAGTTTAAAATTTAGATACTTGTTTTTGTACACAAAAATATTTTTACATAATTTCTTATACATGCACTAGTTAAAATTTAACAAGTATATTAACAGAAGTAAAAACTTGATTTCAAGTTGGGAATACTTCGTTTTTCTTGAAAATTCTTTGATTTTCTTGACTTGTCATATTTTTCATCTACAATCGAGGGTCTGGATTGAGGTCTTCATTTCTTTGTTCTTTAATTATTTAGGCCATTCTTCTCTATTCTTTGTTTCCATTATTTATTATTTTGGCCAATTTTTCTCTATTCTCTAAATCCCATTCAGACCCTCATATACAAACCCTTATGGGATTCAGTGAAGGGTCGTTCGTTAATTCAGATATGATTCATTTGTTTGAACGAGGGCTCACGTTATAATGGTTCTATTTATTGGTTTTTGTTAAATTTATTTATTAAGGTTTATGTTGTGTTAGATTGTATTCAGTTTCATTATTTTTATTATGTTATTAATATTTTAAGCTTGTTTGTTAATTTTATGTAAAAATATGTGCTCTTATGTGATTTTCTTTATGATTTATATGTACAAAATGTAGCTTTACTCTTATTGTTTTCCAGGGCTTTAAATTCTATACATGCACTTGCATTCATTGCTTTGAACTCCATATCAAGAAAAATGTTTAAAGCATCTGTAATACGAGCCTTCATGACCTTGATTTTCTTGAAATATGTGTTAAAATTCCATATATTAGGTTGTTTTTTTTAAAATGGCAAAATGTTCATTTCATTTTTGGAGTTATAAACTATTATAATTGTGGTAATTACAAAAAAAAGATATACATCATTTTAAACAAAGAGTGAAAATGTGAAAGATCCTCTTTTTTCCAGGTCACAATTAAAGTAAAAAGGAACAATTACTTAATTGTTTGATAAAATGATGCGATAATTTTGTTCTTGCATTTCTATTATCAAATTTTTTATATATTTATTGTTTACGATGGACATAATGGCTTTGTTTCTAGGAAAATCAAATGATTTTTTACATTTCAATCATTATACATTTGTATGAGTGGTCATATTTAAAGTAATCGTTTTACATGTTTTTTCATCTTGACTATGTTATATGAAATTTTTCTCTCACAACATAATGTGAGAAAGATGAATAAAAGATCTTTAAATAATCTAATTTATTTTTATTTGACATATATTGCTATATTGGATGAGCATGAAGTATTATATACCTGGCAAGGATTGCTAGTTTTTCTGTTGAAAGTAGTGGTTCTATCTGGTGATTCCGGCTAATCCTCCACCAATATAACCTGGCTGCCATGATATAGCAAAGATTTCTGAAAGTGGTGTTAAACACCAACAATCAGTCAGTCAATTATATACCTGGTTTGTCTACCTTTTTGTTTTCTTGAGCAGCAGTATTCAACCAACAGCTATATCTACCAGCTGCCAAACAGTGTCCGTTCATTAACATGAAAATGCTTTGACGAAATTTTTTCAAATTTAGATATGTTGTTTCCTGTGACTAAGTAAAGGTCAAGTTCAATTTTCAGGATTTTAGCTTTTCTTGTTGTTGAGTTATATCCCTTTCCAATAGTCAAAAGTGGTACTTATAATGTGATTGAGTTATTTCCCTTTGAACAGAAATGGTTAATTATATATATAAAGTTTGATTACACTTACAGATAAGTTTTATAGATTTTTAAGACATTGTATAAATGATAAATGACATTTTGGATTTTGTTATGCCCCCACTAAGCAGAAGGGGGCATTAAGTTTTACCCTTGTCCGTCTGTACGTCCGTATGTACATATGTCCATCCGTACTTACATCCGAAAAATTGGGTTCTGTTCTCTAATTTTAGTTTGCCTCGACCAAATGTTATGAAACTTATACACAATGCTTATTACCACAAAACACAGATCAAGTTTGAATTTTGGTGGCGTCACTTTTGCCGTTCTTGAGTTATGCCCCTTTACAAATTGAAAAATTGCTGAATTTTATGTTTCCGTTCTCTAATTTTAGTTTGCGTCAACCAAATGTTATGAAACTTATACACAATGCTTATTACCACAAAACACAGATGTAGTTTAAATTATGGTGGCATCACTTTTACTGTTTAAAGTTATGCCCCTTTGCAAATGGAAAAATTGCTTAATTTTTGTCTCGCCTTGACGGAGTCAAAAAGCGAGACATAGGTATGCTGTTTCCGGCATCGGTAGTGTCAACAATGTATTAGTTTGTGATTAGGTCTAGTTTAAGGTGAACCACTACTGGTTGGTCAATGATATTTGGTAAGCAGTTGTATTAGCACTGGCACATCTCATTTCTATGGAGATTATTTGGCCCTCCCCCTTCAGTCATGGTCTATTGACTTTGAAACTTTTGCTTAGTTTACATGTATTAGTTTGTGATTAGGTCAGTTTATGGGGAACCACTAGTGGTAAATCAATGATATTTTGCATGCAGTTGTATAAGCATTGGCATATCTCATTTCCATGGAGATTATTTGGCTTAGCCCCCTCAGTCATGGTCTACTGACTTTAAAACTTATGCTTAGTTTACATGTATTAGTTTGTGATTAGGTCAGTTCAAGGGGAACCACTAGTGGTAAGTCAATGATATTTGGTATGCAGTTGTATAAGCATTGGCATATCTCATTTCCATGGAGAATATTTGGTCCCGCCCCGGCAGTCATGGTCTGTTGACTTTGAAACTTTTGCTTAGTTTGCATGTATTAGTTTGTGATTAGGTCAGTTCATGGGGAACCATTAGTGGTAGGCCAATGTTAATTGGTATGCAGTTGTATAAGCATTAGCACATCTCATTTCCATGGAGAATATTTGGTCCGGCCCCCTCAGTCATGGTCTATTGACTTTGAAACTTTTGCTTAGTTTACATGTATTAGTTTGTGATTAGATCAGTTTAAGATAAACCGCTAATGTTAAGTCAGTGATATTTGGTATGCAAATTAATAGGCATTTGCAAGTCTTGTTTCCATGGAGATTATATAACCCCACCCCCTCATCATGGTTCATTGACTTTGAAACTTTTACATAGTTAACAAGTCAATGTTTGTGTTTAGGTTTGTTGAAAGGGAACGACTTATGATAAGTCTATGGTTTTTGGTATGCAGATGTATTAGCATTGGCACATCTCATTTCCATGGAGATTGTTTTGCCATGTACCTTCAGTCATGGTTCATTGATTGTTTAGCCTTGTTCCTTCAGTCATGGTTAAAGTATTTCTATTTTAATTTCAACATTTGCATTATCAAAATTACAAAAAGGCGAGACATATCTCTGTGATAACAGTTTATTTGTTTCCGTTCTCTAACTTTAGTTTGCCTCAACCAAATGTTGTGAAACTTATACACAATGCGTATTACCACAAAACACAGATCAAGTTTGAACTTTGGTGGCGTCACTTTTATCGGTCTAAAGTTATGCCCCTTTACAAATGGAAAAATTGCTGGATTTTTTGTTTCGGTTCTCTAACTTAAGTTTGCCTCAACTAAATGTTATGAAACGTATACACAATGCTAATTACCACAAAACTCTGATCAAGTACAAATTTGGGTAGCGTCACTTTTACAGTTCTTGAGTTATGTCCCTTTATAACATATGCAAGCAGGGGCATCATCTGTGTCCCATGGACACATTCCCCATTTATTTTTCTTTTCTTTGGTAAATTGTTTGAAGAATTTTGTCAAAGCCGGGCTTCAAAGTTATTGTGAAACTGCCTATTCTAGAGGTGGCGTGAATCAGATGTGGATACTAAAAAATTCCAAAGATCTTTTAGAGTACATACAATCTAAGACTCTTTCATCTTGCAACAGTATTAAAACATTTGACTTTTCTTCACTTTACACAAGTATTCCCTATTCCAAACTAAAAGACAAATTGAAAGAGTTGGTATTGCTTTGTTTCGTAAAAAAAGAATGGCCAACATAGATACAAGTATCTTGTCTCAGGGAGGGATAAATCCTACTTTGTAAAAAAATCACTCTGATTCAAACAAAAAATTCTCTGAAACTGACATTATCAAGATGCTTGATTTCTTGATTGACAACATATTTGTTACGTTTGGAGGACGTGTTTTTCATCAAACTATCGGCATTCCCATGGGAACCAACTATGCCCCTCTTCTTGCTGACTTGTTCCTTTATTCTTGTGAGGCTGACTTCATACTGGAACTTCTTAGGAAGAAGGAAAAGAAGTTAGCAGTATCCTTTAACTTTACTTTCCGCTATATAGATGATGTTCTCTCACTAAATAATTCAAAATTTGGTGACTATGTTGAACGCATCTATCCCATCGAACTAGAGATAAAGGATACAACAGTTAAGTCTGCCTCATATATTGACTTACATCTAGAAATTGACAATGAGGGTCAGTTGAAAACAAAACTTTACAACAAAAGAGATGATTTCAGCTTCCCAATTGTGAACTTTCCATTTCTATGTAGCAATATTCCTGCAGCGCCTGCATACGGAGTTTATATCTCCCAATTGATACGATATTCCTGGACTTGTATTTCCTATCATGATTTCCTTGATAGAGGGTTGCTGCTCACAAGGAAGCTATTAAACCAAGAGTTCCAAATGGTGAAGTTGAAATTTTACGGACACCATCATGAGCTGGTTGACTGTTATGGAATATCAGTTTCACAGAAGATAGCGAATATGTTCCTAATGTCCTAACTACAATCCCGTTCCCTTTTCACGAATGTGACCTACGGAATTAGACTATTTACCGGGTTTGTTATAACATGAGCAAGACGGGTGCCACATGTGGAGCAGGATCTGCTTACCCTTCCGGAGCACCTGAGATCTCCCCCAGTTTTTGGTGGGGTTCGTGTTGCTTAGTCTTTAGTTTTCTATGTTGTGTTTTGTGTACTATTGTTTGTCTGTTTGTCTTTTTCTTTTTTAGCAATAGAGTTGAAGTTTATTTTCGATTTATGAGTTTGAATGTCCTTCTGGTATCTTTCGCCCCTCTTTTGTGATAGGTTTGTTTGTTATTCTGTATAAACTAATTTTCTGAATGCTATATATACATATTTTTTTTGGGATGAAGTGAACTCCTTTAAAAACTAAGCTCATATTGTCTATTAATAAACATATATTTAGATTTCTGATTTTGGTTTAATTTCATCAAAAACTGAATTCTTGGGGTTCTTTGATATGCTGATTCTAATAATGTTATAGTGGTTAAATCATATCTAATTTTATTGATTATAATTAGAAAATATATAACATCATATCTAATTTTAGAGAATTATTTTTTAGTGGTCAAATCATATCTAATTTTAGAGAACTATTTGTTCATCATTTATTCATTTTGAGTTATTTCCCTTTGAACAGAAAATTAATAAGTATATGGATAACATTAATATGTGTTTCATTTCAACATAAATTTAATATATATAGGGTTCTTTCAAATGCTGAATCTAAACCTGTATTTAGATATTGGATTTTTTGGGCCCAGTGTTCATGTTGGTCCAAATCAGGGTCCAAAATAAAACTTTGTTTGATTTCAACAAAAATTTAATTTATTGGTTTTTTTAAATGCTGAATCTAACCATGTATTTAGAGATTTTGGATTTTGGGCTCCTTTATCAAATTGGTCCACATTGAGGTCCAAAGGGTCCTAAATTAAACTTTTGTTTGATTTCATCAAAATTTTTAATTTTTGAGGTTCTTTGATATGCTGATTCTAACAATGTACTTAGATTTTGGATATTTGACCATAATAGGTAAATGTCCAATTTCAAATTTTTCAGTTCTTTGACCACATTCATTTTATTGTGTCACAAACCTATGCTGTATCAAATATTCAATCACAATCCAAATTCAGAGCTGTTTTAAGCTTAAATGTAGTGTCCATACTTGCTCAACTGTTCAGGGTTCGACCTCTGCAGGAAAACCAGTTTGCTGTCACTCTGACAGCCTCTTGTTTTTATTTGTAAAGCAATTAAAGATTCGATCATTTTCACTTCAATTGGGGACCAGTCAGCCTTTAAAGCTGTAATGCTTAATAGCAACAAACCATATTTCCAATCTTTGCTCCCCTTTGACAACAGCAAAGAACTTAAGCTGCAAATGTCAAAGATCAAACATTCACTTGAGTTCATTAGAACAAACAAATACTGTATGTTGACCTCTTTATAAGAC